TTTGCACATTGTTGGCTGTCACTTTTCACAGAGTAATGTTGAGGCAACAGCATGACAAGCTTTAAACTGCACAAACAGATTCTCAAAATGAAAAGTAGTTATTCTTAAATGCGTCTCTGCAGATACAGGGATAGACTGTAAACCAAGTGAGTTTTGAAGACCTGAGTTCTGCATGTTGTCTGCCACCATGATGGTTTTGTTGGAGCCAAAAGTGACCAATTGTCACACACGTTTCTCAGAAAAACAAACTAGAACCAGAATTTAACTCATCCAAATAGCTGAAGCACAGACTTGTCAGATGTTCTGTTAGGCCCGGCATACACTTTTCAACTTTTTAGAGTCGTGGTGGAAAGAAAACTCACACTGTGTAAGGGAATTGTCTTTAACACACGATTGAAGCTCACGATCCATGAGCTTACACAGTTAGACGGGACCTGAGCACTTACACTGTCACAATAATTATAAAGAACAGTTGTCACTTTTCTAGCATTTCTGTAGACACAGCAACAATCCAACCATTAATATAACTTTAACTGAGAGTCCTTGGTGTTATCCATCATTTGAAATAGCTTTTTGTCTTACAGCCCAGTGTATCAGCACTCATAAGAGCAGAATTTTCTTCATTCATTTTAGTTGATGTTAAAGGAATAGGTAGTGTTTTACTTTATTAAGAGTGATTGTACCAGACATTTGTGGACGAGTAAGTAGCTTCAGGGGATGCAGATTAGTTTAACTGCTTTGTTGAAAAGTTATAACCAGAGTGGAAGCTAGGCTAACAACCGTTACCAAGTAACTTCGCTATTTTCACCAAACTACAATTAAATCACTGTCTACTATTGTCAAAATTCACAATATATCAGTGACTCATTTATCATATTTCCTATTAGCTGATAAGCATGTTGCAAACATGCGCCACTGAGCAATAGATGGGTGTTAGATGTCTAGTATTTTTTTAGACCTAATTTCAATCGTCTAGATTCTGTATATTTTTAGATGGAATTTAGATGTTGCACTTTAACCCATTATTCGATAACTATTTATTTCAAAAAGCAACTGTGAGTTGCATAACTGATCTCCAAGTACTTAACCAAAATAATTATGATAGCTGTTGAGCAATATACAGTGTAGTATAGATATAACCCAGATTTAGACTCTAAATTTAGATATCGAAAAAACTTTCATTTTTAGACCTGTGGTAGCCTGATTTTAGACCAGTCGTCTAGGCTGAATTTTGACGTCTATTAGACCTCTTTCAGACCAAAAAAAGCTCAGTGGGAAAGCTAGTATGTGCTGTATCTGTAAAAGGTGCTAAATTGATCTGGTTTTCTTATTGCATAGTAAAGCACAGACAAATTTTCCAGTCTTTTTTTTAGCCTGTTAGCGATGGCATTAGTCAGGTGCATACACTGACCTGTTTGCTGATACCCAGTACCACATTTTGGTTCACATCAGAGACCTGGTTTCTGTATTTGGACAACTCGTAAGCTCCTCTCAGTTCACATGAACAGCCGGCACTGTGGTTGTATAAGACAGAAGATCATTATTTGCCGCCTCCTGCTGAAGGCAGACAGCGCTGTGAAGGATGTATTTGGCGAGGCTTTGTTTGTTTGCATGCAGGCCTTCAAACTCAGGTTGTAGTATTCTGAGCGCAGGCTGTTCTGCTGTGTGCTGTTTCTATCTTTGAGCTTTAAGTATCTTACGAGTCTCCTCTCTCTTGAATTTTGAGGCTGTTGGTGGATTATTTCTTCTCAACAACAACAGACACTCCATACTGTACCGTCATCAGCTCCACTCTGAAGGCAAGCCGAGTAGGAGGCTCCACTTCTGAGCAAACACTTGGCTCACTCCCTCTTCAGGTTGCATTAGCAGCAAAGAAGGGAGTCAGTCCTAATGCTTTCCCTTTCTGCAGCAATAAATCTGCAGTTTTTAGTGCTGCCGAGACAGGCCTGTGTGATTAAACATATCTATGTAGTGAGCAGAGGAGATAAGCCGTGCTGCTCACCTATACTTCATGGCTCAGGAATGAGGGTAATAATCCAGGACACTGTAACCTTTGATAAATGCCTTCCAAGGATTAGCTAATGAATTTCCTCTCTAGGCTGCAGGGGTCACACACACACACATTTATACAAGGTATCTCCTTCTAGCCTTCTTTACCCTGAATAAGCAGAAATCAGTACATTAGACCAGTGATTCTGAACCAGGGTGGATGCACCACAAGGAGGATTTAGCTCCCTGCAGGTCTGTGGAAATACTGTTGAGCAGCTGCAATTATGTGGGAAAAAGAGCATGAAGTAATACCAGGATTTGATGTATGTTCCTGCATCGGGGTTTAGAGTCGGAAAACCAACAATGACTGATACTCCATTTCTCTCCGACAGTTGCGTGAACAAACTGTAGATGATTCAGCCTCGCTTTACTTAACTCGTAACTGGGGGTGAGATGAAATAACAATCCAGCAATATATCTTTGTCCTGACCTTTGTGATAGCCTTATATGTCAGAAGTTTGTTTTTTTTCCTGCCATGGAAACTGAATGAAGAGAAACTGAATTATCTTGTAGGTTACCAACTTACCTCTCCCGCAAAATTCCCAGTTTGAAGTGTGTTTGTACGTAGTGCCCCCTACAGGCCGGGAGCGCTTGAGTTGTGATGTCACTCAGAAATCATGCCGCATTCCTCCTACCTCAAAAGTCAGATGTCAGAGCTGGGAATGAAGTCACACCTGAGTTGACGGCATTCGGGTAAACAAGTCAGAAAAAGAAGATGGATGCCTACTGTTGTAATGTTAGCTGTTGTTCGCTGTACCAGTGGAAAACAACGTACAACATGGTATTTTACACGTACAAACACCATTGTACCATGTCCACAGTTAGATGATGGACAGTACTACACATACGACTTCTTTTACAAAAACAAAACGAAAGTGCTAATAAATAATACATTACAAGCGCTTTCACTGTTGATACATGGTGCTGCCATCTTGGATATGACGTTGTGGTCAAGTTGGGGTTGGTTAGAATTGTCCAACTTTCTGAGTCAGAAATCTGACTTCAGACTCAAGATAAATTTTCCAACTGGGCACTGGAAAAATCCGACTTCCCAGTTCAACTGGGACACAGCATAACTGTTGAACATGTTCAGTTTTTACAATCACAAATTGTTATGTGGGGGGGATCCCAATGGACGGCCAGTCATGCCGTTGTCATGTCAAACAACTCGATACCCAATCAGAAAGCAAGCTGATTGAAGAGGGAAGCACTACAAATGCAGCCATGGCAACAATTATTTACTTTATGTACTGCAACCACAATGACAAGAGGAGACATTGACATGAAGTCACTTTTTCAGTGGAAGTATAGGGAAGCTAAGCAGCTAACAACAGTTCCTTATAGTCCGCCATGTTTGTTTAGTCTTAGTTCGTGTTCACACCTAAAGGTCCGTTTCCTGATTCGAATCCAAGGCAAGATGATACATTTGTTTTGATTGTTTAACTGGTCCAGTTTGCGTTCACAAAGGACAAACTCAATCGCTCCAGAAAACGGAACCCGAAGTCACGTGACCGCAAATATCGTTCAGTTATTGGGAATACAACCCCCGCTCTGCTGTCTTCGCCTGTCATGGAGCATTGTAGGCTGATTTTGCTTCTGCTACTCATCTGAAGCGCGTATCAAAAGACACTAGCCCATCGCGCGTACGAACGGCTCGTTAGCCAGCGAGCGCGAACTGCGGCATTAATTTAATACATTCCGGAATAGACATGCTGCAAACAACAGACGGATAAAGACAAGACAGCGACAGGCATTAATGAGAGTGTGTGGTGCTTTTCCTATGATTGGTGTGGATGACGTTCACACCAGAAATGAACAGCTTCGGAGTTCACTTGATAGCGGTCCAAGACCACCTTTTCAGGCGGACCAGAGTTCGTTTATTTGTTCCGCACTAGAGTTCGAGGTCAGCGTTCACACTGACCCAAACGAACCCCACCAAGGAGGTAAACGCTCCAGGGTTCGGTTCAACGGGACTAAATGAGGGTGGTGTGAATGTGCTCTTCAATAACATTTGATTGTGAGAGACTTTACCAGTTATGAGAGTGCATGGGGACTCAGGTGGCTGTCGAAAAGAGCCTTCGTGTGTGGTGTGCTGTGTTTACCACATTATTGCACACCACACACTATAGGACCAAAACTATTGAAGCTGTTATCGTTTGTCACCGCCTGTTTTAAGATTTTAAAGTCTTTCGGTGTGTGTGCCAGGCTTCAGTTGTTTTCTTTGTTCCTTTTATTCCATCACTTCTGTATTTGCCGAACATTTGCTTTGCAATGCATTTGCACATGTTTTCATTTACAGCAAGTTTCCATCGTCCTATCCTTTTGAGTTTGCTTCCCTTGTTTCCCAATTTGCAGCCTGCTTCTCCTAATGAAAACACTCTGGGCATTCTTGGCCCTTGTCTGGCCCATCTTAATTTTGTGCTGCTTGGCAATTTTTTATCTTGCACTCATTTCTCAAATACCAGCTAAATTTCAGTCTACAGTTTCAGAGCTTTACATGGTCAACTTCTCTAGAATCCATGGAGATCCTCTGTTTGCAGTGAGTCTATCAGTGCAGGGACTCACTCCTGGTCACCAATCACAACTTTCACTGTTGGTTTATCATTTACCAATCAAACATGAGGCATCATTTCCCTGGAAACAACTTCTTTTGTGTTCTGATTGGATGGACGTCAGATAACTGAAGCTTGGGTGTTATCTCTGTGGATATGCAGTAGCAAAGGTCATTGAATGTGGGACTTCTGCTTTTTTTCTATTTCATTACAAAGGTTTGGTGTTTTAAGTGAAAATAAGCGGCTGAGTTGTTGTTTTTCCACCACTGATGAAAGTAAACAAAGACAGCACAGTGTGTGAGCGCATGAATGTGAGCTGCTCCGTGCTCTGGTATCTGCTCCATGTGCCGGGTAGTGGGAGGGGGGCGGACACAGTCACAGCCTCTTCCAGCAGAAGTTGGGCGCGATGGGAGGGGAGCGCTCAGTGCTGCAGCTGGACGGCGGAGCGGCTCGTGCTGTGGCGGGCACGTCGAGATGAGACGCTGCTCGTGACAGCAGCGCCGGAGTGATAATGAACGCCTTCAGTAAGTGCTGGGATGGACGAGGAAGGTTTGCCGTCTGCGCGGGGCGGAATAACAGCGTGCCGTTGTGCCTCCGGGCTCCGCGATGGTGTCACCTCTGCGCGCTTTCCCCTCTGCTGTCCGGACAGGGGACTCTGGCGGAGAAGTGACACAGCAGCGTCGGAATTTACACAATCAGCAGTGTGAGCACAAACGTGCGAGGGAGTAGAGGCACTGTCATGGAGAAACAGAGCAGAGTCAAGGAGGAAATGCCGACATCGAAGGAGGAGAAGCGCAAAGAGAAGAAGCCCAAACCTGGGAAGCTTTTCCGAAAGAAATCGCTGAGGTCTGTGGGGAGTTTTATGAACAGAATCATCAAAACTTTGGGCACTTTTACCCACTTTGGAGACGTTGACGCGCATGACGCGGAGGACGACGACGGTGGGTTCCGGAATGGCGCACCTTGCACCCTCAGCGCGAGCTCAGGGATCATGAAAGAGGACGTACAGGTGGTGTGGGATCGCGTGGCCAAAAACATTAGCACGTCCTCTACTTTGTGCACCGGCAGAGAAAAACTCCTGTATCAGTACGGGGACAAGATCCCGGGTGTCCTGGGGCTGAAAAACCACGGAAACACCTGCTTTATGAACGCTGTAGTGCAGTGTTTGAGCAACACGGACCTGCTGGCGGAGTATTTGGGGCTGGAGTGGTATAAATTGGACCTGAGTCAGATCAGACTGAACGGAATGGTGAGGAGTGATGAGGTGATGAGGTTTGGAAAGGGAGAGGTCACGGAGCAGTTGGCATCACTTGTGAGGGCTCTGTGGACTCTGGAGTACACGCCACAGCTGTCTGTGGACTTTAAGGTACAAAGAGAGCAACATTACAGTCCAATTACACTGTCTGCAGGTATATGTTCATAGGTGATGGTTGTATTGTGAAAGTATCACAAACTTTTTCTCAGCCCCTAGTCATTGGGCTTTTAAGTACAAACACAGTTAAAGAAGAGCAAAAAGTGACACTCAATTACAACCCCAAATGTTTATAAAAAACTGATTTTTTAAAGAAGAGTTCAAAGACACCAAATCACATGTAAAACGAAAACAAGTTGTTTTTTTTTAAAACATATATACACATTTTAACTTGATGCCAGCACCATGCTTCAAAACAGTTGGAACAGAAGCATGTTTGCTGTTGTGTTGCATCACCTCGTCTTTTAACAACTCTGTGTAAACCGCTGCATACAAAGATGATCAGTTTCAAGAGTTTTGGAACTGAATGTTGTCCCTACTGTCCCCAATATAAGATTTTAGCTGCTCAACAATTCTGGGTTTCCTGTGTTATAATTTTAGCATTAGGATACCCCTTTTTGAAGTCTTCTACTACAGACCCAAACTGTTGTAAAAGTGCAGGATGTGGTTTGGCATTGTTTTGGTGGAGTATGTAGATCTTCCCTGAAAAAGTCATGGTCTGGGTGGCAGCATGTATTGCTCTAAAATCTGTAGACATTGCTCAGCATTAATGGTACGCTCCCACATTTGGATTAGTCAGACCACAGAACAGTTTTCTGGTTTATCTTAAACGGGTTGAGACCCACTTCTGGATCATTTATGCTTTCCTTTTGGCATGCTACAGTTTTAACCTGCACTTTTGGATGTAGTTAGAAAACTGAGTTCACAGACAGAGATTTTTGAATCTGATTTCAAGCCCCTGCAGTGATTTCCACTACAGAGCAATGCCTGTTTTCAATGCATTTCTCTGAATTTTTTAATGGTATTATCTTCTAGATGATGAATTCCCCCAGTGCTTATATTTGTATGCCAAAGCACATTATTCTGAAGTTGTTGAGCTTTCTGCTCACACAGTCTCTCACAGTGATGAGTCTCTCACCATCTTTACTTCTGAGGGACTCTGGAATGCTCTTTCTATACCAGCTCATGTTACCAGCCTGTTACAGATTAACCTCATTGGTTTGGAGATGTTTCTCCACAAGTTTCTTTTGCAGGACACAATTTCTTCAGTGTTTTGTTGTCTTTGTTCCAGCTTTTAAAAAAAAAAAAAAAAAACCTTTAGATGGCATAAAAATTCAAATGAGAATTTTTTTTTTTAAATAATAGAATAACTATTGCAGATTCAACTTTTGATTTGTTAACCATCAAATTCTGTTTTATCAACATTTTACACTACATGTCAGCTCTTGTAGAATTAGAGTTTTGGGTAAACAACCAAAACACAGAAGGCAGCAGGCCCATGATAAACTTAAATGACCCTAAGACAGACGAAAACAGAAACAGAGAACAGATTGTGTTAACTCCTGTCATATTTAAAGAAAACTGCAGTTTTTAGATATATTTTTAACTTGTTAATTGAATATGTGGTAAAAGGTTGTAAAGACTCTGCTCTTAGATGCATGAAACAAATTAAACTATCCTGAGGTTTATGAATCGTTGATTTAGTGTTTGGATGAAGGTAACTGAAACGTGTTTTCTACATGTTCAAGTAGAGTGATTTATTAATAGATAGCATACACATTTAAGCTTAAAATAGAAGCGTAATGTGTGAGCCACAGCTCTTAACTAACTACTGGCACCAATTAACAGAGGCGTCCACTGATGGAAACATCTCTGACAGCTGTGATTCAAACAAATGGAGCCTATGCGCTGTTTACACACTCCTGTTATGTGTTTAATTTCTACCCAGGTTCTTCAGTGAGTTGTTACATTACTGCTCAGGAAAATATAATAACCTGTTTTGCACACAGTATGCCATAAACACTGTTATGAAGGGCCCAGATCAGTCTGAATATGATATTTAGACAAAATATCAGTGTCACAAGTCTGACTTTGGCTGCTATGATTGCCACCAGGAGAACAAACTGCGCTCTCCTCACATATACTTACAAGCATTAAACGCGCTTTACCCTGTGACTTCAGTGCCGTCCTGACAGGTGATAATGAGGCTGCTGCTCAGAGAGCACACAGGGTCAGCAGGTGTGAGACTGGATCGCAGGGCTGGACTGTTTTTTCCCTTCTTTATTTAACACTAAAAGACTGAATTCACCACATTTACACAGCGGTAGTTTTACTCTGAAAGACTGCTGAGTTTCAGCTACAGGTCAGCTATAGCTACCCAAATATAAAACCAGGAAAAAAAAGGATTCTTGGAGTGAAAATGTGTAGGAACTCTATTAGACTGGAGAGCAGCGTTTAAAACTCATTAGCAACTGTTTGATAAATGCTCATGTTAGCATCAAACTACTCTCTAATTAACATTTTCATTTGATATTTGGAGGCTGATTTAAAAATGATGTTAGCCAGCTGCAGTTCAGATAAACAAGGCTTTGGTTGGCTATTTAGAGTTAGCTGGCTTGAGTATTTTCCAGATATGTTGTTTGATAACTCATCGGTAGTGGAGAGCTGAGTCAGCTTAATCTTCTCATCCAAATACAAGATAATATTTTTCCCTGAAATGAATCTGAACAAAGTGGGATCATGTTTGTCCAGAACAAAGTGGCTCTAAAGTAGGTAATGTTAAACAATAACTGACGCAGGGTTTAGATTTTAAGATAATGCTTATTAATGCAGGAGAGACACCAGATAGCTGTCAAGCAGCCAAGAAAGATGGTGTCAGAATGTAATATCTGAGGCCACTAAAGTAAAAAAAAGACTTCTTTATAATGTGTTTCTAAAAAAAACTGCCCAATACCAACAGACTGCAGGTTATTTTAATTTTAATAGTGTTCAAACACCAATATCACAAGAGGTTTATAACCAATATATCCAAGGAATGAGTGAATGCTATCATGAGCCTTCATCCAACAGAAGCTATTATTACTATGTGGGTGAAAAGACACAATGGGGATTGCATGAATTAGCAGATGGTCATGTTAGCCAGCTAACAACAATTTTAGCTTGGAAATGGTTGAGTACAGGGATGTCCCAAAGCAACTGCTTTCCTTTTTTATGAAGATGGCAAATAAGATTCAGCCTTCCCCATGAGAAAACCCTCAGAGTGCAGTCAAAATTAATCATTTTTTAATCCAGACAAATATAGGATCAGAGAGTCTGGCCATGTAAAATTGTGTCTACAAGTGTAGATACCATTAGCAGTACTAGCACCACCGGCCTTTAGTTCTCCCGCTTGCTGGTTAGTGTCTGCGTGTGTGTGCTGGTTAGACATCGCTCAGGTTGAGTTTTTTCATACCAGTTAGGTGTTGTTAATGTTCGGTAATAGTTGGTTATATGAAGATGTTGAATGATGACTAATGTTGAATAGTGAGCACGTTATTTTTTTACCTCCAGATTTTACTGCTCTCTCCCTGCCTGCATCTTTTCAGTAGTGGCATGGAAGTAACATTTTTATGAATTACAGCCATGTAAATGTGGCAAATGCTAAAACTTCAGTGAATAACAGAGTACAACTCCATAAACCTTGCTAGGTGAGCTGAATCCTAACATCATAGATGCAGCTCAGAGCTCCAGTGGATAATTTTCCTCCTCTACCATGAAAAAGAAAGTACTTTTTTATTAAGATGTATGTTGGTGCAGGACAAGGAAGATTTACAGTGATAATTTTCAGTGTAGTATCGTCCTCACTGAGTCGAACTGTGACAGAGCTTTATCTGGAGACCCTAATGCTTCCATACCCTCACTTCTGGGCAATCATTCTTTCTTTATCTGCATCTCTTTGCCTGAATTTCTCACATCGTCAAAGGCAAGAAGTGGATGGTATGGAGCCACTTATAAAGACACTTTACAATGGACCTATTCCTGGAATTTCTAATTACTCTGTAGGGAAAGAGTCTAATTACTTGGCTGCAGGAAAGCCTGGACCTGTATATTGTGTGAACTTTGATTTTATACCTTTGACTAGAAAATGTAATGAAAAATCTGTAGATTGTGAGTCTTTTTTTGCCCTTTTGCTCTCCTATCTGTCAACCAAACATGCTTTATGTCAGGGCGGTAAGCTCATTTGATGTTTTAATGTTTTAATACTTTAATACTTAATTCCACATTTAAGTGAAATCGCAAAATTATTATCACTGAACTGCTTTTTAATTGATTAGCGAGCGAGATATTGAAGAAAAGTGAAAATCTGAGGCGATGTCAAGTCAGGGATACCGCATGGTGAATCAGCAGTTATGCATATTAAAGTCTCATAGACCCCTTATGGGAAACATAGTGGTCCAGTCTCACCCTGGCCTGTGAAAAAGTTATAAACAAATTGACACCAAATACTGATTTTAAGTCAGTTTTATTTATTTAATAGTGAAAAAAGTACAATTAAAAAAGTCTATCTGAAGTCTTGCTTGGCTGTGCTCCCATATCTAAGGGTTCAAATGTGACTTCCTGCTGGAGGAACAAACGACAAATAAAATGTTTAAATTAATCGACAAAGTGAGACATTAGTGTGCTAATATAAAAGTCATTGAATTGAACATTTTCAGTGAAGTGTGCGCTAGAAAAGGTGAATGGGACTACTGAAGGAATAGGTCTCGTCTGCTTATTTGTAACTATTCTTATTGAATTGTATATTTCAATTGTCTTCATTACAACAGATTCCAATGAGCTCTGTTGTTGGGCAAATTAACATAAAAGTGAACATTTTGATTCATAGTCAGTGTAAAAGGTGAAAGTGCTTTTTTGTTCTTATTCACACTAAATTGAATATTTTCAGTGATAGTAATATTAGACAAAGTAAAGAGGATTTCTGCTGTAGTATTTATGTTGACATTTTTCCCATTCAGCTCCCCTTGTTCTTTTACATATTAATCCTCAAATTAAAACGAGGTTAAAGTCATATCACTACCTCTTATTGCTTGAGCTATCTTGCAGCAGTTAGTGAGTCAGAGATGTTGCTGTCTCACAGATTGCAGGACAGAACGTTGGATGGATGGGATCCAGTACCTCCTTAGGCTGGTCTTACATCTGTTCCCAAATTTGTCAGTATTTCCTCACTTTTAAGATCATGCTGCCTGCGATGCAGAATCAAGTTTTTGCCACAGTGTCAACAGGCAGAGTTGGAGCACTTTTCCAAGTATGGAATAAACATGATGCATGCCATCAGGTGTTCACTGGTGCTGCTTTGGCAGTTGTTTTCGTTGTTGGGGCATTTTCTGTCTGGAGTCATCTGGCATACTAACCTGGGGTAGTGCTGCATTACAACAATATTTGAGCCTCCCACTCTGAGTGTGACATCAGAGGAAAACTCCCCTGCCCCGTGAATCTGGTGAACTCCCTTGAATACCTCTTGGGACTTAGATGTTATCAAGGCAACAATCAGAGGGAGCAGCAACTCGCCAAGATTCATAGATAGATAAAAAGAAACACACCAAACACTCCCTCTTGTTTGTGATGAAATGTTTCCTGTGTTACAGTAGACAGACACACTCATAGTCCTGCTTCTTGGCTGTGTTTGTGGCCGCAGGGGGAGCCGAGTTCATGCAGCTCAGGCCTCATAAAACTGCGTGTTGAGTAACTCCACAGCTGCCTGAAGTCCGGCATCAAATAATCACATAGCTCCAAGGATTGCAGGCAAATTAACACCCAAATAAAGAAACTGTGGATGAAAAAAAACAAACCAAATGATTGTCAAAGAAGCTCAGGATTCTTTGAAATGCACATTATTGATTTTGTAAGTTAATTACTGGAGGTTGGCAACCATTTATAGTCAACAATATCTTTTGTTGACATGGACCGCTTTTCATTATGATAGCAGCCTGATCAGTAAAAGATAACTTCTCATAAATACTTCATTTCGACATTTCATTATTCCATTTAAAGGGGGAGATTCGTGGTGGGAATGTCCTAATGACAATCTTAACAATAGGATCAGATCTGATTTTGGCATTTTCCAATTGATTGGTGTCAGGCATCTCATCTAGTCATTTGTTGCTGCTGAGAATGAGTGGGAGTGCAACCTAGCAAGCAATTTTACCATTGTTTTCTATTTATTCTTCTATTAAGTTCAAGTCTTATTGGGTTTTGTATGTTAATTTTGCTCCATCCACCAAATTATTTTCCTGTTTTTACACACCAGTGTCCAGTCCGGCCTCCTGTTGTTCCTCAGTTCTGTATGTGTCTCACCTTCAGCAGTACTCATCTTTATACAGACGCTCAAGCAGCACAACTTGCATTTTAAAATGTTTGACTCCATGTTCTCAGACACAACAGGGAACATGCATGATGAAGAGGCTTGTTAATGACTTGCTGTTTTGCATCAACCCAAAACCATAGAGGTAAATTTCTTCCCTGACTTAATGTTTGCCATATTCACCAGCCAAAAATGTAAGACTTGAGTTAAGACTCAATTGTTTGCTCATACCAAACAATTCCTGTCTAATTTGTTGCTTGTAATATATTGAGATATATGTTTGTCTGGAACTGTCAAGCGAATGTGGTTTATATTAAGTTTCATGAGTGGGGGTGGACCAATTACATTTTTTAACAGCTGATGCCAATACCAATAATGAGAGAGCAGATTGGCCGCTATTAATTGCCAATATCTTATTATTGTTGATTTTTGCATTAAAAAAACAATTGGATGATACTATCGAGCGAGAAACAAATTTGCAGAATTCGAGTGAATATTTATTAGATAAATTTAGAGAAGACAGTATTTGGCTCAGTAAAACATTGCCGCTGAAGACTTGTGGATTTCTGTCCAGCTACCAGAAATTATTAGGAGAGGAAAAGACAAATATTGGAGTGACAATTTAAAAAAAGACAGTCTTGTAGAAATTTAATATTCTCTGCACATTAAAATTTAATACACCCTGTGGTTATCTGCTCTGGTAACATATTTTAGATGGACTCTTACTGAATTGATTAAAAAGGCAAATACACTGGATTATGCTGTAGATACCAGAACATGACGAATATATCTTTCAGAAGCAATATGTATTTGCATTCTTCTATACATCAAATCTGAACTCATGTCGAACACTATCCAGCAAGTGTTTTACATTTGATTTGCTGTCGTTTAGGATGGGCAAAATGTGTTTTTATTTAGAAAAGATAATGACGATATCAGCCTTGTGGGAGCCAATTATACTAAAATGCTGTTAAACAGTCCCGTTAATTGGTCCATCTCTATTGGAGAGATACCATCCTCATCCCAGAAAAGGAGAAAAAAAGTGCTCATAGTTATCAGGCTCAGAGCACAGAGTGAGGAGAGATCGTCTGAGACATTGATTGGGTGTGATGATCACATATGGAGAAATAAGAAAATGGAAAACAGTTGTCGATCATACCATGAGGGCTGAAAATATACTCGGATGGCTTGCTAAGGTATATGTGGGAAATGATTTTAGGTGTTTTGATACAGAATAGGGAGGTGACAGTCCATGGGATTTGGGTCCATGAACCTTTTGAAAACACTACCCATCTTACATTAACAGGAATTTATAGAAACTCAAGTGTGGAAACGATTTGCTTTGATGGCGTTGTCTTGAAATTTGCTGTTCCTGTGCATCTCTTTTGTTAGTGTAGACTCCTCCTCCTTTGATCTGAAGTTTCTTAAGTTTATGAATCACTGTGGCCTCCTCTTAGGTCAGCTGGCTGCAGAGTCAGGAGAAAAACCCAAACTGAGTCCTGCTGAATACCTGGATTGCTGCCACATTCCAGAACCACCTGGACCGTCTGGCAGGAGCGAGGCAGCTTTAATAAATGTTCGCTAAAGATTTAGATTCACTGCCTGAGCTGCTCTGAGAGATTTCACTTTCCTGATGCGTCCCGAGGTTCCTCTCTCACAGATGTGTCTCTGACGTCACGACTGAAGGCTTGAGTTTCTTCAACCTGAGCAGCAGATGTGTGCGTTTGATCTGGACACTGCTGAAGCGGTTTATGCATCTCCCCCAGCAGGACGCTGTGTTTGCAGAGAGGGGCCAGATCCTGAAACTCAAACAGTTACTCAACAGTCAATTTATCAGTTTCCACAACAGGAGAGGCCTGCAAGAAGGGAGTGAGGCTGAGTGTGAGGAGGCGGGATGACCCAACAGGAATGTCATCCTCCCTGCTGGGTGTATCGACAGGAAATTTTTCTGGGAGCTTGATAAACGTAGTGACGACAGAGAGCTTTCTCACAGGTATGCGTCAATATTTGCGGTCACCATGTTGATCTTTAATGATTACCTATGTGGTAGGCTGCAAAGAGCCAGACATCCTATAACAGTAGATTATTGACTTTAACCAGGGCTACTTATACTTTGAGTGATTCCTGCAGTCGTCAGGGGGATGAGTGCTAAGAGTTTGGAGTAGATACTGCCAGATCACAACAAAAGCTATCACTGGACTCTGAACATAAAGAGAATGGCGGATCAGTTGACTGTAATTTTATTTAAGGGTTTTTTACAATGAGTTTTATTTAGTAGAAAAGAGTAAACTATCAACGTATTTTAATGGTTCAAGATTGTGTGTGCCAGGGTGAAACTAAAGCTTTCAACATCATATTCAGGAGTTGACAGTTCACCAGTTACACTTTGTGTACGGATATGGCCAGCCAATGGGATAATAAGATAAGGGAGGGAAATTCAATTGTCTGTTGTCTCACATAATATGTCTCTAAAACATATAGTAACAGTACAGATATGGCAAGCCAATGGGATGATATTCAGGGCGGTACATTAGGTGAAACAAAGTGGTCAGGAAAACAGACCCAGACAGAAAGATTCACTTGTAGTGGAACCAACGTGGCGTGACAGGTCGATACAGATTATTGGCCAAACGCTGAACAACGGCTCTGATAATCAGCTAGTGCCAATAATCGGTCCAATCCTGAGCTGGCATACTGTTTTGGGTTCTGTTTTGCTGTAAAAAACAATCCTGCTCCTCCCATTGGTTTTTGCCAGATTGGACTATTTTTTGGCCAGTTGGGCTGTTTTTAGTTTGATTGTTTATGTTGAAATGGGTTGAGGTGGGTGGACATAATTTCAACAGCTTTTCCATGAGTTGGACACGTTTGTCATGATAGAGTAATGGTTACCGTGCCAATAATAGAAAACTTTGGTAGAAGTATGTGTACTAGTTAGAAGATCTGAAAATTATGATAACAGACAAACTTACCTTAAAGCAAATAAACAGCAACAATAAACAGCTGTGATAGACATTACATACTTGAGGATTATTTGGACAAATAATTGGTTATGACAAGTCTTGAGTCAAGCCCCGCCCACTCCTCATTAGTAACAGCAAATCGGGCCCTAAATCTGGCATAAATCATCTAGTGTGTTTGGCTAACTGGACTGTAGTTTCTGAATATTTTTTAAGCTAATAAAAGGGGAAATGGTTTGGAAATATTGAATGTGGCTCAAATGATGAGAAGCAAAGTTATAACGTGTGTTGCTGTGTTTTTTAATTTGCTCTTTATCTTTATTTGGTTGGATGATTACACACATTACAGTGCGGCCAGTGGCTGTTATGACACAGAGAGCAGTAATAAACACTGAGTTCTCCACAACCTCAATTATATCACTGAGACAAGTACCACCTTCAACAGGCTGATGGTAATTACTGTTATTACTCTTGATGCATGACAGCTTTAGGCTCGTAAGTGTGCACAGTTCTCATGGTTTATGTCAGAGCATTTCTGCAAAGCAATCTGTAATATTTATGAGCATGCTCTGTTCTATGTGTTACCTTCTTATACCCGGTCATATATCAGGTCTACAGGACCAGAGGGAGGATGCAGTATTTCCCACAGCCTCACATCATTCAGATTCTGATTGATTGGTAGAGTCTGGTTTTTGATTTTGTGCTCTCTCTCGACTTTAGGTCCACTTATTCCTGTCAGGATGTTTTTGCTCTGTATCTGCATAAAACCTAATGCTCCGCAGTTTCTGGAATGAACCGCGGAGCAGCACTCATTAAGCAACTGCCTGAAGCCTTCGTTATAAACAGCCCAAGTCCTTTAAAAAAGCATAAAAGTCTGTTAGTGATCTTGTGAGCCCTCAGAGGAGCTGAGGCAAGCTTTACTCAGTGTTTGTAATGACACTACACACTGACCTACCTGTTGTTGCTAGCTGCTGATCAGAATGGAGTCATGTCAGGTGAGTAGACGGCGGTTCATCATGTTCCTGCAGTATTTTACAAAGCCTGCCTACTTTCAGATGATAAAGTATTTGTGAAAATCCCAAATTCTCCCATATCTTTGTTTTTAGTTTGGTCAGGACCTCTTTTGTCAAATGACTGATAAAAGAGCAGTTGTGGTTCAGTGGTACAGTTGGTCGTCTCAGTTGGAAGGTTGGTTGTCCACATGCTGAAGTGTCCTTGGGCAAGAAACTTGACTCCACCTGCCTTAACTTTACTGGCAACATAGCAGCCTTTGCCAGCAGTGTGTGGATGTCGTGTCACTGGGTGAATGTGACATGTAATGTAAAGAAAGAGTTATATTAACAGTACATCTACCATTCACTTCAATGCAATATTTATATTTGGCAGTATTGCTCCATTCTCAGAGCTCCCTACTCTTCCTGATGCTTACGTGGAGTTCCAAAGCCTGCAGCAAGTGAGAACACACCTGCCCTCTGTTTCATGTGCAGAGTCCTTGCCCAGACTGGGCGTTAGGGGTGTCCCGATACAACTTTTTTTACCTCCAATACGATACCGATGTTGTAGCCTTCAATATTGGCCAATACCAATATTGATCCGATTTTAGCACAAACTTGCGCATGACAAGTTTTGTACTCAGCTGCAACGTCTTTTTCAGACTTTAGTGAAAAATACTGCCACAGGGCCGACATCACTCCTGCTCCTTGGTACTTTGGTACACACTGTTGTTGGGATTTCATGGGCTCTACATGCTGGATCTGGGTGCTGCAAGATAGAGGTGCCGGAGCGGAGTCTGGAATGGACTGTCTGTATTGGAGTGCTGATATCGGAGATTTTAGAAAGAGGCCGATATAATCCAGTATTCAATTTTTTTTGCTGCTGATCGACACCGTATCAGGATACCCCTACTAGGCGTAGCTACCTTCTCCTCACAAAGCATTGACACACAATAAATAAATGAACATATCTGATAGCATCAACATAATGTACCACTTCTTTATGAGAATGACGACTGAAACACTTGGTGTTGTGGAGCTTTTACGATTAAATAAGCGTGACATCAAAAAGCGGTGTTCATGTTTTTGTTTTGATTTGAGATATGCATGGCACCTTACAGTTTGCTCTCTAGTGCCACCTGTTGGCTTTACTTTGCAATGCAACCATAGTGGGTTGTGTCTCAAATTTGATATCACAGAGATTGCTGCTGTTTCATTTCTTTAACTTGTGCCTAGGGGAACAAATTTGCAAGGAGAACATGAAAATACATCGCCATGGCTCCGACTGATGAGTGTAGCCACATCTGGAAATGAAGTTGTAGTCGTAGTTTCTGTGTGGCGCGTATTTCACTTCATCTGTTTCATTTGTATTGGCAGCTGGGTTTATTTATTAATCCTTTGTGTCCTGTGACTGACTCATCCTTAAGTTTCTATGTCAAATGACAACACTCTTCACTTTTTGACTTCGTGATCCACGCTGAAAGGAAGCGGCTCTTTTTCTCTTTCAAGACGAGATCAGAAGAGAAGATTAGAGAACCTTATTGCTCTGCCAAGGCTGTTTATGAATTTTTATGCTCACTTTTTGCACTTGTCAGTAAGCACGTCTCAGTAACTGCTTTGAAGTTGCAGCCGTGGCTCTGCTCCCACAATTCATAGCTTTGCTCACATCCCCTTTTTTATTTTATTTTTATTTTTTTAAAGAATACCTGAGCATGCTGGTACCATGTTTCCTGTTGTCCAAATTGCAACGTCTGTATCTGTCCATTCTTATGAGATCTGAACTGGCAGCTTTTTAGCGACAGGCCTCTAACTTCATCATTAGACATCCTCCATCACATTATGGTGAGATGGCTAGAAGAGGCATATCACACATTAGTGGATTATGAAGCAATGATTACAGTCTGCTGTTCCCTCTGCTATAATCTCTCATCACTGCCTGTGCTGCTCCCGCCTGCCAGCTGCGGTTCATGCAGCTAATTCCTGCCTAATTGACTCGGGTGCCTTTCACATCTGAAGTCACATTACACTGAGTGAGAGCTTAAGTAGTCCTCAACCTACTTTGAAGGAAGAAAGTTGTTCACACCTCTTATTTAATGTCAGAAATCTTCAAATTTTCATTCTTGAGAACAAATGAAGGCAAAGAAATTCTTTTAAAGAGTGAAACTTTTCCCTCCTAAGTCTCAGACAAAGGCGTGTTTCACAAATCCAAAATCTGTAACAACTGATGGGAGTTAGAGCAAATTTGCAATTCAAGGATTTATCTGATCAGCATTGTGTGGAGAAGCCAGAAGAAGAGCCGTCCAGTGAACACCAGGGCTGCCAAAACCAGTAGAGAAGCGCTTGTGAAAACTTAACATGGCCATGTGATCCTATTTCTTCAACATAACCACTCGTTCAAACCTCCAGACATGACAAATAAAGCTGGTGTGAAAAAGTGAAAAACTGCAGTTCCTCTATTGTCCATTTGGGGCAGGTTGTTTCAGAAAAATATACAGTAAACATCTTTACAGCCTGTTCAGCTCTGAAAAGCTAGCACTTAACTACATTACACCAGTCACTGAGTGAAGGAGTTTCTAGAAAAATATAACAGCCAGGCGACTCAATGATATCTAGTCAAAAAAACTTAAATTTTAGCTAGAATATTTGTCTTAGGTCTTGTCAAAGCATCTCATTAAACTTAAGTTAGACCACAGTAACATGACAGATTCAATGATAAATCTTATTTTAAGAAAATTCAAGCCAAAGTTTTGCGTGAGGATTTTATTTTATTTAGGAAACTTGTCAAGAAAATTTTGCTAGCTGTACTTGAAGCTGTTTTCTCTCATTTCAATCACTATAGGCACTTTTGCCTTGTAAAGCAATCAGCTCTGCACAGTCAACCATGATGTGAGTGTATGTGGGGACAGTCCAGAAAATGCAATACTGACAAAAGATGCTGTAAAAACCTTCAATCACGTCACCATGGATCGATACAGAATTAAAGTCACTTCACACATTGGTGCTATTGCTTATCATCACTGTCAGACAGAAACCTCGAATCTCCAGATTTCAACATGTTAATTTTTTACATCATTCAATGTTATCAGTCATCCTTATCTGACAGAGAGATTTCTGGGTTTTCAACCAACAAAAACAGTTTATAAAAGCTTGTATTTGTATTCCATGAAGTGTTAATTCATTTAAAAAGCAGATGTTTTATATCTTAATGTTGTACTTTTGGAGATAAGAGGTTTCTTCAAGACAGCAGCATTATATCAACATAATTACTTTTGTGCTTATGTGGGCTTCCTTAAACTGGGTAGCATACTTCAATTCCCCAACCCCACTGCAATAGATGAAAAGTTAGTGTTAAATACTCAGTTCTTTGAGTAAAAAACTATAAGTACTTTTTAGTTTTACTTGAGTAGATTAACAGAGAGGCAGTTTTACTTTTACTTATGTAAAACTTTATTAAAGTGTACTTTTACTTTCCATTCCTGCGTCCTCTTTTTTTTGTTGTTGCTTCTGTTACTGGTGTAAACCAGAGTATAGTCTCTGTGTGACTTACTATTTACAGTGAAACTGAGACTCAACAGAAACAAATTAAATGTGTGACTCCTAAATACATGTCACCCAGGAAAGGAAGCCTTAACGCGAACAATGACTGTAGGATTACTAAAATGTAGCATCTGCCCCCAGAGGTATATTTACTGTTCGCCAATGAAAAATGATCCCTAAACTGAGCGTGCTTTCTCCTCTTCCTCTCCAGGCTATAGTGTCCAAGTATGGGTCACAGTTTCGTGGTAATTCCCAACATGACGCTCTGGAGTTCCTCTTGTGGCTGCTCGACCGAGTCCATGAAGACGTCAACATGGCCGTTCATAACAACAACAACAAGATCAAAGCTGTCGGAGAGGTAAGAAACAAGATAGTTAATCTCTATAAATCATCACTACAGCAAAGTGTCACATCGTGTCTGTCTTTTTTATGCATGGGTTAGATCATGTGAGATCATTCCAGATCACATCAGGTCTGGGATTACGTCCTCCCTCACAAACAATAATCTCAGTAATGGCCTGTATCATTATTACTGCCGTGTAGTGTCTGCTTAGTTCAGATTAAGAGTAGAACATAAGTGACGTTTGCTCTGATGTGTAATGCAGCACAAACCAGTTGAGGTTTAAGACCTCCTGTGGTCTGAACTCATGTCCTCCACATCTTAAAATTTTAATGCAAAGGTTCAAACTGCATGTATGATTGATGCATATCTAATATATGACTCATAATTGTTACATATATTACATTAGTAATTTAGATTTTGTGTGCCCTCATATATAGGAAAATCTCATTGTTAGTTATAGTGAGCGAATGAGCTCTACTTTATCATCGTTTTGAATCTTGTCGTCACGTTTTGTGTAATCAAACCTGACTGATAAGGATGTTTTGATTGGATGTGCTGTTTTTTTTTTTTTTTTGGTGTTGTGGTTGTGTCTGTCTCTGTCTCTGTACGAAGTGAACAAGAGGTGTAAGTGTGAACTTAATGAGCCAGAAGGAAGCAATGGAGGATGGTAAAAAAAAATCATTTAAGCCCGTATACAAAAATGACATAAAATCGATGAATCGCCCAGCCCTAGTTTCAGTAGAGGACATTGTATAGTTTTAAAACATGTGGCATTAAATATTTTGACAACTCTACTCTATATCTTTTTAACTAGGAGAGCTGAAGTGGATGATTTTCTTTTTGCACATCCTCTTGGGACAAACCTGCAGGCATGGTGCATCCTGTTTCTCCTTGAGTTAAACTTTGAACTCTCTGTTGTGTACCATTAAAAGAGACTTTCCATGTATTATTAAATATGTTTATACTTTTGAGATCCATTCCTGTTGTTGGCTTTTTTGCTCTATCGGGGTGATATTCATTGTTATAATGTATGAGAGAGAAGTTTCCCCCTCGCTGTTGGTGAGTCACTGTAATTAGATCCCCCATAACTCAGTGCCCTTTGTTTCCTGAGGCGATAACTGCAGTGATTTATTCTGTTGTTTCATCATTTTTGCTCTGAATGTCTGGAGACCAGGCAGCCCCACACTCCCAAGGCTGCACAACAAACCTTTAGTTATGGGAATGACCGACATGTAACCTCCTCTGTATTGAATATTTGTATCAATGGAGGGAGGAAAACTCTGTTTTTCTCTCAAAGAACAGTACCGCATCGTCAGCATGGTCTATCATTACAAAGTCAAGGTCATAGTGAAACCAGGGGAAGCAACACCAGCATCATTTTTCTCCTCCTTCCCTCAAATTAAAAGAGAGTGATAGAAATCTGGGTTTAAGACTGTCTTTCAAAGAGAAACTTGAGATACATCTGCTTTAGAGTCTGAAGTTTCTGTGAAAAATACTGCATGAGCTAAGCTTCGTTTTCTGTCTGAGCCGAGCTGCCCTTTAATTCTGGATAAGAGTGAATGATCAGAGAGGTTTGGGGGAAGGGTGGGGGGGAGTCTGCAGAGTGACTTTGAGTGCATGTGGCTCCTCTGAGGACATGACAGGAGGTTAGGACTGTAGAGCTGCTGATAAGGTCTGTCATGATGAGTCTGCAGCACCCTGAAGAAAATGTCACCACACCTTGTAAACAACCACGTCCTGACAGATGTGGTTGTTGAAAACCTCTCTGAAACGATCTTGAAATATACCCAGATTTGTTTCATGGTGGTGTCAGAACTGATGTTTGACAATGCTTCATTGTCAAACAAGGTCTTAAGGTTTTTAGGTGGTGTAGCTCCATTGTCAACAAAGATGTATTTGAGGGCCTTTCAATGTGCTTTTAATATTTCAGGGCTGCACCAACATGCTTTGAACAAATTGGTCTATCATAATTCACAAGATTAAAGGAGCATTGCATTGTCAAGACCAACAGACCAACAGTGACCAGCAAAAGTCATCAAGGTAATGAGATTTGTGATTCAACAACCAGTCAATAGCTGCGTTTACATGGACACAAATATTCAGAATAAATGCCCGATCTGAATAAAAATGCGTCATTTAAACATGTTGATTGGAAGATTCTGATCCACTTCAGCTCAATCGGAAAGAAATTGTATTCCAACCGAGAGCTGTGGTTTATGCTGATCATTACTCCGAAACGCGTCCATGTAAACACTTCATGACTCTCGTACCTGACTTGATCTTCTCTCTTTAGCCTTTGGTTTATTTACTGAGGCTAGTACAGGAGGTTTCATTATTAACTCTGGCATAAGACACAACCGCAGGTACCGTGTCTGCTCCTCCTGGTAACGTAACAAGGCGTACATACAGCGTAATGATGTCACATCTGCACGCACAGTGCAACCTTTGACAGAAGAGTAAAATAAGTATGCAAGGGCGCCATCTAATGACAACATTTAACAGGTGGAAAACTCCTGAGTTGGATGGAGTGAGCCACGACAGCGTTTGACAGCACAGGCGTAAATACAACTCTTCTTCTGCGGTTGTCTTAATGAACTCAGACAACTCTGTGCATGTCCAAATGCTTCTAATCTGAATAAAGCTTGGTGCATGAATACCCATGTCATGATTGGATTATTTGATTTTGCACCCATATAAACAATGGATTCAGATTATCCGATCCCTCAGATTTATAATAGGATCAAGAAATTTTGCCCATGTAAACATGGCTAATGACAGGGATGTTCATTAACATGTAGTTGATCAGTCATTCAAGCAGACATTCAGCTCCAATCAGCTGGTCCAAAAGTAAGACAAAAAAAAAGAAAATTAAAATAAGCAGGAATTATTAAACATGGCTAAAAACAGGCTCACAAAGTCTGTGGGAGGACAGTGTGAAATCAGTTTAAAGGTTGTGACCAACATTAGCAGAGCTAGCACCACTAGCCTTTAGTCCCCCTCGCAGGTTAGAGTTTGCTTGTCTGTGCTGGGTAGCAAGAAACAATCAACGAACTACTTGATCTCAACTTTCTAGATAAAAATATAAACAAACTGAGCCACACTGCTGTCATATGTGCTTGTTTACATCCAGCCAGTAGAGCCTGATAGCATGATGGCAGTCCTCATAAACGGAAGTTACAGCCCCAGTTTATAGCAGATGGCTTCACTGCTATTTCGAGACATATAATCAGGGTTGGGTACTGTTTCGTCAATTGTGTTTGTTGTCACTGAAAAATTTAGGTTATTAAAAGTAAAGCACAGACCTTAAGGAATTTTCCTTTTCCTTCATTTAAATAAATAATCATAACTTAAAAGAGTCAACACAGTGGTTGCAGTTGTTACAGCCTGCGCCAGAAAGCTAAAGCTGATTCGCTCTTATGCTAAAATACCAGCATGACAGTTTGTTGTGTACATGTACCAACAGAGGCACAGACTGGTGGGAATTTGGTGAGAGAGTGTTGTCAAAAACAGATTATGAAACCAGACTCTACAGGCTGAAATTGAAAGTATGCTGGCAGGAACCACACCAGTACTGTGAGTCCTGTATCCATGGTGAGTTCTTTGTCTAGCCTTGTGTTGGCGATACTCGCTGCCGAGTCCAAATGTCACTTTTGGTTCACTGCCTGGATTGGCCAATTCATTTCCAATATCTGCTGTGAACTGGAGGCATCAAATTAACACTGACAGCCCGCCAAAGGAGGCCTCTTGTGGGATTTTACAAAATACAAAACTTTAGGGCTTCGAATGATAAAAGTAAAAAGCTGATGTCAGGAACGAAATTAAGAAAAACAGAACCACAAGGGAGAGTTTAACGATTTTCATTTGATTGATTATTTTATGATGGCAGTGTTTCCCTCCAAGCAGCAAACACAGAAACATAAGAGGATTAGAAAGTTTACTCTAAATAACAGAAAAAAAAAGGTGTTTGATGGAGGGTGGGATGGAGACAGGAGGCTGCAGCTGTTTCTTATAATTAGAAATGAAGGGTGTAATCTTTATTATAGATAATTAACTTTAGTAGCAGAACATTTGTTTGTGAGCATGTTCATTGTCAGCTCCTACTGTCTGTCTGCTTGCGCCACCGTTTAGTTCTGAACTGAAATTAACCTTCAACAGGCCGCTTTTTTTCCACAGTCCAATTGAAGGTGTTTCCACGCTCTTTTAACTGAATGCAATTATCCTTCTTCTGCTGCTGTAGGGTTACAACAACATCATCAAGGTATACTCACAGGGTACAGAGTCTGGCTCGTGAAAGATTCTTCTTTTATATCATGAGGTTTACACATATAACCGTACTTTTATGAAACCGCCATAACTTTTAACACTCCCACAAACAATGAATGGATGTACCTTTTCCCCGTTTCCCTCTGTGCTTCCTTTATATCCGTTCTCTATGCTTCTAATTTTTCAATGGAGTCTTTTGAATGTGCCAGCAATAACTCAAGAACAAAGAAAACTTGACCTCTTTCACTCATTTGTGTAATAGATCTTCAGTTTTCAAAAGAGGGGGTATACATAACAGCTGCTTTTATCAGGGGCCGACCAACAAAAAAATGCAATAACAACATTTCAGGATTGTTTTTGAAAACTTGAAAGCCTTTAAAAATTTGTTTTACAATCTTAATTTTTCAATTACGGTCCACGTGAAATATCATTTTTGAAAACTAATGATTATCAACAATCAACAGATTACTGGATGTTTGCCCAGTTCTGCAGGCAGGTTCCTGCGAGTGAGTCTGTGCCCACGTCAATTGGCCTGTCTTTCCCTCGTGTACTTAAGGAAATCACAGTGCAGCTCATCAATCATGCGCCTTGACAACACAGACATCTTTTAAAACATGCAGACATCTCAAACTCTGATTAGCAGTAGAAAAAAAAAAAGGGAGAGATACTGATTTGCAGTCACCGACCTCAGCGGACCAGTGAGAAACCAATAAAGATGCCCTGTAAAAACTTTGACTTCCCCTGAATCATTGGGCCACAGGCAATGTCGGAGCTCAATTTTTAAGCATTGATTCAACATGCTGAGCCTGTGATCAGCTCTGCGCAGAGGTTTCTGTGAAATATTCAGCTGCAGTAGTGGTCTTCTGGGCACGATCAATGACTCGTCCTTTCTCTTGTTAATCTTTTTGTCATTTTATTGTCCTCTGAATATCTCCAACTTGTTTAATTAGGGATCATTTCAGGAGAACACAGTGCAGTAGTCAGATATTCTGGATGAATATGAATGGTCATAGATTGAGTGAGTGAGAGAGAGAAAAGAGAGCAGCGCTCTGGCTTCTGTCCAGGGCAGAAAATCTCAAGTGACAGATGTCTCTTATGTTAGTCCAGGCCGTGTGCCATCAGCCAGAGCAGGCTCTTTGCAGACACTGAGGTTTTCAAGGTTTCAGGTTTTATCAGGGAGGAAACATGTGGTCAGATAGGCTTCTGCTTAGTATCAGGAACGAGACTGAAATAATTCCAGTAATTCTGTCTCCTCATAAATCACAGTCCACTTCTTTCTTCGATCTTTGCTCTGTCTTGTTCACGGCTCTTACATACTGTACCGATATAAAAATGTACAGTAAAGCTGTGGTAAGCTGCCCACTATCTCTGCACCACCTACTGAGGAGCTCTGTCGGGGGCAGAGAGGGCCTCGCTGAGGGCAGGAGAGGGGCAGCTGCAAGAAAAGTGTCTCATCACAATCTGGTGGAGCTTTGAAGAGAAATTCAAGGTGATTTTGGGACCTGTGGTAGTTTGTGTGATTGCTGAATTGTTCTTTTTTTAAGACCAGGGTCATAAATGCCTCTGATATTGCTGAGGAGGTGATCAGGTGTCAGTGAGTAAACGCTTTTGCACTGAAAGGAAACCAGTATTTATAAATTTGAAGAAAAAAAAAGAAGCTTTTTCATGCCTGGAGCTGCAATGAAGAACTGTTCTCTGATGATTCATTACATTACTTAAGGAAATAGTAACAGTGCAGCCATGGGATATAACTTAAAGTTAGAGCTACACTAATGGCATCCGTGCCATTTTCAATATGTTTTTGGCAAAGTCATATGAAGGCCAAGGGGCTGTGAGCTGAGCTGCCACTTGAAGTTGGATTTGTTTGCAGACATCTGGCTCATTTGTAAAACAGGATATTGTTTTCAAACCTCATTATGACAGCTTTTAAAACATGAAGACTCTCGTTTATATTTCATTATAACTCAGAGTGATGTCACATACCTTTAAGCCCAGCAGTTGTAAACTCATTAGCACCCATGCACGCTCGTGATCGCAGCTGCCTCTCTCACAATCTGTCCCTCAAGTTTTGTGACTCCTGCTCCTCTCCCTGCTCTCCTCACTCCACCTGTGGCTGCCCGATAGTTTGTTAAACTATGACACAACATGGGGCTGCAGCAGTCCACCAACGTCCTCATGCCCTGAACTTTGTTTAAGCGTCTGGTAAAAGCTACTTGAGGGGTTACTTGTAAAGGAAGATACCCTCCACTCATCATAGAGAACAAAACAAGTACAACACAACAGGCGGCACAACAGCCATTCAGTCTAGATGATGGTATCTTCATGACTGTGGGAAGCCCTAATCAAGATTGAAATTTAAATCCCATTAATCTCAGCCCTAAGGCCTTCAGTATTTCCTCCTGCTGACACAATTCAACAACTCTATCAAGTCTTCATAGGGTTCAGAGCAAACAGTTGCTTAACTTTAAAGCTCTTGCAAAGAATTTGTTTCTGTAGGTTTTGTTGCCCCCTTTGCTCTTCCTTGAGCTGCAGTCAGTTTGGACTCACCCGAGGTCTCTGTACAAACAAGCGGCTGCTGGAAGAGAGTAGGTGAGTTGTGTTTTGTCTCTTTGCTAAAGAAATTAGGCAAAGCTAAAAAGATGTTTGGTGGCTAGTGCTGTGCCTCGAAACCCTATATGTACTATTGATCATGTTAGGTGCTGTTCTAAGCATTATTTGTGGCTATAGAGTGGCTTTGTAGTTGAGTATGTGGCTCCTGGGACCGCTGTGTATTGCTATCCTGTGGTCGTTACTAAGGTTGTTATGACTAGAGAAGCAAGCGGTCAGCAACAATAATCTCTCGAGGGGGTGTCTAACTCTGTGTTACGGTGTGTTTGACCCTAAATTAATTTTATGCCGGAATATCCGTTTAGCTGCTCTGCTAAGATGGGATGACTGGACCTTTACAGGCCAGCTGATTGCAGATACAGCCCTGATTGATTGATAGACTAAAACAAAGATGGCACCCTCTGTCTGGAAAAGTCATGAAAAAACAAAATGTGAATAATCATTACCTTCATTTTTGAGTAATTGGACAGTGCAGTCTCTGATAATACACTGGTCTTCTCTGGGGTATATATATGTTACAGCTTTTCCTTTTTCTTAAAAAAAAAAATTGGTTCCAATTAAAAGATTTTGTGATTTATTTCAATTTGTCAGCCATAATTTCTATAAACAGGTTAAAGAAGCAAAGTCTTGAATCACGTTCAGCTCAGTCATTGATAGCAGCCCAGTTGTGAGTCAGGTATTGGGACCGTAAAAATATACGGTTAGGGAATGTTTATTTGTTGATTCACCTCTGAGTTAATCCCGCTGGAGCTGTAATGGGGGTGCAGACTGGCTGAGTCAAACAGGGTCAAAGCCAGGCCGCCTTGTTTACCAGTCCATGCACGTCCCCTCTCACAGCCAAGGAGTCGGCACAGCTCCATCCTCCTCTGCTGCTTATGCTTGTTGTTTCTAGGCATGCGTCGTTAGTTAGCGCTTGGTGCAGGAGAGACGGAGCCTGGAGAAGGAAAAGGTAGGAAAAGGGAAGAAGACCACCCCCCTACATTTCCCCCGCTCTGTCCCCCGACCATGTCAGGCTTTCTTGTTCGAGAGTCAGAGAAGTTAAAGCCGATGTATTTTGTCTTTGTAATGGAGGGTGACAGTTCAGAATCCTGGACACAAACAAAAAAGACACACTGGACCCCCGATTTAACATTTACTGTTGACTTCCCATTGCTTTGACTCATGTGGGGGACATTCTCTCCCAGTTTGTTTGTCGTCCATCACTGAGGAAACACTCTCTCTCTCCCTCTCTGTTACTCTCTCTCTCTCGGCTCTCTGAATGTGCCTCTTTGTAAGTCACTGGAAGAAAGAGACACTTGTTGTGCAGCTCGGGTGCAGAGAAGAAGAGGTGAGAGTGGCTTTAGGTCTGGGGACAGTGAGCAGTAGTGACAGTTTGAGGAAAAAGAGAGGAGAGGAATTCTATGTTGATTCTTAGAGACTAAAGTAGCTGTAGAATCAGAAGATGTTTTTCATTAAGAAATGTGTCCTGCTAAGAAAAGGCATTGATTTTGTAAATAGGCCAGGCTCTTGAGGAACAGGAGGTTATACAGAGACAGAAACACATCTACTTTATTGGCATCAGAACAACAGGAACATCTTGAATATGCTGTTTGCACAAGTGACTAGATTTACTCTTTGCTACTTGCTCTAGCATTATAATCATAGACTGTATATACCATGGACAACTTGGTTCCACCTTCTGCCAGTATACAGATTTGAAGCCGAAAAGCACTCAGTATTTCAGGGTTTTTTTTTCCACTTACTGAAACCAACATTGTGCAGTAGCGTTGTACACATTCAGTGGGCAGTGGCATCGTATGATAATTGAGACTGAACAATACTGCACTTCCTTCTGCGTCTCACTTGTTTTGTCCTATACCCTCCCTCTCATTCTTGCTCATGCTCAGATGAGCAGCAGTAAAGTTTGGGAGCGCAAGAAAGTTGAAATATCTTCAACATGTTGTGCTACAGCAGTGAGAACTATCAAGCAGCCACAGGTGGAGAGAGGAGAGTTTCTGCTTATGTGCATGTGTGTCTGAAAAGCCAACACAGCAACACAGGAGCAATAGCAATCGCAAGCATGAGCAAGCGGTACCAAGCTAATATTTCCAGGTTAAACGGTGACATCAGTCTGTATCATATCAAAATAAATCCTTACTGACGTGTTAAAGATGCAGACTTGAAAAAGGCTGAATGGTATGATGGAGCTTTCGTCTGTGATTAAATTGAAGTGGTGGAAAAGCTCAGACCTTTACATGTAAAATCACTTTTAAATCAAATATCAAAGCTGAAAATTTAATTGAAATTGAAGCCCAATAATTATCCAGTCCTCACTAATATATGTCAGTTTGAATCATGAGGGTATTTTGGCTTTACTTTTGGAGGTGGGAGTGGTGTCCATCTTTTTATTCGGTCAGTGCTACTCAAGATGAATGGTCCTCCTGTGCTGTATGAACTCAGTAATACATGACTGACTTTTAATAATAGTTGATGAACCTTGCCCTCCTCCTCCTCCTCATTACCGGCACAACAATCACTCTGTAGCCTCGCTTTGTGCTCTCCTCTCTGTCCTCTTCCTGCAGATTTGATTTGCACCATGTAGGCTGTTGTGTTCTGAAATGAGACATTACATCCAGACAGTGACCCAGACACCGTACCAAGCTTTTAGGCCTTCTTTTTTAGTTATTCCTGCCGTGCATGCCCATAAATGCGTCTCTAAAGCCTCAGCTGAGGCATGCAGCAGTGTGTGTGGTCAGTGCTGCTGTCAGGGCTGGCTGCGAATGGTTCTGTTGTGTGTTTTCTGCTCTGTGTGTTTGTTAATGTGAGTTTCTTCCCTGCCAAGCTGAAATGGCTTCCTGTTGCTTAGAGTCGCCCAGCTGGAAAAGCACCTTAGTGTGAAAGGGTCCGAATATAACTGAATGTGTGTTTTTAGGTCCTCTCCCACCTCCAAAACAGGTCAGTGTTGATTGGCTGAGACTTATAGACTCCTAACAGATGCGATCAGAAGGAAAGTCTGCATGTAGATATGAGTCTAAAATGAACTCTGATGTCTTTGTCTAAAAATAGTCCCTCTCTGTGTCAGTCAAGGAGATCTGACAACGTACTCGCCTCTTAAAAAAAAAAAGAAAAGGAGCTGGTTTTGTGTGCTCTGGTGGCTCACTGTGGCACAGACACAATTAAGCTGCAACTGTCTGATGGCGCCAGACAACAACATGCATCAGAGACGAGTTAAAGGACATTTTTTATAAGCTGCAGGGAGCTCAGCCCAGAGGACATCTTCTCATTAAGTCATGGATTGGCTTGTGCTTTTGTGAGACTTCTTAGAAAGGCTTCATGGGTCTGCTGTCTGAAAAAGTTGAATATACTTCAGTTGGAATTGGAGCGTCACAGTCAATCAGATTTAATTGCAGTCTCAATTTTGGCATTCCCAAATCCAAAATCATGACCGACGATAATGACTGATGTTTGACCCATGTTCTACCTAGAAAACCTCTCTGCATGGATGTGATTATTGATTGAAAACTGGATACAAAGACATGCATCACCCATTTGAATTCAGAATTCAGAAAAATCAAGGGAACACTAGACTACATAATTATTAAGTTACTACAGCCTTAAAGCTATGGTCTACGATCTGAAAACCAGTTTGGCTGTTGAGACAGATTTGAAAAACGCAGCCTGCCCCCCCTTCACTCACCCCTCCCCTCCGTGTTCCAAGACCCCGCCCCCCAAGCTCATGTCGCCTCCTAACAACACACCCCCTCCGATAGAGCAAGAAGCCGGCTGGCAGAAAATAGTAAACAAACACGACAATCATCCCCCATGTAACACACAGTGGTAGCCATTTCAATTGGACCGTCACGATCAAAACCACATATTAGCAGGGTGAAGCGGGTCTGGCGTCGCCACTGCTAGCCAGTCAGAGCAGAGCCGATTGTGGGCGAGGCTTTACCTTTCTCGGCGTGTCTTCACCAGCTCAATTTACAATGCTAAAGATGCGTGGCTAACTCATGCTAAAATCTGTTGACAGAGCCTACCCGTTCCGACCACCACTACACCACCACTTTTTTTTTTATGGCATTTAAATTGTGTATATTGTAGAAAGCTTTATTTTTTCTTCTCCCTTTTCTAATTTTTTTCTTAATTATTACATTTATCTAAGTTCTTAATATTAGGACCCTTATTGTTATAACTGCATTTTTGCACTTTTTGTCTTGTCTGTGATGCTGCTGTGACAAAAAAATTTCTCCCATGGGGGATCAATAAAGGAATATTCTATTCTATTCTATTCTATTCAACAACATTCAGTCATTAGCCAGTATAGGCAAAGACTAACCAGAGTTATTCAGCAGACATCTCCCACTGTAGTAAACAAAGTAATTACCTGTTCAACAAAAATTTGGCTGTTTCAGCGTCAGTTTTCAGTCCCAAATCCTTCTGCAGCTTTTTCCACCAGTCGTACGTTTCTCCAATGTAGACTCTCCGTTGGCACCTGTTTCACTCATATTTCTTCCTTACTTCAACCTTTTCCTTGAAACTTTTACGTTTCCTTCCCTTTGATGTGGAGGGCAACAGAATCGGCCTTCTGGTTTTGGTGTTTGTCTTCTCTGGTTCCATTACGCTTCCCGCATGGGCGGGACGGTGCGGAGCAGGGGAGACGGGGGATTGGATGGACTCCTGGACCAATCCGAACTGCAGGGGGTACGGCAGTTCGGATTGGTCGATTAGTATGCCTTTTTGCAGCGGATATACTGAATGGATTTTTTTCGTTCTTTTTTAACTTTATATTGCATAGATCAGACCATAGTACCATAACTATAAATGGTGTTATTAATAAGTACACATACATATTAAACAGACTTATGTACATGCAGATAATAAGACAAGTGATGAAGAGGTGCAAAGACCTTCGGAGTGGATTAATCTCTACAGTGCATAAATAAAATCAATTTAGTCCAAAAAAAAGGGAGGAAAATAAAATAAAAATCATTTTAAAGAAAAAAAAAAGACATAAACTAGAGTGATTGGGGCCAAAAATGCCAAAGCAGACTTTTTTTCCTCAGTTAGAGCAAAATAATAAATAAATAATGGTTATCATTTGACTGCAATCATGAAGGCACAGAAAAAAGTACCAGTCTGCAGCACACAAAGCTTGGAGAGTTATTGTTCAAACTCTCACTGATCTATTAACTTTGCCCGCGGAGTCAAACAAAGCTCTCCATCTTGTTTCAAAGTGAAATCAACAGCCTGATTCTTCATTAAATGTAAAGAAATACCCTCACACACACAAATCATTCCCGTCTCTGCTGGGTCTGACTTTCAGACAGTTTAAGTGAATCAGATCTGCTGAGTGGAGGCTTTCCAGAGAGAGAGAGAGTGTGTCAATTCAATTGGCTGAAAGGAGGCTGACTGCAATGATTTAAACAGTTGTTGATAGAAATAATTTAAGCAGGGAGGTGCGCCTTTCACGCCAAGTCCACTTTTAATGTGTTATCTGGAGTTAAATTGAATCTGCCTGAGAAGATGAATGGATTTTTAAAATGCAATTATTATCAGCCCAGACTCACCAACAAATGCCAATTTAGATTTGGAGATTCAATCGAATAACCTTTGTTAAGTTTGTATTTCTGTAATGTCGAACACATGTGTTGCAGAGTGTGATGGCCATTACAGCTCCTCTTAACAGACAGGTAACAGAGGCTCCTATGTGTCTCTGCTGACTGATGTGTGCAGTCATCTTATCCTCCTCTGTGTCAACGCAGTCATCACATCAGCTGCAGAGGCAGGAGGGTAATAATAAAGCTCATCAGCTCAGGAGGACGACCCGCCTTCATTAGAATTAATTTCCCCGTCAGCCTCTCCTGCTGCTCTCTTCGAGGTGAGATAAATCCTCTTGAGAGACGTCACACAAAGTCAAAGTTAGCAGGAACATCTCTACATGACTTTAGCCAAGTTTGCTCCCAGATTTTAAATGTTTAAAAAGTTCATTCTTTGAAAGGAGGCTTATTAAGTACTTTTTAAAGGTCCTGAGAGGGGTTGTCATGATTTGTTGATGGTGGTTTTCTACTCGTTTTCCAGGATTTTTCCCAAGAGCTCCATCGCCAACAGATGTGCAAACAAAACTATATTCTTATGGAAACATGCCATTGATTACAGCCAGGAACATTTTGAGTTTGTTTTTTTTAAAGCATCAAGCTGTTATTTTCAACCGTTTGACTTTTTTTTGTCTCCAGTTAAAACCACTAAGTCACATTGTATAGAGCCCTATAAGGCTGGTATGATGAGCTGTTTACATGATGTAGTCTATTAGCCCATCAGGGTTATAAACTCCTGTGTTTTACTTCTGTTTCTGACATGTTCTTGAATCTTGTTCACTTTGACACTCTACATGAGCCAAAACAAAACAGTAGACTGACCTCAGTGCTGCAACCAAGACATGAGAGAATCAAATATACCTATATTTACGCCTAATACTAAACTCAGACGGTGCTAGTGAAGGAGCAAGAGAGGCAGGGACTCAGAGCTCCTGTTCATTTCTAGATAGTTCCAGGAGTTCATATAAAAATGAGGCATTAGAGAAACCTATTTCAAGGACCTCTCACATTGTTGTCATGATCAAAACAAGTGCTTTCATTCTACTCACTCACTCCTCTTGTTTTCTCAGCTTTAGTCATTGTCCTCTTATGACTCAGTCTGAGGTCAGATCACTAAAGTGATAAGCTAAAAGCTTTGGTCATCTCCAGTCATCCTACCTGTGAATCATCCATATCACACCCAAAACAAAGACTATTTGCAGCTTATTGTTCTGCACTTTTCCACCAACTTTCTCCACAGCATTGTCTGTCAAAGTCTGCTTACGGTGCATCTAGACTTTTCCAGCCGCATGAACGAGTCTCCACCACCTTTTCTGTCTGATCCGCCTTTTTTCCCCTCTGTCTCATCATTCCTCTTGTTGAAAGCCATTTCACTTCAATCTAGCGGTGATAAAATTCATTTTGAGGCTGTGCTCTCTCGTCCTTACCTCTAAGGGTGAAGAAAGGGAGCACACAGACTACCTCCATGATGTTTATTACCTGATGTCTCTCACCTCCAAAGGGTTGGATTTAATGAACAGCCTTTGAATCTGGCCAAACTACCAATAAGAAGTGTCAACGTTGTGATGTTCCAGTTTGAAACCACACTGAACTTTTCCATTACCTGTTCCTTTGATTAAACATTGATCTCGCCTTTTTGAAAAATTCTCTACTTCTCTTTTGTCTGGAGTGTATCGCCCAATAGTTCCTAAATTACTGAGAGTGTGTAACATCAAAAAGGCTGAGTATGTTTTAGTTTTTTTTTTTGTAAAATAAAGTGAAATCAGTAATGATTGTTAAAAACTTCTACCTGAGCCACTTCAGGTAGATTGGTTTGTCTTTCATAAGTCCAGTTGTATTACCGGGTGTAATCTTTGCCATTGTAATTTCTCACCTCTAATATGAAAGTCTAAGAGGTGTGACTTTTCGGACCACATTTTTCGGCCAGCTTTGGAAGTAGAGAAGAGGTAAGACATGATCACTGCACAGGCTGTTGGTGCTAGTTCTGCTATTTAGCCACTCTCAGGAAACCTATTTGGCTTTTTTTTTTTACACCCAGACTCTGTAACCCTGTATTGAGCCATGTAAAATAAAATGTGCCCAAAGATGAGACAGGATCACCTGACAGGCCAATGCGTCATTTCTACTGATGCTGACCACTGTAGGCTCCACAGCTCAAGGCAGAACATTTATGATCATTACTTTATCATTTCCTTGAAGTAATAATCATCATATTAATAAATTTTGCCTTAAGGTCCTTACACACTGCAGCCGACGCGAATATAGAACGTGAAGTTACGAAACAATAGGAGAATTTTGACACGCCTGACGATACACATCAAGCCCGATGCGATTTTGCGACTTTCCGGGGGGGAAAAAGACGCGTCGTGGGTGGAAGCAAGACGACTGAAACAACAGCAGACTGAGTGTTTTCAGTTCTAATAAGACACTAGTGTTGAGATGGCTGTGTGTAGCATGTAGTATACTATTCTGCTGGACTATGGATAGCAACTGAGTCGGGCCAGTAGCAGATAGGCACATTAAGCTATAATCCATAAACGTAAGGTAACAACCAAGACCTAACGGTGCTGTGACAGCTACATGATTGAGTTTGAGACAGTGAAAATGCATATGGTATGTTGTATCTGAACAGGTTAGCTTACGAGCTAAAGTTACTTAGCACAGATGAAAGTTAAAACAAAGACGTTTAGCAAACTGTTAAAGCACACAAAACATCGTCATATGAGAAATCCGACGCCATGACGCTCCACAAGTTGTCCTTCAGGTCGTTATCTTTGTAATATTTGTGTTTTTTATCAAAAAGCACTCTGTTCTCCAACACGTAAACAATTAGCCGGTCGGCCATGTTGGATATACCAATGAATCAGACGTTGCAACAACACAGAATCTGATTGGTCAGAAGTGTACACACAGTAAACGAAACTTTAGAAAAATCCCCCCAAAAAATTTCACAGGATGGGAAAACGTCGCTGATGTGAACACTTGTATTGACAGGATACGGGTTCGAAAAAAATATTGACGTCTGAAATAATCCCATGTAAAAAATGGTCAGCTGGTGTGAAAGGACCTTCAACGTCTCGGTCTAATCGCATTTCCATGAAGAAATGATCATAAATGTTCTTCCTCGAGCTGCATCACCCCACTGCAGTCGATAATGGACTAGTCGAGGTCTTGCTATAAACAAGCGGCTGCTGGAAGAGAGTAGGTGAGTTGTGTTTAGTCTCTTTAGGCAAAGCGAAAAAGATGTTTGGTAGCAACTGCTATGGCTGGGACTCTATATGTACCTTGATTAAGGTGCTGCTCTGAGCAGTATTTGTGGCTATAGAGTGGCGTTTTGGTTGAGGTTTGTTTATGGCTCCTCAGACCACTGTGTGTTGCTATCTTGCGGTTGTTACTTGCTGGTATAAGCTGGTATAAATAGAGAAGCAAGCGGTCAACATTCATCTCTCGAGGGAGTGTCTAACTCAGTGTTACGGTGTGTTTGACCCTAATTAATTTTACGCCGGAATATCCCTTTAATGTTGGCTAAATTCAACCACCCAACCTAGCTGCGCAATTGTAGTAACGAACCTTAGATGAGTTAACCCACAGGATTCATTTTTACAACATCCATTTCCCAGCCTGTCCATCAACAATGTGCAGAGAGGAAAGGGTGGCTCCACAAAAATGACCATTGAATGTGACCACTTCTGACAAATTGCGCTGATTACGTCATCTGGAGCCAGAGTCTGCTAAAATGTCACAGTGAAGTCACTGTATTGACATCCAGCACTCTTTACTTCCCAAAGCACACATTTGACTTACTGATTAGTCCACAGCAGAACAGATTATCATGTTGGTTGGAAGCAGACGCTCGCAGATATGGAAAGTCCAAAGGCGCTTGTGTTGGTTTTTATGTTCTCTCCCCATGTTCTGCCTCTTCTCTGATTATCTTGTGCGCACAGGAGCCTCATTTGTCAACAGAGCCGTCAATCAAGATTTATACCCATTTGCATATCATCAAAAAAATGGACAAAAATGAAGTTCCTGCAAAAATGAACACTTGTGTATAAATTAGAATGATAAGAACTGACTTATCATGTTTGAGAAAAATTTAATTGACTTCAGTGTTTGACGCATGTCCCATCTGTTAACATGAGGGAAGTCCCACACTGCAGCCAGTCACCAGAGAGAGCTCTTAAGTGTTTTGGCCTTATTTTTGAGGAGCTGTCACAGTGTGTGTCTGTACATTTATTGTCCTGTCAGTCAAAATTTTGAGTAGTTTGGACTCAGAAAACTCTTATAACTGCTGTACTTTCACAAAACACAATCTGAGGTCACTTTGAGTCCACGCAGCGATGCCTCTGCACTGTGCAGGTCCGTACAAACCCACCTCCACCCGCAGGGAATAATGGACCAAAGAGAAAAGCCTCCATTCTCGGTATCATTGGGACTATTTATAGCGAGGTACACACGCCACAGGAGGGAGTGTTAAAGAAGACTGTCCATTATTTATCACAGCTCTGTGTGTCAGCTGTGTGCACTTACTTTGACTTTTCTGAGCCGTTCAGATACTCTGCTCTTTTCTCGCTCTATCTCCCGCTGTCTATATATCGATATACACACACAAGCAGCTTCTTCATACCTCCTCCTGCGTCTCTCTTTCTCTGTTACGATCACCGTGGGGGTTCAGGTGCTGCTGGCTCTTGTTCTCAATCACTCCACTATAGTGCTTTTACTCCAGCTGCAGCACATGTCCATCCCTGTGTGTTTGAATTATTCACAATCAGGACCATTACTAGGAACACTCACCCCTTCTAGCCCCCTCCCCGCAACCCCCTGTTACTATCCCCCTGAAAAACCCATCAGGATGAGAAAGGTGGTCTGTGAAGATGGGGGGCACATTTCCTGGATTTTCTAGCGCATGAGTTCCTGCTCACAGAGATGAATCACTCCCGGCTACATTTTTGGGGGTGAATTATTGAAAGCCTCCCTGATGGGACAAAGTGCACTGTTAATATGTGCGATTTTAGGCTTTCAGGCAGATGACCAGGAGTCTTTGATTTAACAAGACATGGTGGTGGCTCCTCTGTGTTTGTGTCCTCACTTTTCAGATGTATAAATAGTAGGGGGAGTAAAGGTGCACGTATTCATACCAAACCTTTTGAGTGCGCCACTTTTGGTTCAGTTAAGATGTTCATGGAACTGTTGGGTGCTGAACTTTTTAATATGGTACTTTGAGACCACAACATCCTATGTTAGTATTCAGCAAGGGATGGGCATGATTTCTTTGTCCAAACAATGGGACATAGTCACTAGCGTTTCCCCTAGAATTATTTTCAGTAGCGGGGCTGGGGTGCCCGTGGGGAGGGGGATTTTCACTACTACCCCCACTCTCTTGCCACTCAAGGAGCTACGCTGTTATGTTCACATGATGTTTATGTTGCCTGCACTACTCGCAATATAGACCGCGTATAAGCTTGAACATTACAATTCACATCCATGATAAAGGGTCTGACAGGATTTGATGCGCACTTTGATGACTCAAAACAAGCAGAAAACAACGTTGTTTGTTGTTGTGCTGACACAGTGCGAATGGGAATCATTAGTAGCACATTGATATTGATGATCATGTATAATTTCAGTGGCGGCGCATTTTGAGTGTTTCCTTTCCTTTGAAATAGTCATAATTTAAACTCTGATTGCAAGGACTTTTATTACATTGAAACCTCTTATATAATCAAACTTTAGTAACCATAGTGACTGAATACCCAGGCCATAACCAGAAGTAGTGTAGTACACATTTATCCAAGTTGTCCAAAGACTTCAGACTTTTACTAGGACATCTTAGAGGGCTTTAAAAAAGGTTGATATCTTTGTCCACTTTGACATGCCCTTTCTCAGGAGTGAATTTTTTTTTTATCAGTTGGACTTTTCTAAAGACTAGTAAAAATATGTTAAGCTAATGTGAGATCCAGTGGATCACATGAAAGGCATGTTAATACCAAGCGTGAATTGGTTTTGGGGAAACGGAACCTTTTCTTCTTTTTCACTGCAGATAACTACAAAAGTAGATTCTGTTGATTTTTCTTTAAAGGTCCCACTTGCCTGAAAATACATTTTCCTTGGCTGGACATAAACTGAAATTGTCCCTCCAGTAACAGTTGTTTCATGTTTGGGGTTAGATTCAGGATTATATGGCACAGGTTCTCCTGAGGCACTTTCACAATGTTTATTTTAGTGTTTTTCCACCTCTACATCCAAGGGCATTGGTTTGCACCCTTCCCCTTTACACAGCCAATTAGCCCAACACCTCATTATTATCTCAGCGTCTCCACCTGCTTAAATCACTCAGATGCTGCAAGTCACAGAGGTGGCATTTGTTATTTTTTTAAGAAGCACAACGCTTAAAAGATAGCTACGCCGCGGTCTATAAAGAGCTAAAAATAGCGTTATATGGGACCAGTTTTCAATGCTGCTCTTTGATCTGCACAACAATGTGCTTATCACGTGTAGCTCTCTCCATCACTCTCTCTTTCTCTTATAGTCAGCTTAAAAATCACAGCTTATGAACCCAGGCGTCCTGCCGAAGATGCTGAGCCAACACTCAAGCTCCAGCCCGCCACTCAGTTGCATGTTTTATCTTTGTCATTTATCTAAATCCCAGAAATCAATTACCACACGCTGAGGTGCCAGGGTGAGGGATTTGGGTTTTTAATTTTGTCCTTGCGCCTCTCCTGGCATGGAGGCTTTTGGATTAAACAGAGGTAGACCATCTCTAGCTCTGCATATCTTGAACCTGTAGCTGTTGCACATTTTTGTGTTTATATTTTCTATATAACCTTTGCAGAAGGGAGTAACTATTGTATGACCACAGAATGGCGCATAAAGAGAAATCTTCTGTATTTTTTTTCATGGTAAGTTCTCTCCTGAGGTAGCTGATCCTAATGGTGGTCGACTGTGTCATACATGTGTTTAACTAAAAAAATAGCTCTTACTTCCTCTCTTTTATGGCCTGCCTGTCTACTACCGCTTTATCAGCTTGAAGTTGGCATATTTTTCTGACAACCAATTTCAAAGATAGCATCTCAATTTCAGACTGGCTCATGACACCTTTTGAGAGAAACCCAGTCCTGCCTGTGGCCGCTTCACAACCTGTAATACATTTTCTCTCTGGCCAGCGGCGATCATAGCTTCCTCCAGGGGATTTTCTATCTGTGGCCATGATCGTTGAGGTGTCTGAGTCCTTATCAGAACCACATGTCAGTGGGTGTGTAACCTGTCCCACTTTCCCACTGTGATTAAAGGCCTTCAACAGCCGCTGTTAACACCCAGCTGAGGCCTGGCAGTCTTTTGACATGGCAGAGCTGGGCAAGGATTTCTGAGAAGTGATAAGACCGACTGTGTTTGCACTCTATAGCCTCACTGTTACTTTTGTTATCGCTACATAAAGATAGCAGTGGAATCCATTACCAAGTATGTAGAGGAAAAAAAGAGGGTGAAACGCAGGGCAGGATGTTAGTGATTAGAAAAATCTGAAAGGCTGCACTCTTAACATCTCTCACTTACTTTCCAACACTGAACATGTTGAAGCTGAACCAGAAACAAGCCCAGCTGAGTTTGACCTCCTCCTCTGGCAGTCCTGACATTTCGGGAGAATGGAAGTAATCAGTGGAAAACCCCTCTCATCCAGGCCAAATGGAAATAACAAGAGAGGTCAAGAGTTTTTCTAGTATGACTGGCTGTTTTTCCAAGCAGACAGTAAGCATTGCTAACCAGCTTTGTGAAGAGAACTAAATCTACTACCCCACTTTCACGATGGCAGAAACAACGTGGTCCAAAAAACCAAAACCTGAGATTCTCTTTGGAAATCTTGGATGCTGCCACCTCTGCCCTGAATAAGAGAGAGGGACCACCTGCCCTGTTATTAGTGCACACTTGAAAAGCCAGCGGGACCACTCCTGACGTTTATCGAGGTTGTGACTAAGTGGTTCCAAACTCCTGACAGGAAAGTGCATCAGAGGAGGACCAGATTGTCATTGTTCGTGCTTGTTGAAGCACATTGAGGCAGGAAAGTCAGGTTTCACACTCTGCCCCTGCAAAGCTCAACTGCTCGTAGAAGAATGGACTCAGGATTTCAAATGGAGGTGAACTGTAAAGGACTCTCCTGTTTCTGTGCATGTCCTCGTCTCACACTGATTCCTGTGACACACACTCACGCCCTGCGCTCCCCTCTCCCATCTAGAAACTCTAAACCTCCTTTCAGCTCCGGTTGTGAGCGGAGGTCATGGTCGGGCTGCCAGCCTGCAAACAGTGGCGGCCAGTATGAGGCCAGGCTGGAAATCAGAGGAATAGTAAACAGAGAGAGAGGGAGAGAGAGAGAGATGTGTCAACAGAGAAGACTCCCAGGGTGCATTTCTGTTTGGCCCAAGCAGCCCGGTGTAAAAGCACAGCTGAAATGATACGATGACTTAATGCATTCTCAAGTGCCAGGCTTTTATGCAGGCTATTGTGGGGCTGATATGTGCAGAGCAGAGAAATACTCACAAGGTGCTTGTATTCCACATTATGACCTTTTAGTAGATCCACCCGATAACGGGAAGAGTGTTTTTCAGGAAAGGTGTGATTGAGTTGAAACTGTATCGAGAAAGGCTTAAGTATAACTGCTTAGAATGACTTTTAATGCCTTAATAATAATTCCTCTGCACAATCACCTCATCAAAAAGTATCATATTGAAGAGCAAGTCTGTAGTCATCTTTGCATTTGATCAAATAAGAGGGACCAAGCAACCAGGAAAAGGACAAAAGTGTGAAAAAAGATCGCAATCCTTTAATTTTTCTCAAAAAACAGAAATTAATAAGAAAATATCCAACTTAATGTGGTAGAAAATCAACAAAATCTGGGCCCACACAAAAGGAAGTTACAACCTAACAAACATGATCAAACAGACCTCCTGAGTAATACAAGTCAGGGGTTTAAATAGACAAAGGATGAGTCCAACATAAACGCAAGGGGGAAACTAAGGTGACGACAAACTAAACATCTAGCAATCTAAAAAAAATAAACAACATCAAATCATCCAAACCAACTCTTTACAGAAAAAAACTAAATACTCTGTTCTGACTGAAAGAATAAAGACAAAAGTTTTATTAAGAATCAAACATCCAAGCTTCTCCTGCTTCACCGTTGATGGTCTGTCCCACTTCCTGTTGGTAGGGCTTAAGAGGCCATCTTGGAGCTGCAGACAGCCCAGACAAACAAAAAGATAAGTGTTACTTTGAAATGACATAAACTCAAATTAAATCATGATGTAGAAAATTAAACCATGTGACAATTTATTAACTAAATGGTGTGCACCCGAATTAGCAAACAACTGCCATAAGTGCAATAAAAGTGAATTTATCTCAACCAAAAAAGTGTATCATGTGATTTTTTTAAACTGAAACAAATTTACTATGTTAAAACCCAAAGACAAAGAAATTTTAACACGAGGAGACCGTTTGAAAATGCCATTTAATGACTTACAAAACTGAAGGCTGAGACTCTCCCTGCCTTGGTTTATTTATATATAACTGTCGGTTATAACTCTTAATGCCTGATGTTTTATCCTCTGCACAATGGCTTTATATAAAAAGGAGTCTGGCCTTGTGCAACATGATTTTCTGGGGTATAGTAGAGGTTGAACATAATAGTTGTTTGTTCATTTAATGTAAGAGCAGGTCAACCTCTGGCCAGAATGCTGATATCCTGTTTCCTCCCTGCCTTGTCTTTTCATGTATGCACATATATGTAGTTTACATTTAATGAGCCATGACACATAGATAACCTTTTCATTGCATCGCAAAGCTGATGCCAAAGGTTTTTCTGTGGACTCTGTGTTATTCACGCAGTGCAGCCTCTAAGAGACACTCCCTATGTGTGAAATCCCACACACATTTTTTCGTGACCTTGCAAGTTTTTCAGTGATCAGTCTTTGTTATCTTTTGTTTCTGCTTCTCTTTTATCTTTATTCGAGGCCAGTTTCCCGTTTTGTTCTTAGGTGAGTCGATTAAAGATTAAAGACAGTTAATTCCCAGGAGGTTCTGTTCACGTCCGTGCTTCCCACTACTGCTGAATATTAATCCCAAGAAAAAGCTAAAATGAGCCAAACCTGTTTAATATTGGTGCTTCGAGAAAACATGTGTTCGCAGTATGTGTTTCTTCTTTCTCACTCTGATGATGGCCTCCTCTTTGCTGCAGGTCCAAGGTGAGGCTGAGGAGGCGCCGTCTCCTGACCCATCCCAGTCTCAGAACCCTGGAGTCCAGCACAGCTTTGTCCAGGAACATTTCCAAGCACAGTACAAGTGAGTTTCCTATCCTGACATACCACACTGTGATTCCCATTATTCGTAACAAGGCTCCTTTTCTTTGGAACAGGGGTCCTTTGAGTGCTGTACACAGACAAGTAGAGATGTTCTGCGAAGCCTCTGCACTGTGTGAAAACTGATATTGCAGCTATTAATTCAAACTCTATTTCAGACTTTAAGGGCCTGATCTACTGAGACCCCATGGAGTTGCACATATTGTTTTGGGGAACTGCATAAAAGACAAGCAATGCAAGTTTATTTGTATAGCACCATTCATACAAAAGCAAACTCGAAGTGCTTTAAAGATACAAGAGGATATACTAGAAATCAAAAAAGGAATTAAAACGATTAAAATCAATAAGACAAACAGATATTTTTTTTCTCTGTTCTTTTTTGGACAAGGATCATGGTTTCTATCATGGCACCTCTGCATCCTTCTCCCCACAATGACCGTGCGTAATGCTGTGCCGGTTTGCACGTGCCTTTCAAACGTGCTAAATATAGATGCAAAAGAGTTCGATAAATCACATTGCGGGTGCTAAATGATTCTATTTGCATCTGCTCCTCCCAGAATTTGACGCAGCCTGATGATCTACGTACATTCTGCATATTCATGAAAGCAAACACACAATAGCGATTGCGCGTGCTGCTTGGCTCATTTGACAGACGCAATCCTCGGTGCACCTGGTTCACAGATCAGGTTTGCACGCACTATCAAATTTGCACGTGTTTTTGCACAAGCAAACCTTTAGTAGATCAGGCCCTTAGTCTTTATAAAGGACAAAAAATCACACAAGGTATACAAAAGAACATAAAAAGTTCATACTTTGCATAAACCATATAAAACTGTCTTTACAATGATTCAGTAGTTCTAATAAATAGAAAAAGAAGAAAAACACAATCTATATGGCCCAAATCAACAGTACCTATGATACAGTATCATGTGATTTATGTTCACTGTACAGCAGTTTAATGCTGTCAGATGAACGTGAGATTGCCCTGAGAGAAAAAGGGCAGCGACTGAAATTTAATTCAACCACATCTTTCCAATAACAGTCCCAGTTTTCCTTGATTCCCACACATGCGTAAGTGGCTAAAACAGGATTGTGAAAAATCCTGCACAGAGACAAGTCAACACCACACAGCCTGCCTGAGCTTATGTGGTATTTAGGCTTCATTGATCAGATTAGAGTGTCTTTGCTACATACAGCTGATGTAATGACGACACCCGAAGAGACACAGATGCCTGACTTGAAAAGCGGTAAATCTACACAGCCTCCACTGTAATTACCGAGTAGAAAAGTGGAGAAGTGATTCAAATGTAGCTGAAGGACTGTCTCTGTACCCTAACATATATGTCTGTTAGTTCCAATGGTAGCTGGATTTATTCAAAGTTCTTACCTACTCTGCTAAAACATTTTAATAAATGTTTTTTTAACAGCATCAGTGGTCAAGTACTCTCACCCCCTGGTGGACCTGATGAATATATCTGGTGTATTTGAATCTCAAAGAGTTATTTTTCTTTGCTAATCAGTTTGTGTTGCTCTGTGTGGGCTCACAAAGACAAAAAAAAAGAACCCAGGCTTTTCACTCGCCTGTGTTATCACCATTTCTGTCTGTAGCAGCTGGATCTCCTCATGACTCCCATCAATCAGTCATCCAGGAAAGAAAGAGGATGTTATTTTTTTACATAATAAATGCATCTGTCAGCTGTGGCCCACTAGGAGAAGAGCCTCACTCAGATGTCGAATCAATTACTCTGTTCTTTTTTTTTTTTTTGATGTTTCGAGGACTGCATCTATACACTTTCAGTCTTTTCAAAACTCTGAGTCTCTTAGTTTGCATCATCCAGTGAGTTTGATTTAATGTATCGCAGAGTTTCTCTCATATCCACCTCAGTGATGATTTATAATCTTTTTTTTTTCATTTATTTTCATAAATACATTCTACCGTAACAAAGAGATGGGGAAAACAAAAACAGGCAAAGACATGCTGTATCAAGAATATGCTGACTCTCTCCAGTTTGGGAAAAAATGCTGATTCTCATCAGAAGTCCACAATTGCACAAAGAAAGTCTTCAGAGGGAAGATCTCCCCTTGCTGCAAGAAAGGAGGTCCATTTTCTAGTCAACACTGTTTTTTTTTTAATCTTTAAAATTTTGCAGTATGATACAGTAGGACTTGAGGTGAGATGATTACATAGGATTTGATGTGATATGATGCGACATGACACGACACCATACGATATGATATGATATAACATGATATGACACAATATGGACATATTTAATTTGGGATTAATTTGAGATTAAATATCCCAATAAGGACTTGACACAACTCTATATGATATGACATGGTACGACAGACTTGAGGCTATACAGCACAGCATGAGACAACACTATATGGTGCAGTACATTAAGATCTGATACCATACAACTGATCATCTGATGTGATGTGATCTAAACTGATCATGGTATGATATGTCATGTCATGTCATGTCATGGCATGTCATGGCATGACAAGATTCGATACAATACAACATACACAAAATAATATAATATGACATGATACAGTGCAATGCTATATGATGAGATATGCTGTGATAGGATAAAGTAGGATACAATGCAGTGCAATATTATATGACATGATACGATACAGAGTGGTATGATTTGATTCCATACAATAGGCAGCACCAACCCACAGTAATAATGATATTTCGAAACAGCAATACTGCAAGAATTAGTCATTGCAAAATAATCGTAAACATCATGATCTCTAATTAACTAAATCATACAAAATGGAAAAGGCAAGGCAAAGTGCAGGAATTCAGTTCACTTGTGTTTGGTTCAAGTGAGAGGAGACACTGCACATGTTTTTATTTTGTATGTTGAGTTTGCTAAATGACAGAACAACGTAAAAAATAATGTGTAAAATCTTGTTTCTTGTTGTCATGCTTCTCAGCAAAGGATTGCTGGTTTGAATTCCCTGGCCGGGCACAGACCTCTCTGTGTGGAGTTTGCATGTTCTCCCTGAACATATGTGGGTTTTCACTGAATACTTCAGCTTCCTCCCACGGTCAGAAAACCTGCCCCTGTGGTCAAGTGGTCAGTGTAAATTGCCTGTAGGCGTAACTGTGCTTATACATGGTTGTTAGTGAACTGAAGATATTGATATCTAGACGTGTTTTTTTTTTCTACCTTTTTTTTAAATAATCTTTTTTTGATAGCAATAAATGCCAACTTACACTGATACCACTCTGTTTAAATCACATCCTATCTCAGTGCAGCAAGTTGTATGAGCTTACCCCACAGTCACATGGAGGTTAGATAAATCTACAGGCCAGAAATCCTTGTGCGAAGTGTCAGTGAAAAGATATAAGACTTAGTGTTTAGTGGATTTTTTTTAGGCCATAAAGAAATGTTTTTGTGACTAATCCATCAAATGACTCAGTCCAAAGCCAAAACTGTGAAATACTCTGAACTGTGAGCTAGAGTGATCCATTTTACACCCAAAATTCAGACATTAAATATCCCAAAATCAGAGTTTGACATTCAGGATAGTACTCCAGAATGCCCAGACTTCAGACATGACCAAAAGATGAAGGACTAACGAGCTTCCATGTGGCATTTTTCTGTCTCTGTAGGTTAATCAGCAGTATCTTCTGTGTCACCAAACATGCCAACCACACTCCTTGAACTACTGACCAAACTGGCCAACCATTAATGTCCTTTAAGCAACACAAGACCTGATTTGTGTTTAAAACAGTTTCCCAAAGCAGTCCCTGCAGTCTGATCTCCTTACATCTTGTTTGTCAGCGCTTCCATCTGCCAAATCCTCAGCAAACTGTCAGCTCTGTGTGACTGCCAGTAATACATCTGTCAGAGCTCATCTCTTAATTATTCCCCTCACTGTCAAATGTTTCAGCTCTGACACTTTGGGTGTGTCTATACAGGAAGCAGCAGCCTGGCAGACAAAATTTGCTCCTCTCACCCACTCGAGTGCTGCGCCATCAGGGAGAAGGAGGGTGAGATGTCAGAGAGAGAAACAGCCCAAAACTAGAATCACATACACAGAGTAGTTGTGGGGTCCATTTAACAATAAAAACAGCCACACAATGAAATGGAGATAAGTGTATTACTGATGTTTCATCTTGTGGCTCAGACTTTCAAAGATATTCTGATTAGACTAAAACTGACATATTGACTCCTAAGTAAAACAAGACTCTTAAATTTGTCAAAACAAGATTATTCAGTTTTAGTCCGTATTTTGATTTAACCTACGTTTATGTGATCAAGAACAAAGTGTTGTAAGACTGAGTCATTATAATTTAAATTGATCCAATAAAAACAGATTTATCATGAGGTATTTACTGAGTATAATTACCATTATTTTCCACCGGCTGCGCCGCTATATGAACATACTGATTAAACAGGTATAAGGCAAATAAATGCATCAAACAAAAGCTTAAACTGTTCTAGACAAGACACTTAAGCACCTGGACTCTTCTACTTCAGAGTCATACTTTTTTCAATATGTGCAGAATATAGTTCAACATTGTCTTTCTGGCAGCATAAAACTTGTTTACATTGTTCAGCATTAATGATGTCTTACCAGATGTGTAAGCTGCCCCTGCTGTGAGCTATACATCCTCATACTATCATGGATGCTGGCTTTCAAACTCTGCACACAGAGCTGAAGACATGGCGTCCTTGATCTCAAAAAAGACATGGACTGATTTATAAACCATCACAGTTGTTGTTGTTGTTTTTTTTTGATCAACAATTCACAAGGCACAACTTTTCAAAGTAAAATTGTATGTTAAGAGTCAATAACATTTCTTTTTTTATATTAGAGCGAACCATTAATCGGTGAAGGAATTAAAACTAATCAAAGAACTGCATAAAAGTAAATGAAACATACATATAATCCTGGATACCAGAAACTATGACTCCCAGATATGATTCAGCCTAATTTCTTTGAACTACAGGGTGTGCGGGATTGGACCTTGAACAAATATTTCCTGACTCCTGTACCTTCCTTTTTCTCTGAGACCTGAGGCCTCACCACTGCCTGTAAAACGCTCACAGTGTCTGATGTGATTCAACATCCAGAGTTGACAGAGCGGAGAATTCTTCTTGTAATAGCTGCATTTGTCGCCATGCAATCATCACAGCTATTAAAACATGTTCAAACAAGTTAAACCCAAGCCAAGCCGAGAGTAATTAGAACTTAATTTATGCTTTCTGTCACCACATGCTGGAGCTGATCACAATCAGAGCTGAACTGGCACTCTATATTTATTTGAGCGGCGTTTATGTTGCTCTCAGTGCATAGCTCTTACCTATGTGTCAGGTTAGATTTATCCCTACAGTTCTGATTTATACATCTATTACTCTTTGATGGAGTGAGTAAATCCTATATTAGATCAACGATGCTGATCTTTGTCTGTGCGGGTGAGTCACAGGCTGCAGTCGGTAGAGACGCCAATGAAAATGTCTGTCAGTCAAACACTGTTTATTCAGTGGAGCTTAGTGACGGCAGGCCGAGTCTTTCAGATTATGATCTGTGCAGCGTTACCTCACTGTTGGGGCTCTCTCTACAGAACACCTTCAACCTAGTCGATAATAACAGTTGAGTCTAGCATTTTCTTCTAATAAGCTAACTTACTCATATTAAACCAGACATTTCCACATATAATTAAGAAAAACAAGGTTAACAAGGCTGCAGGAAATCAGTGCACCTGATTGAGTTTTCCTGTCACATCAGAGTCTATGACATTTCTTTGACGTTTATAAGACCTTAAACACTGCTTCTTCCCACGCCATGTACTTTTAACTGTGGGCTTCATGTGATAGATTTCAAAGTTGTAGCTCACAGTTTTTGAATCTCTACTCTGCCCTGTACTTTCTCTGCTTTTTTAAAATCTTTTTCTATTTTCCATAAACAAATCAATGGCAAATTAACCAAACTGACATTGCATTATAGAATTATAATTAGTCCCCTGAAGTATGTGACTGGAGCTATATCTATAGCAACAGCCTGCTCTTTAAAGCGACAGCAACCGGAGTTGACAGCGTTCCAGTTAACAAGATGGAAAACTAAGATGGATGCCTACAGTTAGCCATTTTTTGGCCGTTTTTTACAATCGTCAGCTGTCGTAAGCCGTTGTCATTTGTTGTTAGCTGTTGTCAGCTGTTGTTAGTTGTTGTTTGCTATACCAGTTGTAGACAAGTATAACACAGTATTTTACTCGTACAAACACCATAGCACCGTGTTCACAGTTAGAAGTTGGGCAGTACAACATAAACCACTTATTTAATTTCACAAAAACAAAACAGAAGTGTTAATAAATAATACATTTCGAGAGCTTTTACTGCTACTCTTAACTGTTGATGCACTGCGCTGCCATCTTGGATTTTAACGTCATAAAGTCGGGGTTGGTGAGGATCATCCAACTTTCTGAGTTGGAAATCCAACTTCAGGGGGGCGTTCCAGATGAATTTCCAACTCGGAGCTCGGAAATTCCGACTCTCGAGTACAACAGGAATGCAGCATAAGTAAGCGATGATGTGTAGTGACCAGGTGGTTATGCAAATTAGAGACTGTGATGTCAAGTGTAAGGTCTCACCCACTCTGATGTCATCTAATTTGCCGTATACAAACCAGACATAAACAAATTGATTAAGATATTAGTTAGATAAATCGACTGTCGAAAATTCCTCACAGGAGCTTTAAGTTCGTTTTTAGAGATCAGCAACTTCAAGACACTCTCATCAACTGTGCTGCCACAGCATGGATGACAGGACAGGATCTCCCTCCACTTTTCCCAATCGGAGATGGTTGTGGTCCATTACCTCCTCTTGCTGCTCTCACATCTGTGCCTAAAAGCTACCATTATATCTTCACTCTGAAGACAAGCCCAGTTTGGAAACTAATCGTTTCGTTCTCTTTTTAAAATAATGTGTCACTTTAAGATTGAGAATCTGTATAATTTGCATTTTCAAAGATGTAAGACTATGCTTTGATACTTAATTCCTCCTTATTCATCTCAGTGTTTGTAATTTTCCCTTACACCGCTTTTGATGATCAATAAATGTATTCAAAATACAAATGCAGTAAGTAACTTTGGTGAGTTATTTTGTGATTATACTTTCTCCGTCAGAGTGGGTACATGTATCGCTCCAGTCTAGTCCTCCTGTGGGATCAACACATAGATCCTGACCTCTAAATCTCTCACTTTGTTTTTATTGTCTCTCTTGATTGATATGTTCTGATTTAAAAGGCTAATTGTGTGACTGATACTTCAAAGTTTATGAGCCCTGTAATGGATCTGTTTATTATGTGTTTATTGTAATTTCAATCAGTGAATCATGAGGCACGCATTAAATTTAATACCTTTTCCATCTCAGAGCATTAGCATGCTGAATGAAGCTCCATTCACCCTTCATCAGAGGAAAGCTGCCAGCCGTGCTGAGAAGAATTCCCTGCCAATCTATTTGATTTTAATCTATTGAGACTTCTTGTTTTTTAATTGTGTCTCTCAGGAAAGAAAATCAATGACATAAAGATACCTGAGTGATGCATCACAGGGGAAATTCAATGCGTAGGCAGAGTGCCGGGAACGAGTCTTTTTCGGCATGGCTGCATCTCAGACAGGAGGACACATACCTTTCAACAGTGGCACGCTTCCTCCATTAGAGCATCACCAGAATATCACCTCCTGCTTCACTCATTTTCTTTATTCTAAGTGTTTCAGAGCAGAGAGAGGACATTTATGTTTTAGTGGAGCCTGAGTGTGATTTGTATGCGTGGAGTGCAGTTAGCCTCGCTGTTTCCTGGCGAGAATAAGACATCCGTAGGGCGGCTGGTCTGCTCTGCCAAGAGGGAGAGATCCACTCAGAGCCAGTGTCAGCTGGGTTTGCTTGAATAGAGCTTTATTCTCACCCCCCAGCCTCCCCCACCAGGCTCTGTCAGGTGCCTCTCTTTAAGGAAAACATTTGAAAGTTCATTTATGTCTTTATTTCCCTTGCTAGGAGGGCATATGAGGGTTTTAAATGTCAAACATATTTGAGTTACGGTAGTTAAATGAAAAACATGAGAATAAGGAAAAGGACAGAAGTATGCTAAAGCATTTTGGGGACTAGAAAAGAGGATCTGAGATGTGAATTGACTGAATTACTTTGATTTGATTTATGCTTATTGCCTCTATGTTTATTACCATACATAAAACATATGTCATCTTTGTGAATTTAACTTTCCTGGAGTACTGGCACTCAGTAAATCAGTCTCTACACTTTGAAGCTGTTGGGTTCTGCTTCACACAACTCTATTATCAGTCTGTTGTGATGCTTTCATACATCATACAGCAGTATCAGTCGTGCATCATCATATTCATCTGGTACAGCTTACGGCCATGTTGTACTCTGAAAAATCTTTTTTATTTCCCTTTTTTGAAGAAATGTTCTTGTTTTTCTTTCTAGTTTGGTCAACAAACTAACAAGCTGTCACACATAAGGCAGCTTACCCGATCTCTGTGCTTCCAACAGGCCCATGGAAACGACATTACATGTTTTTATGTTAAGACACCATTCATGCGTTTACTTCTGCTTATTTGGAGCAGAGTCATGGTAACAGCAGGCTAAGCGAGATACCTCAAACATCCTTCCCCACAGCTTTCCAGCTCATTTTGGGGGGGTTCCAGGGTGTTTCTATATCAGATGGGATACACAAATCCCTTCTGCTAGTTCTTGGTCAGTCCCAGGATCTGTCCCTAGTTGGACATGCCTGGAAAACCTCCAAAGGGAAGGGCTAAGGAGGGACTGTTACCAGATGTCCAAATCACCTGAACTGGCTCCTTTTGATGCAAAGTAGTAGCAATACTACGTCATCACCACTCAGCTGCTATGAATGCTGTGAATTTTGTCATTAAGTAGCCTCCCTTGGTAATGTCCGGACAAATTCAGGAGTGTATGTGTCAAAAGTGCCTAAATGGAAAGTAAAGTCCTTAATTGTCCATCATTGGTTTGACTCGATCCCTCGGCCCTTTGCTGCATGTCTCCCCTGCTCTCCACTCCCTACATTTCCCTTCTCTCCTCAGCGTCTTATCCAATAATAAGATAATAATAAAACAAAAATGTTGCAGGGGTTTAACTTTTGGGGCTTGACTTGGCACAGTCAGCTACTATTTTAGACTTACAGTATAATTAAATATCACTTTCTTTCAGCCAACCACTTGTACTGTTCTGTATAACTTAGAGCTGTCTCTTTTCATATGCCTGACCAGTGAATGCCAAATCTACCTGTGAATTTTCAGCTGATGCTTCTTCTTGTCTTGTTAAGGCTGAAATAACCCCGAGTTTATTTATTGCATGTCTTATTCCTTAAATTCTCCTTGGTTTAACTCTAAATTCTGGACAAAAGACTGAATTTAGCTTCAGGTTTACTGAATCACTTCCAGCAATCAGCCCGGCGTCACCTTTAATGGACTCCACCACTCTTTATTCGGATAATTAGCTAACTGGAGGTTAATCAAGTGAGATTCATTAAAACAGGTTCAATCAGAGGGAAAAGTCTTTTAATGGAAAACTGTTTTAACAGAAAATCTCCACTGTAGCATCACGGTCATTTTCCTTTGCCCTTACAGACAGGGGAAGAATCACTTAAGAACCTGAATACTTTAACTTCCTTTCTGGCACCACATAAGCATTAACAGCACGGTGAAAGTGATGCAACAACATAGAAACCTCATCTTCAAGTCCCCGTTTATAGACGTGATCACCTCAGGAGGTTTCCGCTACTACTTACCACACCCACACCCCCAACCCGACCCCTCGTCTCTTTCATTCCCACCAGTTACATCACACATCCCCTCCGTTCTCACATTCAGATCAAGGCCTTCTGTAAGGAACACCCTGTTCATTTTTGACTTTGGAGTAACTAGATTAAGACATCTCCTCTCCTGTCAGATGTGATCAGGAGGACTTCAAGCTTCATTCTGAATTCTAGTCAAGTCAACCTGATGTTACTTTCTCTCCTCAGATCATCCCTGACGTGCCCCCACTGTCTGAAACAGAGCAACACCTTCGACCCTTTCCTCTGCATCTCGCTCCCCATTCCTCTTCGTCAGACCAGGTGAGACTTTTGATCCAATAGAAACAGTGATTCATCTCAGTCAGACAAAGAAGTGATCACAACATTTTAAGGTTGTAATTTGACCTGAGTTTGATCCCGGAAACAACATCAGTGTTTCTCAAAGAACGACGATACACGTCTGTTCTGGGCTTGAGGGACTGTTAACATATATAAATTGCACAAAAACATGTTCCTGCAATTTGAATATACCTGTAATTAAAATATTTCATTGTTCTGCAGCATTTACTGGTGCACTTTTTTCCTCTTCATGCCTCTTTCTGTTTACATTTACTATGCATTATATCACATGCTGTGTTAATCTGGAAACACTTTATTTGACGCCTATCTCTATGACGCATTATAAATATATTTATAATGCGTCATAATGATATTATAGAACTGTATAACTATAGTTATAAACACTCATAAATGATCATAATGCTTTATAGTAATAATCATAACACATTATAAAACATATTATTGTGGCTTATAAGTTATTATTAAGTATTAATAATTAGTATAAGTATTAGTATAATTAGTAAGTATTATTATAATGTGTTATAACTGTTAACAGTTGCATTGCGTTATCTGTGTCGGCACTGTCAGTGAGTTGTTAAGAGTTATAACACATTATAATACCTGACCTTGTAAGTCATGATAAAATGCTTTATAATGTGTTATGATTATTGCTATAAAGCAAGGGTGGGCAATTAATTTTTACATTTGGCCACATGAGAAACCTGAACTGTGTTGGAGGGCTGACTTCTGAGAGAAACTACAAGCGACTACTGAGAGAAACAAGCTTAGTCTTTTATAATAAGCGGACTCAACAACTCTAAGGCGTCTACGAATATTTTGCCGATGTTTAAACTTGTCTCTCTTCACAAATGCAGATCTAGGATGTACGCACATGTGTCCAAACGGAAATAAAACAACAGCTAGGTTTTCAAAATAAAAGCGACACATTTTTATAGCATGTTGATGATTTGATTGATGGACCTCACGAAGGGCCGGGCAGGGACATCTAAAGGGCTGGATGTGGCCCTCAGGCCGTAAAATACCCAGGTCTGCTATAAAGCATTATTATCATTTATGAGTGTTTATAACTATAGTTATACAGTGCTATAACCTCATTATAACACATTATACATGTATTTATATTGCGCTATAGAGAGAGGCATCAAATAAAGTGTTACTGTTAATCTTATTGGCTGTAGGGCTATACAACACTTCTTATGCGACTGTTGTCAACACCTCTTTGAAAAACAGAATTAACTGAGGGGTTCCAACCCATTCGCCAAGGTGTGGCAGCACCTAAAGATATCTCTTTGACTTCATTCTGATCCTTTTCATACATAACTGATCTATAAACACACACCTTGTGGTGTCGCCTAGACACATCGACAGTGAGGTGACCTGGGGTCGTTGGGTGTTTCTGGTCATTAATTTAAAAACATTCACAAACATCTAGAGTTTATCACTTCTTGTGTTTCTGCTCTGTTTTAGCCACGCATAATTTATTAAACTGTACCTTTGTAAAGGCAACTATTTTTATTTCATTTATAGTTTAGTATGATGAATCTGGGTTTACTTTAGTTTTGTTGTCCGAAACACAAACATCAGAACACAACAATTTTATCAGAATTTGATTAACTTCTGTGAGTCATGATATTACTGTCAGAACTCGGGTGTGTTTTTAGATATATTAGGTAGTTTTTCCTGAAGGTCAGGACAAAGTTTAATGACATAGCGTTGACGTTACCATGGTGAGTCATTGCACTGACCCTGCACTGATGAAAGGAAAGCTGCTTTGCTGTTTATTGGCATCACTTTGAGGAGCATGCACCCTAATGACTGGACCGTTAACAGTGAATTTAATTTGACTTAACAGCTGAGCGTACAGATACTGTTTGCAAATGTATGCCAGGGTGCAGAGAGCAAGAGCACTCTGTTTTTAAGAATGAACAGGTAAAAAATAGTTGCATGTTGTGAAAAGTTCATGATTTAGACAGCTCCTGGCTCGAACTGTTGATTTGCTTATTTAACTCAAAGCATGAACGAGCTTTTAACAATACGAATGTTATGAATGAATTATGAATTGAAGCAGAAAAACAAACCAAACAATGTCTTTGAGTTTTAAAATAGAAAAAAAAAGTTACACTAAATCAAAACAGGCGAGACAACACCCAGCTGTGTGCACAGAGAAAGCACATAGGTAATAGTGAACCTGACGGCTGGTATCACAAAGGAAAAGCTGGTGGAAACTCCTGTCAGCATTCAGGAACAATGTCTTATTCAAGTTTACATCACAACACCCACTCAGTCTCCATGCCAGGTTAAGTGGGGTCAGCCTGTTCAGGAAATCCTGACATTTTCCAGAGGGAGACCCCATTCACTGCAGCTCTTTTACAGCTGATCACTATCTGACTTTAAGCATGTGGTTGACCTCATGCATGAAAAAACACGGCCACATTTGGGAACACAAGCTTTTACCAAGTTTTTTGTTTGTCTCTAGTTTTTGTTGCTCTGTTGGGAGCTTCAATGCTCTGGCTAACGCAATAGAATAAATGATGTAATTGTAAAGTATCAGACAGCACAAAACACACCAAACATCATTTATAATCTACATCTGAGCCTAAGTGTTCAGTAGAGCCTATTAGACAGAGGTGTGTGATCACTCTCTTGGTTTTCCAGCTCTGGTTATTTCCTTCCTTCAGTTTTTAGTTTCTGTAATAAGTCATCAAGGTTCAGCCAACATCCTTTCTAATTTAGGAAACAGTTTTAAGAGCTCTCCTCTGACCACGAGCCAAATGAGAATATTCAGTCACCCTCATCTTTCTACAGTGTGGCAGAAAAACACTTCAGAGGGGATAAACAGAAGGGAAACAGATGGATTGTCTTTAAAAAAACATTTTTTTAAATATATTTTTATGTGTGGAAGGTTGAACTCTTTCCAAGCGAAGACTTCTCTGTGAGCTGTAAACACAAACGTCATGTTACCAAAACAATTTTTCCTCTGCCCGGCAGTCTAAACGCCGGACTCTCTCCTCTGGCTCCTCAAATATGTGAAGCTCTGAACTCTGCAGAGATCCTCGTTCTTTATACCAATCCTTGGTTAATTAACTTTATCTATTTTTGGAGGGGTATAAATATCTTCCGGCAGTGTTGCTGTTTACAGGAATCACTGAAGGGTAATTTTGTTGTGACAAAAACCAACACACAGAGAGAAAATCACTCTCTAAATACAGATGTTCAAAACAAAGACTTTCAGTGAATGTCTTCAGCGCTTTAAAGTCCACAGAGTTGTTTGAGCAATTCACTGTTTTCTTAACACTGCTATGGAAATCTGAATTAGCATAAAGTGGAGACACCTCCCCGAGCTGCGGTTTGATTAGTGCTGCCACTTGCTGTACTCTGTCTCCTGTGCTCTTTTGAAGTCCCCAACACCACTCAGAGGAAGAGGAGTAAACATGTCAGAGCACTGTACCTGGGCTGAACAAACACCAGCACAGAGACATGTTGTATTGTTCAATCCTGAAACTCTTCTTCTGAGAGTTCAGTCTTCAAATTGTCTCCTGCTACTCTGTTGATACTCAGCCCTCTTTGGCTAAAAGACTTTCATATATGCTTTAATATAAACCAAGTCCTTGAACCTGAGTCAGGGCCATTACCAGATTTTCCCTTAAATCTGATTCACCTCCTGGACTTTTCTGTTCACTCGCTGTTTGTTTCTTCAATACACTGTCTAAATTCCAGTGAATTTAAAGGCACATTCATACCAGGACTGTTTAGTTTGGTCTAAAAGGACCATGGTCCCCTTACTCCTTTGGCCGGGTGGTATGAACACATAGGCGAACTGTGGTCCGGATCAAACTAACAGATCATGGTCCTCTTGAAAATGCAGGACTCTATCCCCTTCCAAACAAACCATGGTCCGGTGTGTGGCGGGTGTGAATGCAGTGCTGATGCAGCTGGACGTTTTATATGTCAATATGATAAAATAATAAAGCTGGGAAACGATGCCCGGCCAGAGGCTGCAGTAAATGGGGACAGCCGGTCAAAACACCGGACTGTCCATAAAACTGGACGAATGGAAGAGGGTTTGTGTTGATATTAAATACCTGGATGTTCTTCTATTCAACAAATATGCTGACAATGTTATAGGCATTGCTGTCTCTGGTCGGCTACTGTTGTGGGACATTGAAGAAAAAAAATTCTCTCTTTTTTTAACCATTTGGTTCGCTTAGCTAAAGTCCCACATGAACGCTAACCGGTTCAAATGTAAAATGCAACAATGTAAACATTTGGTTTAAGGTGAGAAAGGCCCCTAAATTGACTAATCACGCTGCCTTGCTCCTAAATGTGCTGGTTCTCACCCCAGCTGCAAACCACCCTAATGCATGCTGGAGGTCCCAGCCTGAAAATCCCAACAAAATGGCAATCATCTGCATAAGGCAGAGATGGACCCCCAAAGTGAAGACCATCATCCATGCTACTGCAATTTGACATAAAATACTGCCACACAGCCGACATTACTCCTACTCCTTGCTACTTTGTTAGTACCCCAGTACACACTGTCGTTGGGAACACGTGGGCTCTGCATGCTGGATCTGGGTGCTGCTAGCTAGAGGTGCCGGAGTGGAGTCTGGAATGGACTGCTTGTATCGGAGTGCCGGAGGAGATTTTAGATGCAGGCCGATATAATCCAATATTTGTTTTTTGGTTGATATCGGACACAACTGATATCAATATCGTATTGGGATAGCCCTAGTGTTTTTGTCCTAGTATTCAATGATGTAAATGCTGTTGTGAGGATGATTGGGACACGGTTGGGTTGATTGGTGATGAATTACTCCAAACATTGAGTTTTCTGTGGAAGTTAGACATAAAACAAAGAGCTGTTATATTAGTGTAGTTTTTCTCTGTTTTTATGTCCTTAAGTCTTAATTTCTTGTTTTATTATTTTGCAGGTTTTATGGTTGCACTCGTAAATACGTCCAGTGATGGGATCATTTCAGATCCCCCCTGGCTATTCTATCTCTGCTCGCTGTTGTTATTCCTTTATTAGGATAAAAACATCGTGAACTCAGCTGCAGTTTAGTGGTTATCGGACAAAATTTATTTCCTCTGATATCTTCAGCTACAACTCTTCACTTTCATTACTCAGATCCTGATTGTGCGACCACCAAGAACTCATCCACTCTTTAAATCTTAGAGGTTTCATGTTCAGCTGTGATTATATCACATTTATATTCCAGACAAAGTGTTCTGCTCTTCATGTACAAGTAAAATTCATCTTTTTTTTCAGCCTCCCAGATTAATTCATCTTTTTAATGTTACTTAACTTTATCAATGCAAAGGTTCTGCTGCTTTCTCTTGCTGCTGTGACACTTTAGTATCCCCTCGAGGCATCATTAAAGTTTATCTCTCTTCTGAAATTACTTTTATTACACCACGCTCTGCCAGAAAATAGTAAAAAGTTCCATATAATTTCTCTTTGCCACAAGCTACAGTGTCCAAGCGACACACTCCCACAGGTACCTGATGGAGTTCCTCTGTATTTCCTTAGTGTGCTGTTATTTAAAGAGGCCATAAAGTCCTGAGCACCCCGCTCATGTCGGGCAGAGAGGTCAGAGCCAAGTGTTCCTGTTTTAAAAATGCAATAGAGATTCCATTATTTGGCACACATGAAACTAAGTCCGAATGATCCATTATTAATGTTAAAATGTTTTGATTTATTCATGAACAGCTTGTTTTGTCCCCTCCTGGTGGTGGAGGAGGCTGCTGCAGGAACAGCACTAAAAAAAACACAAAAAAACAAGTTGCTCTGTGTCCGTCTATCACTGACTGTGTGCCATCATGTCTGCAGGCCGATGTGTGTGATCCTGGTGTTCAGCACTAAAGGACAGAGGTACCTGCGGGTCGGGCTGGCTGTGCCTTTGTTCGGTTCTATGGCGTGCCTGAGGAGGATGGTAGCTGACGAGGGGAAAATTTCTCCAGACCAGGTAACATAAAACAGTGTGCAAACACTTACAAGGGAATCTGCTGAGGAGAGATTGTGGATGCTGATAGCAGAAAGGATTGCGCATCAGTTGCTCCCGCTTTCCGCTCTATCTTGAAGAGAACTCAGCAAAAACACAGATTAAGTTTGCGGCATTGTACAGTTTGCTCTTGTTTTGCATCCAAAAATGAACTGTCAGCATCTCCACTCCCTGCTTCAGAGATCTTCACTGTGCACTTTCATCCTAACAGAGCTCTAATCTGTCCAGAGGGATGGAGAGGTCAAGTCTAAACAGTTTTTAGAGAGAATCTGTCAAAAGATCTGGTACAATTTACAAAAGCTCTCTTAAGTGAGTCAGCGCAACTTATCTGAATAGCAAGTGTAGTTTAAATTTTTGCGACAGGCCTACTTTGCATAAAAATGAGCCAAAATTGCCCTCTAAAGTTTTGCATCTTTTAGAAAGATGTGCAAACATCACCAAAGCACAGAGATACTAGTTGTTGTGCAACAGAATCTTGGGTGCAAATAGCTCCTTGCTTTAGCTTTAAAGTAGTTTTGTGCGTGCAAAAGTTGCTTTGTCAATCGCACCCTTTAAGTCTCTGTGAGGAGCTTTTCTTAATGGTTTTGAAACAGACTGAACTTTATAGTGAAGCTACAAAGGCATATGGGGCAATCAGCGATATGACTGGAAAATGCTGAAGAGGCAGCCATTGTCAATGTTTTCTGAAACAGAAATCCACAGTTGGTGATACAATTGTTGTTAAAAGAGAGCAGGGTAGCTGAACTGAAAGACTGGTGCATGGCGTGCTCAGAACTGGTTCCTCAGTCTCTTCAACTTGCATAGAAACATTTGGACTCAAACATCTTGTGAATCTCTAAATTTTAACACAAAGTGAAAATGATTGATGTCAGCAAGTGCTTTGGCGTAATTAAGCCTGCTCAATTTGTGACATCACTAGTTGGCCCATCTCCTTACAAAGGTGTAAACAGCAACGTCCTGAGCTGTTCTTTTGTGGAGGAGGATTCTTTTTATATCCATTACTGGTTTAATTTAGTCCAAAACATATGGCCATAGTTCCGTGTTTGTCATTTTAAATAGGGAAACATGACTTATTAATGAATGATAAAAATGAAAAGAAACAGAGAGAGATAATGGAAGAAAAGGAAATGTATGTCCTGGATAATTTCCTTTGTTAAAACAGCTGTTACAGAGCAGCACATCTCCTCACAAGTACAGGATTACACATTTTTGTATATTTTGCATGCCTCTCACTCAAATTTTCTCTTTCCCTCCTGGATGAAAACATAGTAAGCTGGATGTTTTGTATTGTTAAATATTCTGACTCAAACATGTGTTTTGTTTTTGGCCTGCAGGTGATCCTGACCGAGGTTTACCCCACAGGTTTCCATCGCTCCTTCTTCGATGAGGAGGATCTGACGTGCATAGCTGAGAATGACATCATCTATGCTTTCCAGGCTCCGCCCCTTTACATCAGAGGAGGCTCTGCAAGGATTTCAGGTAGCTGCATGACTAAAGAGAGACCAAATAATGTGCCCTGCTCACCCTGTTGATGCATAACCAACCATTCGCCATACATTGTCGCCCCTCGTTTTCCAGCCCCCAAACTGCCACATAATGTTAATTTTAAGGCTCATTATCAAATCAAAAATGACTTGATAATACAGCGGAAAAAACAAATCCGATTCTGCTGTCACTTCCCTGACATTAAGCCTCCCTGTAGGATGAATTAAGATATAAAAACTTCTACTTTTGTCCTGTTACAGATCATTTTGAATGTAATCGACTGTTGTGCTACATTAGTATTTTCCCCCTGCTTTAAAGTGATTCTACACTCAGATCTGTAAGCAAACAAACCAATTTTATTAATGTTCTTTGCTTAATGAAAGCCTCAAGGAATGCAGCATCCTGTAGGGGGTCCTTTGGGAGCACATTAAGGAGAATATAACTCCTCACGGAGCTCCGTGAATAACATCCCCCATGTGGAGTTTTTCTTGCAGTATCAAATTTATGCCTTCACTTCATGTGTTTTTCAGCCTGTGATGTAAAATGTGTTCTCAGAAGTACTTCAGTGCATAGCGTCCCCTTGTTTCTTGCTTTGTGGTGTAAACAAACAGGTTCTGCTCACAGGGCTGTTAATTGTAGCCCCGACAGTGTGTCAGCGCTGCAGTTCTACCTTCAAAATGCGACTTTTAGTGCTTGAATTTATCGCGCTCAGTGGAGACTCAGAGCTGTGCTGTCGAAAAAGAGGCCCCACTGACTGTCTGCATGCTGGCACAGGCAGGACCCCCCCTTTCTCTCTCTCTCTCTCCTGGGACCCCAGTGGCTGAGTCTGCAGGGTTGATATGATGAGCCTATATCACAACTCAACACTTTCAGTGCACTGCGGATTGTCTTGTCTTTTTGTGGCTGTTTGCACTGTATGAGTTTCTGATATTGTTATGTAGTGGCTGATAACCATAGGTTGCACTTGTTGGTTTTAAGAAAAGGACTTCAAGAAGTCATACTGATAACTTTTTATGGTAAACAAATGCAAACAAGAACAGCAGTAAAAAGACTGATTATTTCACATAGTACTTTTTAAGGCCTTAAACTGATGTAGGGGTGTCTTTGGAGCCACTGAGGAAACAGACCCCCATTTTTTTTACTTCTTTGACATGAAACATTTCCAGAAAGTGATATATCTGACTGTCATAAGTCAGGAGGATGAGATTTTTCCGTTAGACAGTACTAATCTTCAGTAATAAGAAAAGGTTATCTTGCCCACAGGAGGCTGTAAAAGTGCAGAGTTTGATTTCATCTTGTTGCTCCTTTCCTGCATGTCGCTCCTCACTCTCCCGGCCCATTTCTCGCTCTATCCACTGGCCTGTCCTCTCGAACAAAGGCACAGAAAATGAAATAAAATTATTACAAACAGCACCTTGCCACGAAAGACCATCTGTCATCTGTGCATGTTAACATCAAGGTAGTAAAACATTACAGCTTTATAGTATTATGGCAGTTGGCATTAATGCAGCTGAAGCCCTGACTGGTAATGGATGACTACTCTAAAGCTGAATATATGACAGACATTTCAAGCCTATACAAAAACCTAACACATCGTCCTGTGTTAGGTTTTCATCTGCTCCTGAAGCAAACAGAAATGAGCACTAAAGCTGCGCTATAATCTATAGAAAGAGTAACATGACTGATTATATCCAGGTGGTTATTTTAATGGCATAAGATCCCACCGGTGTGGGTTAGGTGTCTGTTGATGAAATGTTGGACTAAGGAGGTAGAGCGGTTGTCCAGTAGCCGGAAGGTTGGCAATTCGATTCCCCCCTTTCCTGAGTCTGTCTGTTGTCTCCTTGGACAAGACACTTAACCCACCTCACTCCCAGTGTGTGTCCTCCACTGGTGTATAATTGTGAGTGTTGTGTGGTGGTGGTCGGAGCGGCCGTATGCGCAAACTGGCAGCCATGTTTCCGTCACTCTACCCAAGGGCAGCTGTGACTACTAAGATAGTTTACCACCACTAAAGTGTGACTGTGTGAGCGAATGAATTATGTATCCAATGTAAAGCGCTCTGAGGGTCTCTGATAAAGCGCTATATGAAATCTGATGTATTATTATTATTAGTTCAGTGATACATTATAGAGATGAAATGATACATGTACAGCACAGGATCATCAAAGAGATAAAAGGTACGGCTTTGTTCACAGGGGCGCCAACATGAAAAGTGAAAGTTCTTCACAGGACCTTTAAGTTTATCATTACTTTTTATATCGCCTCTCCCCTTTTCCTATAGAAGTAACTGTGTGGTCAAACTTAAAGCTTTGCGCTTAATGAAGGGCAGGACCTATATAAAATTAATCCAAGTCTGCATTTGCGCTGCAGAAGCTCTGACATGAAACCTCTGATTGCAGTGTCCTGACCCCGAGAGTGAGCGTAATGATAAGTAGGCCCAGCTTTCATTATTAATGTCACTCTAATCAAGCATGTGATAAAACTTATGTAAATCACATGCAGCAATTTACATGAGAAAAGTCCTCTGACAGCTACAGGAATGATTCATAGGAAGAAAAATATCCTCTCAAATGTTCAGCGTAACATGTTCATAAAACAGCAGTAACACACAGAGGTCACCTCAGCTGATTTATACCGCACAGAGATGCTGGGGCGGACACCTCCCTTCGTCACTGCTCATTAAATCAGGTTTTTATGGCTCGCTGTCAAAAACTCTACTGTTTCTCCACACTTTTTTATGGCTGCCTTCTGCTTTTTTTACCTTGTTTACAAGATGAATAATAGAGGGAATATGATATGTAAGTGTGTGCCGGTGAGTCTCCACAGCAAACAACGGGAGTAAAGTGAACTTTTTTCAGCCGACATACCTGTGGACTCTAATCTCTTCCCATCAAAAGGCCTCTGACTAATTCTAAGAAACCGCAGGAGTCTGTGAACTCATTTCTCTGCTCTCTCAGGCTTTCTCATTGTCAAACAGACACGCAGGACGAGCCAGACTAAACCCGACCAGTCCATGTGAAAGCCTATAATTAAACACCTCTGCCCCAACAGGGATCTACCGCAGCCACAGTACCCCCCATCCCATTAACTGTCTGCACCATCACGCTCAAGGACTCTGAACAGAAATGTGTAAAATGAAAAAAAACAACCTCTATTTAGTTGTAGAGGGCATTTATGTGCCACACAGAGTCACTGCGGTCACATTCACTGAGTTGTAGACAACATATAGAACAAGAGAGCACTAAGAAGCAGAGTGCTCTCAGCTAAAAGACACAAGAGTCCCAAATTAAGAGCTGAACGAGATTAAAAAGGAAAAAACAGGATTGTTGATTTTTTGTGAGTCAGTGACACAAACATGAGCAAAATTTGTTGTCTGGGTATTTATAATAATAATATAATAAAAACTATATTTATATGTCACCTTTAAAAATATGTTTACAAAGTGCTTTAACAGAAGAAGCAAACAGAAGCAAACAAAAGAAAATGGACGGTTGGTGGTTGACAGCGTCACATCAGGAAGGTGAAAAAGAAGACATTGGATAGAGGACAGATTAAAGAGAAAAAGAAATAAATACACAGGTAATAAAATAAGGTAAAATAAGAGTGATAAATCAAATTTAACATTTGGCTAAATTTTGTAACTTTAACTCACATTTGCAGGACAAACTTATTGGAGAACTTAACATTGAATTCAGCCATGACAGGCACATATCATTTCTGTTGTTCAACCTCATCCCCCTTCGTTACCACAGGAAAGCAGGGATTACAACCGATACTGCAGCCAGCCATTAGAGGGTAGCTCTAAATCTCTTGATAACTACAGTGTGAATCACATGGTTAGTTGCTGAATCTGTATCATCAGTGTATCTGGACAATGTTTTGAGATATGTGTCGTATTGACCTCACATCAGAGATGCCCAATGCTCATATACTCAGTCGTAGCCAAGACTACTCAGAGTCCCTGAAAAAAAAGGAGAAAACCCCAAAACTCAACTTTGATGACAGATCTGATTTTTAATGAACATTACATAGAAAGTTGAACTCTTTCTCTGTTTGCAACAGAGATAAAAGAAAAGAGGAATGAATACTTAACCAAGAATGCCAGTTTTCCATTTCCAAATTTTCCTTGGCAGGTGATCGCACATTCAAGCCTCGTTCTTGGCACCAGAAAGCGATATTGTGCTTCTTCATTTCTGTCAGTGTAATGTCAAATCCCACACAGAAAAAAATCTCCTTTCTGTGATTAAACTTCTGAACAACACTTTAAGATTTTATATCTTATTATTACTTCATATAAAACCTGAAAACTTGAAGCCAGACAGAAGTAATGATCCAAATTCACAGCTCACAAAGGAGAGGTAAACAGTGTCAAAGCAATCAGGGTCAGAAGAAGTAAAGGGCTCAACAGAGACTAGTCTGAAAGCAACAGCATGTAAATCATTCACCTGACATCCATTAGGCACTGCTGTATTTAAAGAAGTGCATGTCGATTGCTAAAGCAGACAGCAAATACCTGCCTGTCATGGCCACAATATGACCCTATAGGGCAGCAACAGACTGTTAAGTTCAGTCCCCAAATAGCTTGTTCAGGAACTTTTAGGTACTTTTTTATTGTGATACACCAGAGGATCACAAGCCAAGTAGAAGGCGTTGGTTTTGGAGCAAGAGGGAGGCTTGTTGCATGGTCAAAATGTGAGCCACACAGTTAGTAGGCAGAGTTTGTTGAATTGGAATCTGAATCTTGATGGTTCTTTTTTAGCTCCCCAGCTCTGTCGTACATCTCCACCTCTCTGACACATTTGCATCACGCTCTTCCTGCAACAATCCTCCTCAGCGCAAGATTTCAGAGGAAGACTGCCACCAGAGCTGAAGTTCATCTTCTGGTCAAATATTCTGGGAATCCTCTCTGAATTCATGTCATACAGCTAAAAGTAAAAATCTGAGCCAGTCAGTGACAAAAACAAGAACTTTCAGGGGACCTTTGTGTTGAGCGTGTCCCCCATCCAGCTGTCTTACATCCACTGATGAACTATTGCTCTCTGACATTTTTGGTACTCTGCTAAAAATGTGTTTCATTCTACTCTTCAATATGAGCCTTAATGGAGTGTCTTTAGCTTTTGGGGCAATCCCCAAGTGGACATTTGTGGAATTGCACTTACAACTATCTCAAAGTCCCACTTCAATCATTTTTGTTTTTTTTTTACGACTTGAAAGTGTTACCAGTGGTCTTTAAGTTGTGATTATGAAGTTTTAGCCAAAATAACCTGTGTCATTTTCAAGGGCTTTTCTTCTGCAGAGCTCCAGTAGCTCATTAGTAATTCCCCTCTGAGTCGTGGGCGGAGACATCACTGCTCTGCACACTCCTCTTCACGCTAGCTTGTAGCCTAACATTACCGGTGCAGCAGAAGAAGCAGGTAACATAGGAGCTATTTAGCTCTCGGACACTAATGTCTATAGGGACATGATGAAAGTTAATATCATAATTAGCTTTCTTACGAGCATTGCAATCTGCTAACACACACGCTTGTTCCACGATCATCCTCTCTATTTCTCTAAGTGTGGCCTGCATAGCCAAGCTCTCACCGTATCTGAACCTGCCGTTTGGGTCTGCCAGAGATTCACAGCGATTTAAATGAAGAAATACTCAGAAATGCAATTTCACACTTATTTTTCTCACGATATGTCCTGTAGCATCAGAAAAATGCCATATGAACATATAGACAACAAGAAAAACATGATTTTCATCTGAGTGGGTCTTTAATTTTCAACACTGAAGCATAAAGTCTGTTCTTGTGCTTGTTTGTTCTCTTTTTACCATCAGGATGCAAACATGTGTTACCTGAAAAAATGAATCGCTTATCCCCGCTGCAGCTAGATTAGCAAATAAGCTTTTATGTCTTTTTCACAGTCTTTATATCCTTGTAAGAGCCTTTGTTCGACTGATTCTGTTTAATTTATTCAAATGTGTTTATTTGGTTATCAGTCTGCTTAAAATCAGGGCTCATTTTTAATCCTTTCTCAGATTTGAGCTCATCTGTATAATTTGTCTGTGTTTGTCAGTTATGTACAAGCTGCCTCAAACCAAACGCTCCTAAAGGGATTAATAAAGCTGTTGAGTATAATCAAATCAAAGGCTTTCACTTTGCAAGCGTCTCTGTAACAGGATGTTCAGCTGCGGCATTTGCTGTGTCAGTGATGAATCAGTCGTCAGGTGTGAAAAACAGTGTTTAATGAAACATTTGGGGAAGGCACAGCCGCCTCACTCAATCAATACCCTCTCGTCCGTGTCTGCGAGTCTTATTTACCGTGTGATTTATGGCTGTGAACTTCTGAGGGAGTGACCTGCGTATCAAACCCAGAGGTTGAGTGAAGCTCTGCTGACGTCACTTTTCACAGATATGTTATAATCACAGCTTTTCGCTCAGCCAGTCAGTCACACTCCTCGGAGGAGTGGTGCTGCCTGGCACCCCACCAGGACAGGATGTGGAGCAGTAGCTGCATCAGATAATACCTCCTGCTGAGAGTGCAGGCAGCCATTGGTCCATCTGTTCTCCCCTCTGAATCACTGTTCCCCAAATAGAAAGCTGCTGTCTTGCCACTTTATATATCTCGGTTCTTCTCCTCTCTGCTTGTTAGAGGTGTTAAGTTTCATGTACAAGTTCTCGAAACGTAAAATCAGGTCATTTTCCTGTCAGGAGGAGACGGTGATGGTCATAAAGTTCATCCTGTTAGATCTCTGAAACCATCAGCTGTCCTACTTTGAAGGTTTATCATAGCAGCTTAAAATCTGGTCAGCATCAGCAGAATTTACTGAGGGAACTGTGACTGTTTCCTTCTTGCACTTTCTTATACACTGCATCCACTCTGGCATCAAGGATATTACACTTTAAATTCATTCATTGTCTTTTGTTTGTTATGTTTTTACTTTTGGCCAAACAGTGAGACAAAATCCTTTGCACTGCCATCATATTTGCGCCCCCTATGGATGGAGTCTTGAATTATCATTTACAGTATAGACTTAACTGTGTTAAGGATTTATGTCTCCAAGGTGCTTTTGCATCAGATCAGCAGCTCCAGGAAGAAATCATGAACTATCAGAGATTCACTTTTTATAATACCTCTGGATCGTACAGTTTTAAGAATGGACTACTTGACAGTGCAGAGCAGTTTCACTCTAAAATGTGCGAGCTCAATGTTCAGTTCACGTAGAAGTTTGTGTCGTCACTCATGTTGTTTCCTTCGGTTAAGATCTTTGCATTTGCTAAACGACTGCTCTTGCTGCTTCCTTCAAAACCAGCCTCCACTTCACCTTCTTTTTCTCTGCAATGTCTGATCTTACCAATGTCATATTGTCACTGCTGTCAGCTCTGTTGTGTTTTAGGTTTTTGCTGCTGCTTTTATAAAACAGAGAGAAGGTTTACTCTCATAGCTGAAAGAAATACAACTTCACTTGTGTAGGACTTATTACAAGAACATGTTCAAGTGAATGTGAAATGTTTAAAAGGGGACTGGGGAAAAAGAATTAGGAATAAAAATAGCAAAGGACATCCTAGACAAGGGTCTGGGGAATGTGAATATTTGTTACCTTAATGCAAGACACTGATGAGATTTTAAAAATTGCATAGGTTATATTATTCAAAGGCCAAACTGCATAAAATCGTCCCAGAAATATTATCCATCTGTGAAAAAATGTAACCAGGCAGATCCAGATCCACTACATAGTTTTGCACTATGCTGTGGTCTCGTGAGACTCTTGGTAGCAAACTTGTCCTTCTTTACAAATGTTTTTAGGCCTGGATCTACTGAGTGCTTTAGAGAAATATCATAAGACTACCTTTCATCTGATGGCATCATACATGTTAGTAAACTCTGGAAAAAGTACTAAAGCAAATAATAAACTCTGATGGCAAAATGCTGAAAATTTTCTCAATGAAGTACACACTTAAACTGAGACAAGTGTTTGGGTTGCACTCTCAAAAAATTGGAGAAATAGGATTCAGCCCCATTTTCAGACAACTGTATCCTAGCTCAGTGGCATTTTTTTCAGACTGTTTTTCATAAAAGAGGCCGCGCTGACTAGCGACCATTGTGGCTAATGCTGTTACTAGTGATGTGTAACTCATACAACTTCTGAAATATCCCTTTAAGTCACACTTGTGATGCGGGTATTCTTCAAAAACCTTGATGTCTTCTTTTGGTGAAGTTATGTTATTATTTTCCTAAGAGTCTTTTTGTCCTCTAACCTCCATCAGGTTACCATCACAGCCTCCCATCGTCCCCGTACTCCACTGGTCCCGAGGGTCAAAGGTTACCTTCATCGGGAGCGTTGTCATCAGAGTTCCTCAACCAAGGCGTTCCTGTGAAGATCCTGCTGCTGGTGTGCAACGCTGCGGGGGCAGGCCAGCAAATAGTGAGGTAATTATCTCAATTGACCCTTTGCAGAAAACCTGTCATCAAATAAAGCTGATCTAAAAATAACCTCGCAGCAGTAACAAAGCAAGAAAAGATCATCTGTTTTGGATTTTTCGTCATGTTTAAAGGTTTGCGTGCACGGGGCTGTCATGAAAAAAGTTATTTTCATTAAGTCAGAAGCTTAGAGGGTGGTTTCTATTTTTACCTTCTGCATACAAAAGAGATAACAGTATCTGATCTTTTTACAAAAGCTGCAAACATTAGTGTGCCCGATTACTACTTCTGACAGTAACAGCATTAAACACAAGAGGTCTATCATTTTCTAACAGCACCATTTTGTTGAGTATAAGCCATTTCAGCACCTGATGTTTAATAGGTTTTAACTGTCTCCACATGCTGTTGATAACACGACCTTTGATGAAGATGTGCCCTGTGAGAGGTTTGTCAGCTGATCCATATTTGAACTGAAGTTTTATGATAGATCTACGTCTGAGAAGCGTTTGAAGACACATGATCCGTCAAGGTATGAGGGGCTGCTCGTGACAGTTCCTGCTGCTTTCACTGCACACAGCTTCTTGTCAGGTGTGAAATCTATTTACAGTTGCTCAGTTCACATTATACCCAACATGCTTTAGTGTAGTAAGTCAAGGTCATGTCAGCTCCATGTAACAGAAAAGGACTCGTATCTCACTGTGGGATGAGTTTCAGATCAATTGTCCGAGGACTCGGACACATGGCATGATATAGAGCTCCAACATTCATCTCCCTGATAAATGTGCGGAGAGATCGATAAAGGAGAGCTCGCCAGCTCGGCTGTGGGAAAGTCCACTCCCATCCTGGTATCAGTTTCTCCTTCAAATGCCTCACTGTCGTCCATCAAACCTCCCACCTCTCTTTCTCTTTCATCAGATGACAGCTGGAGGACTCGTCTCTGCCAAGAAAATGACATTGAATTCACTTAGTTTTTTTTTTTTTTTTCCACTCTGCTTGTCTGTAGAAGAGGATCTCAGGTGCATTTCTGAGAGGCAGCAAAGTGTGAAAGCTTCAGTTTTTTATTTTAAGAACTATGAGCAACAGCAAACGCAGTGATAAGCTTTAAAATGCACTGTTCGGATTATTGAACTGATTTTGCCCTTTGAAAGCAAATAAACCTGTCAGGAGAAAGAGTGACACGATGAAAAGTAGAGGAACATCAGGGACACAAAACTCAGACGCTGGAATACTCACAGGACTCTAAGGTGTTGGGAAATGTGTAATATGCCCGTACTCACAAGAAGATGGACACTGTGGGAATATGGTCTTCATTTCTAACCAGTTACTCACAATCATACAACAAGGTGGTTTACAAACGACTTCCTCCTCATCCGTCCTTTTTTGAAATTTTGTCTCGCTCTCCCTAAAACTTTGAAGTTTGATTGGGTAACAGAATATGTTATGTAAAAAGACTTGGCATAAGAAGCCCGAGCTTCAGCCCACACCTCTCCAGTAGGTTTGATCTGAATCAGTTTCCACCCAGACTTCATTCTGTGTTCACTTTGAGGTTGAAGAAGCTAAAACACCCCTTGAAAGTCTTTAAATCTGCACTTACTCCATGTGTCACAAACTTAAACACTTAGCAGACGGGTGGAATTGTTTGGTCTTTTGCTGTGGAGCAGTTTCCAAATGGATTCAGTCATTTTCCTTCATTTCTTTGTACGGCTTGTCTCTTCCATGTCTTGTTATAGTTCCTGTAGCCGCTATGGCATGTTAATGGTTACCATCTTGAGCAGTAATCCAGTTTAATTTGTTTTAAGGATCTCTGTGGTACATTTATGTGGGACGTTGTATGTGGATTAGTCAGATTTTTGCTGTTTGTATCCGCATCTCTAAGAATCTTGAGAAAAAAACAAACAATGAAAAAGACAATTTTGCTTCTACCCTTACACCAAAGCCTCTGTTTCATTCATTACACTCCGCCAGATTAATCTACGGTTTCACAGCACCCTGCAGTCATTTTGTAAGAGCCTGTGTGAGTCTTTGTTTTTCTCTCTATGCACATACACGTGATACATTTCATACTAATAAATCTCAAGCATACAATGGAGGGCTGCCCTCAATTAAATATGTGTTATGATGACTGAAGCTATCATTTCAGAGGGAGGGTCGCCCCCTTCCTCAGCAGCTATTTTCACTTCTTATTATCTCTCTGTGTCCCTCCATAGATATCCTGTAATGAGAATCCTACTCCAATGCTGATAATGCTAATACATTAGTATTTACATTACAATGGGATGAGGAGACACGTGAGCTGAGCAGGGTGTATGCCAAGTGGCTGAGGAGGGTAATGAGCTGTATTTTAAAGAAAATGTATCTGTTTCTGATCGAGGTTTGGACCCCCATTCCTGATGAGGGAGGACCGGTCAATTTCCTGGGACCAGCTGCAGCAGAGCATCCTCAGCAAACTTTATTATCTGATGATCAATGGAGCTCAGGCACAGGTACCAAATGACTGCCAATGATAAAATGGTAATGCATAAATGTAAAGAGAGTCTGAATTTTTTATGTCTTGATGACTTTGAGATGATAAAAATTCATTGACTCGCATGGAGACCATCCAGCACTGCAGTTTCTTGAATCAGTGTTTCCTAGTAAAAACCCTTCCTGCACATTGAGTCACCCACATCCAATTATGAGACCTAAATTGATATGAAACCTAAATTTATAAGTATAAAATAATATTAATAAAGCGATCTTGGAAATCTCTGATAGGGAAGAAAAATGTGTGACATATTTAAAGTGCTCAATAAAATTGAGCTCAAGAATAAGAGTCCAAAAAAACTACCACATTGTTTAGATGTACTTTGATTTGCTTGGCCATATTAAAAGACTGTGGTTTGTGCTGTACAACTTTATGGACCAACAAGTAGAATTTCATTTCCTTTTGCTTTTTTCTCCATCAAAATGTTTATAGTCAAGTGTATCATAGTCAAGAATGTATCATCAGCGTAAAAATCATATTTATTGTTCTCATAGTAAGCTATTGAAGCACAGAAGAGACTGTACATAATGGAAAATGAATAGAACCTGGAAGACTTCCCAATTTATTATCAGCAAACTGGTGATATTTGATGTTTTCATGTACTTTAGTTCAACTAAGAGTGAGAATATGTAGAGAAAAAAGTAAAGGACCCGTAATGCTTCCCTGAGGAGCGCCATTTTTCACTTCAAAAAAAGGGAGAGAGCCCAGAACTCATCTCTGAGGTACACCACTTTTAAGTCTAAAGTGACTTAAAAAAGAAATCACAAAGTATTTCTTTTTATCAGCACAACAGTGATATTTTAATATTATACCAGAAAATGACAACTACTTTCACATTATTCAGGATATATTATAAAGTATGGAAAAGGCACAGTATGTAATGTATGTTGAACTCCTATAACCATATGAATGCCATATAGTGTATCATCTACACTGATGATATTATGATGTGTACCATAATTTAAAGTCTGGTTATTTTATTTCCAGACACTGCAAATCAACTATACTGTTTTAATTTTTTATATTTTCTACATTATTTTATAGCTTATGTTTTATTATCTGAAGCACAGGAACAAAACTTGTGAGCTAGTTGCCTTTCAGCCATTGGTAATAAATCAGTGGTAATTGTTCCACAATGCTTGTAAAACTTACATTTAATGGCCGTGTCATGTGGGCGGGCTTGTTATTGAGCACAGACTGGAGGCAGAGAGGGGACACAGCTCCCTCCTGCTGTGCTGGCTGGCACACCTGTTCCAGGACAGGTTTATTGGCTCGAGATAGAGCAGAGTGTGCCCACACATCGACGCTGTGTGGTACAGGGGGGAAGAGCTCAAAATGCCAGCTGGAGGCTGAACGGAGTCTACTTCCTCTCGATGCAAATACCATTACACTGGACCAGAGTCAGGATAGGTGTCTTTTTTTTCTTAAGTCTAATGTGATTTTAATGAGTGCAAGAGCTCCATAAAAATGCTTCATTAATAATTTGTGTTTATTTTGTAAACGCTGCCTCTTCTATTGGAGAGCTCTGTTCAACACCACTGCAGTGACTGTCACAAGCACTGGTCATTTTCACCCCAGGAGAAAATTGTGTTTGTCCACTCATCTTCAAGAGTTTTTGGCTTTTTGCTGTGCCAGTTTCTTTTCCCTTTTACTGTCTATATGAAGAGTAAATATTGGGCTTTTTCTACTGATTTAAGCTATTTCCAGTAAGTGAAATTTAACCTGTCTTCAGTCTGTGAGAGTAAATAAAGAATTCTAAACTGAATACACAGGATGGAAAAAAAAGTACAAAAACAATCATCAATATTTGACCTAAAACAGGTGAATAAGTCTTCTATTAGTAAAGGTCAATGCTTTTAAGCAGTGTGTGAAGCGCTGGAGTTTCGTAATCGTAGCCAAAATGTGGATGATGAAATATTATCTGCTTTAAGGACTTCATAGCTTAACTAAGGGAAACAAGTGCAAACAGAAGAGGATGTGACACCATCGGATCATGGTGGGTACAGGAGTGGTGATCACTGGTGATCACAGAACTTAATAGGTTTTGACCAATCTGACTCAAGCCAGGAAAAATTGAGCAAGGATAAGTTTAATATGCCTCAGAAAAGAAGAAATTTACTTCTTTTATTTATCATTTACTCTCTAATCTGTATTTCTTTGTTCCTGCTGCTCATTGTTTATTGTTTTCTGTTGCATCCTTTAACCAAACAAAGCCCTGGTCAATTTCTGTTGCTTTGGAGACAACAAACCCACAGATGTAATAAAGACTTGCATACAGCGTGGTTTGTAAAAGAAAACTGTCGACCGGCTTGCTGCATATGACTCAGTGTTCCTTCAAAAGAGCACAGGAGAGGGAGGAATAGAGGAGTCAGGTGCAACATTTTCAGAAACTCAGCTGGAAATCTGAAGTCTCCTTCGTCCCCCATGCTGTCAGCGATTTAATTAAAACCGGGCTCATACAGTATAATCAGTTTTCTGGAGCCGAACTCTGCCAAGAAAAGAGAGCAGATGTTTGCTCTTCATCTTTCAGCTTAACAGAATCTGTAGTTTTCCTGAATCGATGAATTACACTCACAAGTGGAGTCTAATTTTAGCTGCAGAAAAGATGCAATTCAAAAACAAAAGACTCGGCTGCTCTGACAGCCATTTTTCCTGCTGTTGACATCACTTGACATCTTAATTCAAGCTTTTTCTGATTGATGCTCAGCCATATAATACACTCCATCACAGTGATGGCTGCACATTAATCTATAGTGTTTTCATTAACAGCAGAGGAGAGCTTTTTTCACACAATAACACCTACTCTAGAGAAGCTTTTCATCAGACTACAAATACATTTACAGCATGGAGTGTTTTAACAGGAATCAAGGGTAGTAAATGTGTTAAACAGATAAACAGGCAAAGTAGTGTGCTAAAACACTGCATACACTAAAAATGTAAAAACCCTTCACACACACACACACACACAAACAGAGAAAGCTTACAGTAACAACATAATGAAAGCCTGTGTTTTTTGCATGGGCAGTAATTGGAGATCTTTTGCCCTGTCAGGCACAAACAATGCCACAAACATTCCTCCCCACACACCACCCTCCCTGAACACACAAAGTGATTAACCTTGGTTGAAAGCATGACCAAGGACTTTCCCATGGAGGGGAACACTGCAAACGTTCCCCTCGGAAAGATGCTTTAATGACTTTTTCCTTCTCCACTTCCCGAACACACACACACACACACACACACACACACACAGAAGGCAGTGACATTGCAGAGTTTAAACACATCTTTGATGCCTGTTAGTTCACTCTTCATCTTTCTCACACTTACCATCCATCAAACACATGCAGTGATGTGTTTACACCACCGACCCTGCACCCTCCCACCTCCCACCACCACCACCCTGTTTGCCTCATACTCCCCTTCATGAGCTTCTGCTGGGTAAAGACATAATCTGAACACACTAACATCTACTGAGCACTCTCAACTCAAAAGTTTGTTTGACAAAGAGTTCTGGCTCATCCGGTCATAAAAATCAACCCCCTGCAAGATACAAGTGCTTTTTGAACTGGTTTAAATGTGGATCAAACAAACAAAACTCAAAGTTATAAAACAGCAATCAGGCAATAAAGTAGTGATGTCACAATTTAGCATACAACTGGGTTTCTGTAGAAAGAGAGAGGACAGACAGACACTTCACTTCACTTACTTACCTAACATACTTACTTTACCAACTATTCATACTAAACATCCTTTTTGACGTACTTAACTACTTTTACTTGTTTTACTTACTTTATGCATTTAAAACTTACTCTACTTATATTTTTTACTCACGTTTATGTTAACTTTGCTCCCTTGCTCGCACTCACCTGTTTTACTTTTCCCACTTAACCTTCTTTCTCGACTAACATACTTAATTTTTTTTACTTCTTTTACTTTTGTGCCTAACTTCCTCCTTTACTTATTTTTTTTACTTACACTTTTCTCTTTGCACCTAATACATCTGCAACAACCTGTTGAGACTGTCCGAACATCCCTGCAAACAGTACACATGCAATTTTACGCTAATAAGTTATTACATTCTTGTTTTTAAGTCCACTGATCCACAGGTGCCCCCATGATCTCCTTACTTCGCATAGGCAGAAGCTGTCTGGCTGGTTGAGCTTGGACTGACGTCATGATCTTTCTTGTCACCAAAACACATATTAAATCTGTTGATAAAATATTGAAGATCCCTCAGGTGGGTACAGTCCACAGCAGGACAGATTCCTGTGTGGATTTGAGGCAAAGTCAGGGTTATGGAAAGTTCAGTTGTGCAAGTGTTTGTTAAGTTATCTCTCACTGTTCCACCTTTGCTATGGCAATCAGGTACAGGGTGCTAAAAGAGGAGCACCACTAGCCTAAGGTCTAAGCCTGCTCTGTCCAGGCAGCCTGAGTTCAATTCCGGCCTGTATCTCCTTCCCCATTTAATACTAATTTATTAAAAAGACAAAGACCATGATTTAAGAAAAGCACTTTGAGGTTTATTTTGAATTTATAAATTGACCAAGTGGCAAGATCTGGTCCTGAGAAATGAAGCTGATGCAAAAGTGTGAAAAACTGCAGTTCCCCAAGTGTCCACTAGAAGCTCGCAGCAGAAGCACTGGAGACCACATGCACAAGAAAAAAAAATCAATTTTAGAACAAACCCACTGGAGGGGAAGTGTTACTTTTTGTAACGCATTTGTGTCAATGCTATTGAGGTTCAGGATAGACAAATCAGAGGAACTGCTTACATGACCAACTGGCAGTCAAACTGATAGAGGCTAAAGGCGGCTGCCTCTGGTAGGTTGAACAAAAGTAAGTTTGAGTCAATATTACCAATATGGTGACCACCAATAAAGGTTTGGTGGCAAACAAATGGGTAGCACTACATTCATTTATCATACAGTCATATATCATATCGTTTCGTATCGTATCATATCATATTATGAGTTTAAGCCATACCCCATCTGTTATGATAGAGGAGGCAGGGTTTATGACCTATACTGCAGCCAGTCAGTAGGGGGAGCTTCAGATTTTTTTACTTCACTTTTTCTGAGTCATTGTGCAATCCCTCCTTCTAAAGAGTCGTCAGTTTTAGCAAAGACCTGTTGTTTCTGTTTCTTTTAGCTTCAGCATGATTGCCACTGAAAGATAGAAAATTGTCTCAAATATACTCCGCTGGAGTTTGTGTTTGTAACACATAAAAAAAAAAAAAAACAGAGAAGCTTAACTTGGTAGGCCTCTTTGGGTGGTCTGTACAAGTAAACACAAGTCTTTCATTGAAAGTCACAGTGAGTCTCAGTGAGACAGCAATGAAAAGATGGCAGAGTTAGTGTTTATACTTGTCAGGGGGTTTTTATTCTTCAGATCGAAAGTGAACATGCAGAAAAGTCGATGAGTTCTCTGGAAAGTGATACAGGACAGCTCAGCACCACGGGGAAGTTCGATGTCTGCAGCGTAGATAAACACATGAGGCTGAAGAAAAAGCAATGAAGTCTCTGCTACACAGCTCTGCATGTAAACTCGCAGGCTGACTGACACTTGTAATACTGAAAATAGGCATGTATATTGCACACATGAGGCTGTAATTCAGATAGATTATGTAACTCCCCCTCAGGGTTTGGATTCCACTGCGTTCATGTGTTCAGAATATCAATATTGCTGTGTGCTTTGGTGTGATCCTCGTCATCAGAGATCCCCTGCTGGATCAAACCTTCCTCCCAGGACTCCGAGCAAGTGTTTGTGTTTGAGCTCCGCCAGAAGCTACACACCAGATTTCAGTAGAACAAGAAGAGATCATTTTATTTTTGTAAAGCACTCCTTCATTCCTAAAGACAACCCCAATCTCAGAGTAATAAAAGTGTGCTCAAAAGGAGAGGGGTAAATAACACAAGTACAGTGTTTTGACTTTTCTGTCTTCATCAGCTTCTCAGTCCAATAGACAATGATATGAGGGACTAGTGTGATTTTCTGTATTTATATTATTTTTGTCTGAAAATTATTCCTATAAAAATACCAACTAAACTTTGATATAGTGGCTATGAGCTCCAAAAGTCAGGTGCATTATTTCACGACACCCATTTTTGTTTTTCTCCATCATTGGGTCTTTTAGGATGAAACAGTTCGAGGGACTTTTTCAAGAGTGACTTCACACCATGTGGGCTTTCTCTTTCTGTCTGGCATCACACTGTCATGGTGATGGCCAATATAAACCTTGAAACGACATGAACTGGCTGACAGTTGTCAGAGTAACATCACTTATGCAACTCAACTGAGAATAAACAGAACATTTATAACACTCTTAGAGCTTTTAGCAACTACTCATCACTGTTATTTTATTAACATTCACCGTGGGATTTAAAAGTGGCAGTTGTTGGCCAATTGGCATACCTTCATTCATAGACCAAGAACAAGTACCTACTCTAAAGCAGGGCCTAAAGAGCTCTTCTGAGCTCTTACAGTTCCTGCAGTGTGGATTCCTAAAGCTTTGGAAATAAAAAGTTCCTGCCCCTTCAAGCATACATAGTCCTAGACAGGAACTAAAAACATTAATCTTGATGGAGTTTAACAAATTACTTTCTGTGGTGCAAAATCTATAAAAAGGGGGAGGGTTCCTACAGTTCCTAGAGCTATAAAAAGTTCCTTTGGTCTGAAAAGGCTAGTTTTTAACTGAGAGATATACGTATCTTTATGCAAACACGGATAATTCTGCAATTTTGTAGCCTCCCAATTTTTTAGCCTCATTAACCATGCAGTGATAGAAGCCCTTTTTCAGATACTCGATCTAGAATTGTGGGTCAGTATTCTGCTGACACCCAACAGAATCAGATCAGTGCATCCTTGTGAAAAACCTCACTGAAAATCTCGTATTGATGAAAGCTGTCAAAGCTCTGTCTTTACAGATTTTGCTCCTTTTATTTCAGAATCACAGAGTCTTGTTCAACATCCGAGTGGTGGGAGGATCAGCGTTTTACAGCTACTTGTCCCCTCAGGATGGAAGACCCCTCTACCACCCTGCTGTGGACAGGTGAGTCTCTGAGTTTATTCTGTTCTGTTTTTCAGTCAATCATTTCAGTTCGAGACGAATCCTGTAACTTCAAATCCAAGTAAACAGCCAATCCATGCAAAAAAGCTCTTTTTTTCTTAAAGGAACAGTACGGTCACATGTTCATTAACAAAGCACAGGCATGAGGCGCCGGTTTGGCTCCGTGGCAAAGTTGTTCGCCTCATGTACAAAGGCTAGAGTCATCAAGCAGGCGGCCCAATCCAAACTATAGCCCCTTCATCTCGTGTCCCTCCTCACTCTCCCTCCCAGTTTCCCGCTCTTTCCAGGAAACATCCTATCCACTCTGAATAAAGACAAAAATAGCTTCAAAATACTGTATAACAAAAAATCTCAGTCTGTGAATTTCAGCCTCTTGGCAATGTCTACGTTTTGTTCCCATGAACAGAAATGCAAAACTAAATTGCATAATTGATGCATAAGCACAAAGAAAAAAAAAGGTTTTCTCAAGTTCATTAAGGACTTGTAGCTGCTTGTTTTGGAACATCTGTTTAGTCATTTTGGACATTACCTAGATTACAGTGTAGAAGACAAAGGCAGAAAGCGCAGCATACAACAACAGCAACAAAAGAAACAAATCAAAGACACTATACTGATTCAGATCCATAAAATCTGACTAACAATACAGGTAATTACAGATTATTGAAGTTCATTCTACCCAGTAAACACTTTAAAACATTCACTAAATCGCACAAACTTGTTTCCATGATTCATGAGGTTTAAAATTGAGGTCTTCTCAGATTTCCAGGGCTGTCGGAACAGTTTGTGGGCTCGTGGTGAGGCGAGAATGACAGTGAAATAAGTAACTCACTGTGAATATTTGCTTTCAGAAAGTAACATCAGACTCTTTCTTCAGACTGCTGTGAATCCTCAGGTTTAACACCGACCCACCTGACAGCAGCTACAATGTTAGAAGGGATTTCATCATAATTGTCACTCATTTCATCGACGTTCTTGTTTGCCTCTGTGGGTCACAAAGAGTCATAACTGCTCATTGAAGCCCTAATGCTGTAGTAAAAAGAGAGAGGATTCAGAGGGAAAGTGAATAAATAATATTTCAATTTGATTAAAAAAGAAGAAACACAGTAAAGACGAATGAGAGGATTAAAATAATTATGAATGGGTCTGAATCACAACTGAAAAAAAGAAATATCTGGCATTTTTCTGTTGTATTCAGATAAAGATTCTTGTTTAATTTAATAGTTTCTATTTTTTTAAATCTATTTCTCAGTAGTATGACCATTTTATACCAGTGAAGGGGGCCTGCTCTTGATTTTCAAGCAAATACGATAAATACACCCTTCACTCTCTATAAAGCATGTTTCTGTAAATAATGTGAGCACCAGAGTGACTGTCTGACTTTCTTGGTGTTTCATTTTTCTATTGTTAGACCTTTGGATTATTAGATTATTTTAATGTGTTATTTTGTCACAGGATTAAAAAGGTTATAGTCCAAACTTTCAGCACTGAAGTAACCCCATGTTCCTGCAGAATCCGTCAGATTTGATGTAATGTGATTGTTTGTAATATAATTTAACTCTGCTCTCCTCTAATGAAGACTCTCCAGAGAGGCAGACAGCCAGGCAGCGAGGACATTATGACATAAAAAAAACACCTTACACAGGAGTATGACTGTTAAAGGTGTCCATTTTACTGTTTCAAATAAATAGCTATGTCTATATACAGATGCTCTTAAGCCAAACTTCATTTCTTATCTTGTTTCAGCCATTACATCCAGATTGTAAAGGTTAGACAGTTTTGATTTCCCAGCATCTCTTGAAACATGCAGACCTTTTTTCCCCCCCTTTTTCATAACGGCTCATCTGGCTTTCATTTGAAGAGGTGATTGGCTTTTTCAAAAGGGCCTTTTGGTGACATTTTGAAAGGACTTCGATTTGTGCAGCTGCTGAGAACAGATCATTCAGAGGCTGAATGATGCTGATGGGACAAGTGCTTTTAAAAATCTTTTGAAACATAAATGTGCGGCACGCTCAGTCTCAGAAACTAATGTGATGATGGTGCTGGACTTGAATGATTCAGACATGTGTGCTGTTCTGAAGTCAGCCCACATCAGACTGAAAAAGACTGCAAATTGTCTGTATGGAGCACCAGCAATGTTAAATAGGTGGGTTGGTTACTCTGAGCCTGTGGAAATGCAAATAACAAGTACTGCACTGAGTCTAATGAACCATATTGCATGGTGGTAATGCGGCTTTGCCATGTTTTTTTTACTGATAACATACTACAACTTTTGTACCAGCCATTCTGAGAATTTTACTCCAACCCTGTATTCAATTACATCTGGTGCAAAGGCAGGCCAGCACTTGCTAAATAGCGAAAAATGGTGCAAAGCTGAGGGTCATGGGAAAGTCAGAAGTCATGCAAGGATTTGGTTCAGTAAAGAGCTCGGTATCCATCCAGAGCACGTCCAACATTTTGGGTTCTTTCTCTTTAACATGTGGATGTTTATAACAAGAAGAAGACGAGCATCTACTTCCACGTACCATGAAACTCAGAAATGAGAAAATCACAAGCTCCAACACAAAACTTTGCTTGAATGCTTTTAACAAATGTTCAATCAAAACTGGAACTTTCAACACCATATAGAGGATTTAATTGTTTACACTTTGAGCAGAGCTACATCACACCATCATGTGACTTTGGGTCAGTCAGACAGTGTTGTAGCTGAGACATCAGGTAAGACAGAGTGATGCAAGAAAGCAGACATGAAGGGGAAGCAAAAGCAGCAGTGGAGCCAAAGAAGAATTGGCTTATTTTAACTGCCATCTGTACGATTAAAGGCAAATACAGGTAATCAGCCGATGACAAACATCAGCCTCAATAATCAGCCATGATCAATCTTAAAACATGTCATTCTTGCGCAGGAGAGGTTTAATATAGCATTGCTGACACCCTGTGTTCAAACAGCATCATTGCAGGCACACAGAACCACTTATCTTAAAACTGTATGTACTGCAAACTCTATTAAACTATGAGAATGTGAAGGTCATCTGAGACCAATATGATTTTCCTTTTTGGTGACCTTTGACCTCTGTGTTCCCCAGAGCTCTGAAGCTGTGCGGCTCTGGAGGGCCTCCACACGTGAAGCTCATCATCGAGTGGGAGCACAGAATCAAAGACTGGTCAGTTTGATTTCTGTTTCAGATCAGCGCTTCTCTAATCTCTGCTTCAGTCTCTCTTAATCTGACATCAAGTTTTCACTATAATCTCCTCGGCTGCAGCCTGTTTGGAAACATCCGCGAGGAGGTGGTGAAGGATGCGGACAGCGTGAGGAATCAGCAGCAGCAGCACGTCCAGCAGTACAGCTGCACGCTCGATGAGTGCTTCCAGCTGTACACCAAAGAGGAGCAGGTCAGCCTGATACTATTAACAACCTTATTAAGGCCACCCTAAATGTTGTTTTTAACGCTGTTTCCATAGCAACAACAGTGAGCGATAACTGTCCCCCCTTGAGATGTGCTGTTTCTTTTTTTTAACTTGAGCATTTCAGTTCTTTGATGAGAACACTTTTGCCACTTAGCAGCAGTTATAACCATTTATTTAATACTTATTTTGAGTCTGGCTGAGCAGAGTTTGATGAAATAGTTGCATGTTAGAGTGTTTCATAATTGCTAAGACACATTTTTGAGACTCTCCACCCTTCTCTTTAAACTTTGAACACATAGCTATGTTTTCAAACGTTCAAATTTTACTGCCAAAATCTTCACAGACTCTCCTAGACCTAAAAGTTACACTCAGTTGTTACCCCGGTGGTTCTCAAGTCCAGTCCAGTCAGGTGTGCTCCAACACACCTGATTTAAATGATCAGCTCGTTATCAAGCTCTGGAATGGCTTAATAACGAGCTAATCATTTGAATCAGGTGTGTTGGAGCAGGGAAACATCCAAAACATGCAGGACTGGATTGAGAACCACTGCGTTACCCAAACAGGGCTTTAAGTCTGACCACTGTGAATGGCTGAACTTTAAATCAGTCAAAACTTTCAGCTCTAAGCCAGACGAACAATTACGTACGCCCAGCTGATGCGCCAAGCCGCCCTGGCTCACAGCTCAGAAAGTTTGGGTCATAAAGATCTTTCTTCAGTACATAACAATGGAATAGTTTTTTTTTTTTCTTTCAAAATAATGATTGTTTGTGACGTACAGTAACTAACTCAAATTTGTATGATTTTATATGACTTCATGGATGCTCAGACTCCTCCTGATAGGAGATGGGCTCCCATTGAACTTGAAACAAACATACATTTGTGGACACCCTTCCCCTGTGAACCCTGCTGTTTTCATTTTGCAGCAAGTAAATATGATTTTTTACAGCAAAATTCACAGAATGATCTTCGAGTAAATAGTTCCCAACATATCACTCAAGTCATCCTTAGATGTTTCCAGGCCTGGTTCCTGCTACAGTTTCTGTTTAACTTTGACAGTCGAGTGATTTGGGGTTTCTCTCCCATCATAAGTTAACAATAGTTCATATGAACATTGACAGTAACAGTGCAGAGACATGATGGTATTTGCATTTTAAAGCAAGAAAAAAAACAGCATTTGTCAGATGTGTCAATCAGTGTCATTTTAAATAAAGTTGGCTGCTTCTCCAAGCGGCCTTCTTTGCCCTTTTACACCACTAGGTGGGGCTGGAGGAGTAAGAATTGAGACTTCATTCTCAACCATGAAGTGTTGCTTTTTTTTTAGAAAATCATACTCAGCAAATTATTGATAACATATTCATAAATACTGCATACGCAGTGTAAAGATTTCTTTCGCAGCATCTAAAAATAAGAAAATGTTTCTTTTTCGGATCATTAATGATTCATTGATGATGGTCTCGGAAAAGGAGATATTTTTTCTGTCTTTTTTCTTGGTGTTGCTCTAAAAGCGCTTCATTCAGCCACATTTAAATGTTTCCTCTCACTGTTTCTCCTTTTCTCTAATAACCACAACATATGAGACTCGTTTGGTAAGATGCCTGTCAATCACTTCTAAGCATAAATTACAACAAACTTCTCAGAAAAATGAACGTGTACATAAATCAACATGATAAAAGCTGAGCTACCATCCTTACTATGGGATGCGTGTTTTCGCTCATGCTGTCTTCAACTTGAGTGTTGATAATTTATAAACTAAAAATTTGTTTTGCAAAAGTTGCAACCACATACAGTTTTGCACAGACACAAATATAACCCCAAAACACTGTCTGTATGCAAATGTTCAGTTTTTGTGGTGCAGTTGTTTACTTCAAAAAATTTGCCTCAGTGTTTGGGTGAAGTTCAGCCTTCTTCTTTAGATCCTGCTGGCGGCAGACTCTGTCCTGCTGCTTCTGTGCCAGGAGAAATTCTTTGAACTAAATTTATTCATCTGTTTTGTCTCTATCGTCCAGCTGGCCCCGGACGATGCCTGGAAGTGCCCTCACTGTAAGCAGCTGCAACAGGGCATGGTGAAGATGAGCCTGTGGACACTCCCAGACATCCTCATCCTCCACCTGAAGCGCTTCAGGCAGGTGGGCGAGCGGAGGAACAAACTCACCACGTTCGTACACTTTCCTCTGACCGGCCTGGACATGACACCGCACATGGTGAACCGTGGCCATATTACCCATCAGCCCTCATTGCAGCCGGGCTGGAAACAGTCGAGAAGACCTGACCTGGCTCCCCCTGACTTCCTTTACGATCTGTATGCTGTTTGCAACCACCATGGAGGGATGCACGGAGGACATTACACAGGTCTGGAAAGTAACACATTTTCATGAGAGGGCTAGAGGTCTGTGATAAGCTGCAGAGTGTAGGTAAAGAAGAGTCGACTTTAGATTGAGTATAGTTTTGAAAAATACTGGTATGATACTTGAAACTCAAAAAACAATGCAAGTCCGATACTACAACTAGAGGCAGGATTCCGACAGGGATTAGTTACATTTAGATTTCTTTTTTTTTTAAATAGTTACAACTGTACTACAATAGGAAACTTCCATGTTTTACTAAGGTTAGCATGTTATTTAAAGGGATATTCCAGCGTAAAATTAATTTAGGTCAAACACATCGTAACACAGAGATGAATGTTGCCGTTTGCTTCTCTAGTTTCTCCAACTCGAGTAACGACTGCAGGATAGCAATACACAGCGGTCTGAGGAGCCATAAACAAACCTCAACCAAAACGCCACTCTATAGCCACAAATAATGCTCAGAACAGCACCTAACTTCATCAACAGTACATATAGGGTCCCAACCACAGCACTAGCCACCAAACATCTTTTTAGCTTTGCCTAATTTCTTTAGCAAAGAGACTAAACACAACTCACCCACTCTCTTCCAGCAGCCACTTGTTTCAGTGAGACCTCGGCCAGTCTGTTACGGACTGCTGCAGGGTGACGCAGCTCAAGGAAGAACATTTATGATCAATATTTTATCATTGTCTTGAAGTAATATTACCATAATTATCATTTTGCACTTCAGACGCGGTAGTTCTTCTGCCTAAGCGTCTCGGTCTGATTGCAAATTATCATAAATGTTCTTCCTTGAGCTGAGTCACCCCTCGGTGTTACGCCGGAATATCCCTTTAAGAAGCATGGTGGGTCTGGTATTGACATGCTAAACAAAAAATGCAATGAAACAGCTCATATAATCATGCTAGCAGATCAGCCAGCAAGCTCAAATGCTAACTTTACTCCTTGAAGAGGTCTGAGTGTCCATCATCCAGGGTTTTCATAACATTGTTTTGATGTATCTTTACAGCGTGGCTTTGGGTTGTGAGTGAAATCGCTGTAAGAGGTGGCTGTGTAGGCTAAGTACTTACAGGAGACTCTGCAAGTGAAGGAGGTATCCTATCAGGAGATGACTCATTATTTTTATCGGTGGTGGACATGTTAAGACAGAGGCATTGCTTTTCTTTATTGTGAATGAGTGGCAGGTCAATCGTGTACACCTCCATTCCCACCAGTCTGATACTGCCACCTTGTGGAGATGCAGCTATTAATGTTTCGTCCTCTCAGTCTTGAAATTGCTAACAGTCACAAGTATTAAACATCAGAGGGCCTAACATCATACTCATTAGAAATTGTGAAGTTACAATAAAGCACCAAAAATCCTCTACACCGTGTGCTGCAGTAGTATTCTTGGCAGGGGAAATAATCAGCCGAAAGGAGAGGTTTTGAATTGTTTTTGTTCTGCAGTCTTACAGCTTTGGGGAATAAACTGGGGGATTTTTGTATCTGTTTTTCTTTTTGTTTTTGTTTTTTTCGTCTTTTTGGATTTTCTTATTTTTGTTAATGTACAGCAGCTTCCAATGCAGGGCATGGAGATAAAAGAAAACAAAGGGCTTTATAATCCTCTGCAGTTCTACCTCTTTTAGGATTAGAAAACCTCTATACAGTCTGAGACAGATAAAATGTTTATTTCAGAATATCCAGAAGCATATCAGGGAGAAATCAAAGACAGAGAATGAAACACAGAACTAAAGTTTACACAGTGATACTGGGTCTTTGACTGGTGAGTTCCAAAAATCTGTCCACAGGGGTTTTACGTAACATAAATATCATCTACTATATTAATCCACTCCTGTATTGTAGGGGATTTTAAAGGCAACCGACATCAAATCAAAATGACAACTAGACAGTCAGTGGGCGCAAATGTCTGACAGGAATGGCTATCACTGCACTCAATAAGACAAGTTCTTTAACATAAAGAAGTAGTATAACAAAAATAGGTGCCGATGTTTATCTGCTGTAATAGATTAAAATGTAAGAACTTAAACTTTGTTGAAAATATCAGATCAGAAGTCTTCCAGTAGCTTCCACAGAAAACAGACAAACAAAATCAAATAACTTCAAGATAAGACTTCATACATCCCAGACATTTTCATCTTCTTCTGTTTTCGTGGTGTCTACAGCTTTCTGCAGGAACTCTGTGGACGGTCAATGGTACAGTTATGATGACAGCAGCGCTGAGCCGGTTCCAGAGGCGGAGGTGTGCACACGGGGAGCCTACATCCTCTTTTATCAGAGAAGAAACACCATCCCTCTATGGTCTGCCAGCTCCTCACTCACTGGTTTGTGCTTTTCAAATCTTCTGAAGCTGCTTCCCATGAAGATAACAGTCAGCTGAAACCTGCTTTAGAGAGAATGGTGAAATAATAGAGGTGTTATGGGAGGATCATCACAGCTCAACAAACACAATTTCAGAATTTCCTGCAAAAAGTTGTTTTTGTTTTTTTGTCTCTCTTTTAAAGATGTTTGAAGTACTTTTTTCTCTGAAATGTACTTTTTCTAAATGTACTTTTAGAGTTCTCTCTGTCTACTTTCAGACAGTAAATCAAGAGAAAAACTAACCTGTTATCCAAGTTTTATCAGCGCTGTGAATATAGTAACAGAGAGATAAAAAGATGTTTGGTGGCTAGTGCTGTGGCTAGGAATCTATATGTACTGTTGATGTAGTTAGGTGCTGTTCTGAGCATTATTTGTGGCTATAGAGTGGTGTTTTGGTTGAGGTTTGTTTATGGCTCCTCAGACCGCTGTGTATTGCTATCATGCGGTCGTTACTAAAGTTGGTGTAACCAGAGAAGCAAGCGGCCGGTGACATTTATCTTTTAAGGGGGTGTCTAACTCAGTGTGTTTGACCCTAACTTAATTTTATGCCGGAATATCCCTTTAAGTGAGAGAATGGATGGAGGTACAGAACCAGTAAGGAGAGCTTTATGTACGAATTTTAGTCACAGATGTTTCTGTAGGGTCATTTGTCTGAGATTTGAACAATTTACATCTATTTTCAAGGGTTATGACAAAAAAACTTTTACCTTGTGATTTGAAACTTAGCATGCATCTAGTATGGACACCAAACTTTGTAACTTCTAGGCAGCTCACACCCAAGTTTTCAAATACTGCTTGTTTTGAGCCACTAATCCTTTGGTCAAGGTTCATGTGCGCCGCAGTGCTCTGTGATGGTTTACCAGTAGCTTTTGCCAGCAGAGCCGCAGGCAGATCGCCTTAAGAGCCTGATCCTGACTTAAGGTGGAAGACTCAAAAGTCATATATCACCCTTTTTTAACTGCAAATTCAAAGATGAACTTTTTACTATCTGTTCTAATTGTGAATTTCAGTTCACTTAATATAATACTTAATACTTAATACTTAATATAATGCTTCAAAATTTGTTTGTCAAGCAGAGCAACTGACCGTTAAAACCTGCCAGAAGAGTTTCAGTCAGAGAATAATTGTCAGGTTATGTATTACATCAAATATCAAAGTAAGTCTTTGTTGCTCTGACTCGATGGGGAGGAAGTTTTGAGTGCAGAGAATTTCTGATCTGAGTAGCAGCAGGAAAATCCCTCCATGGAGTCCAGATACCGTCTGTGGTGGTGGTGGACTGGCTGGATAATGAATGAGGACTGATTATCCTACAGAGACCAGGCGTGGAGATGGAGAAGCTTGCATGTTTCTTCAGCGTAAAAGAACAGCCGCGGAGCAAGAATCATAGTTAAAAAGAGAAAAGTGATGAGCTAACAATGAAGGAGTGCTGCTGGGCTATTTGCTGAGGAGGCTACAGATGAAAAGGCTGATAAACCAATCACAGCAGCGACAAAATGAAAGAGTATGCATGAGTGGGGAAAAAAGAGCACCAGGAAGCTACTGAAATGCAAAACAGTCTTCCTGCCTGAATCCAAGCTGGAGCTACATTTTATGCATCTGATGAACTGACCTTGTGTTATGGTCTGCTCAACTGAATGTAAATATTTCTGGACCCTCACATGTTTCAAAAAATCTATCTTTTTAGAGTTAAATATGCAGCCTTGTGGGTCACTTTGGTCCTTTAGATAAATGATTTATAAATTGAAAAAAAGCAGCATGTCAAGGTTGGGCAAATGCAGAGTTCGTTTCTGTCCAAATAAAAAGGAGTTTTTCAACTTTTTGTCTGTTGGGGAAATAAATCAGTTCACTTCAATGCAGCATAAGTAACCATTACAGTAATCCAACAGCTCATCCAGGAGTGATCAGCTGACAAGGTCATCTTAAGTGGATGCATTTTTTTTCTTCCTCTCTTCATTTTCTTACATCAGGAGTTTAATCTTAGGGGTAAAGTCGGAGGCAGTTTTGATCCCATATGTTTGGGTTAGAGTGGCAGTTATGAGCCGTGACACCAAGCTGTCACAGCCAGACCCACTGAATATTTTTCACAAGCTTCAAACATATCTTTGTTTAAAAAAAAAACTTTCTGGCTGTACAAAAAGGAAATAAGCATGTGGGAGAAATTCACCCAAGTGATACCCATAGACTGTATATACTATGGACAACTTGGTTCCGCTTTCTGCCAGTATACAGATTTGAAGTAGAAAATATCTCAGTATTTCCGTGATTTTTCTCCATTTCCTTAAAACAACATTGTGCAGTAGCCTTGTACGTATTCGGCGGGAGAGTCGCCAAGAGTCGCTGTGATGACACTCGACTCAAACAGCGTATCCCGCAATCTTCGTACGCCCATAGGCTGTATCAAGTGTCAATCATAGAAAACATGAACCCCCTAATGAATTTTAAAAATGGACCTTCACAGAAAAAAGAGGACTTGAGCACAAACCAGTCTTACGGTAACTACTTTGTCAACATCGCAAGCAGGGGGAGAAAAATTTAGATTCTGTGTAATTGGTTTATAAAGTTTGTCCACAGCGCCATAAGGATTGCTGGCGGAGGCGGGATTTATGACCTATACTGCAGCCCGTCACCAGAGGGTGCTGTTCTCGGAGTGGCTTCACCCAGCGTGGAGGCAGATGGCGTCCATTCTTTATACAGTCTATGGTGATACCCAAAGAAATGACAGGAAGAGGAAAAAGTTTTTCAGATGTCAAACTTGAGTGAGCCACTCCAGCCCTGGCCTTTAATTTTTACCAAAAACAAATTGATTAATCATCACTGAGGCGTCTTCTTAGTGTCAAAAAAATACAGTGTGGAGCTGTAGAGCCAATTTAACCTGTAGATGTTCAAAGCTACAAATAATATCGTATTCTCAGAGCCCAATAGACCTGCAATAAATCAAAAGTTTTGAAGAGTTATTTTTCAAACAGAAAAATAATCCTGGGTCTGTTGTCCCAGTTGGTGCTCGAGCCCTAATTAGGCCTTCATGTTTGTTACTCTCTACAAGTCTGGCTTACTTTAGTAGGAGAAAATCTAGTGGGAAGGATTTTAGGTACATCAATCATTTTTTTATCGTCTTATTTGTTTCTCAGATTCTCGTACAGATACAGTTTGTAGCATAAAGTCTCTGTGTTTGACCCCAGTGTGTGAGTGACAGATCTAATGAGCCCTGAGTTATTCTTAGTTTCCAAAGCATGTTGTAAAACTGTCGCAATATCACTGTGATGATTTCAGAGATGGAAAGTCATCCCAATCTAATTACTGCAATACTGCAAAGACTGATTTGCATACTTTCATTTCCTTCAGGTTCCACCAGCTCCTCCACCTCTGACCACTGGCTGGTCCGGCTGGCGGGAGGCAGTAAAAGAGGAAGCATAGGGTCAGGAGGGCCTGTTCTCGGACCATCAGTGCCAACACCGGCCCCCGAGTCTCCTGAGCTGCCTGTGTTTGGAGATGAACCTGTTAGATCACAAGAAACAAGTCAGTGTCTGGAGCCTGTGCAGCATATTTTACCGTGCTTGTAACATGTTCTATATCCGTCTCACATAAAGTGAAAAGTCGGGATGTTGTGTGAACTTAAGATTAAAACAGAATTCGATGGTTTGCAATCATTCAAACCCGACATCTAACTGAATGTGGTAAAAAGAGAACTTATCAAATGTTGAAACTGAAAAGTTTTATGGTTTTGTGAAATAGTTATGAGCATTTAAAATTTGATGTGTTACAAAACAGAAAACTGAAAAAGATCGTGTTAATCATTGTGTTGTGTCACCCCTCTTTTGATAACACTGTAAATGATTTGGGGACCAAGAAATGGAGTCCCATCTTTCCCTGATATGAGATTACAGTAGTTTGGGGTCTCCATCATTGTGTTTGTCATTTCAAGATGAGCTAAATGTCTTCAATGGGTGATATGTCAGGACTGCAATTCAGCACCCAGACTCTGCTACTACTATTGATAAAGTATCCACTCACACAGTCTCTTTGAAATGCCTTTTTTACACCCTATCATGCCACAAACCAGTTGAAAAATACCTATTTTGTGTGGGGGGTGCTCCTTGAGATGTTTTTTCAACATTAAGCAACTTTTTTCAGCATTTTGTTGTCATGATCTCAAGTTTTCTGAAATCCCAACTTCACAAAACAAAGACAATTTAAATTTTTAATATTTGGTATTTTGCCTCTGTTTTTGTGTAAATACAGATGGTCAGATGAATTTTAAACCACCAATTCCGTCTTTATCAACATTTTACTCAGCGTCTGAGTTTTTAGAATCGAGGTTTTAGTTACTGGAGGAAACAGCAGGTCTACTTTGGCAGCATAACAAACACGTGAAAAGAACAGGTGTGTCTCACTTAACTAAATTTAATTTGATGTTTTTTTCAAAAATAAATGCAGCCACATTCCGACTTAATTATTCACACATCTGTTTTCACAGACAGAACAGTGTGTCCAAATTTGGTGCATGAAAAATTAAAATAGAACCAGAAATGAAGACAAACCAGATGAAGAAAGGGAATCTCAGGAGTTTTAACTTTAAAGCTCCTATAAGGAACTTTTGGTCTGTGATGATTTTGGCTCCCCCTGTGGACATAATTGTTTTTGCTTTTCATGTTCTCAACAAAATTTAACAGCTGACTCAGGCACTCAAGTTTATCATTTAGTGTGAATATTTTATGTGGAAGTTATAAAAGCAGGGCTGTTTCTACCCTCTCACCGCCAGTTTCAAGCATTAAAAATTGAAGTTTAGAAACTGTCAGTCTTGACAGCGATGGTCTTGTTTGCTTTTGTGTGTCAGAAAACAGCATCAGTATGAATTTCAGTCGATTACATAAACATCCAAAAAGCTGTCAAAGGAGCTTTACTTTATTATTTTAAAATAAATATTTTATGACTTGTTTCATCCAGTTTAAAGGGCATGTTTTTTTGTAACATTATGTCCCAAGAGTTCCAAAATGCAAATGAGTTTAAGTTGAATAATTCAGTCTGTGATTTAGCTTTAAAGTGATTTAAAATGCTCTTTAACTCTGAGCATTTGCCTTAATTTTATGCTTATGTATATATCTGATGATGATGGAATAATGTTCAAACATTTAATGAGGATATTTTAGCGCGTTGACTCTTTAAACAAACATGTTTTTTGTCCGTAGATGGGTTTGAAGCCAGGCAGTTCACCCGTGGGACTCAAGGACGCAGCGTGAGCATGAGATCGCCAAATAAGCCCAAGGAGGCCCTGAGCAAAGTCCTGCCTCTGCGCTGGTCTTTTGGCTCCAAGGATCGCATCAAACCCCCCGTCCAGAGACAGCCTGGAGAGCTGGTGGAGTACCTGGAGTCTGGACGCCGGCCACGGTGCACCAAAGAGCCCATCATTACACTGGTGGCCACCCCGCCTCAGAGGAGCACCCAGGTACGAAGCTTTGAGGCGGGACAGGACTGCAGCTCTCCCAGCAGCAGCAGTCTGAGCTGCACTGACAGACCCAGCTCTGACACCTGCTACTCCCCGAAAATCCCAGAGGGACAGAGCAGGCCGTTCGTGGAGAGGGGCATCAACAGCAGCAGTCTGAGAGGCAGGGACTACAGCTCTCTGAGGCACAGGTCCTCCAAGAGAGCCAGGCAGGACCAGGGCCGGACCCTAGACCTGCAGTTCCACAGAGGAGCCCTTTTAGCAGATCACATCAGCCACAGTGCCCCTCCAAGCAGAGACTCCACTCTGAGAAGGACCAAAGTCCACACAGGAGGGGCATCCAGACCACACAAAGACCTGTTACAGATGGTCCTTCAGCCTGAGGACAGGAGGGGGCAGCGGGGACAGGAAGGCCGCAGCCATGAGAGCCTTTTATCATTTTTCAAACCTGGTTTCATGAGAAAAGACGCCCCAGAGTCGCCGATCAAGACACACGACACGAGAAGAATGAACGGCCATGGACACTTGGGACGGTTAGCGTGCAGCAACTTAGCCAAACTCTCTCTCTCCAACGGGACTCTGACCACAGGAGACGACAGGAAGGCCGCTGTCCTCCAGAACTGCGACGCTCACAACTGCAAAGTCCAGCTGGTGAATGGGAAGGTGGGGATTCACGACCCCGTGGACATAAAACGAGCGCACAGCTCCAGTAACATCCAGACCAAGATGGATCTGACGTTCCGCAGGTGCGCGTCTCTACAGAGGAACGGGGACGTCATCGTTCCTCCTTCACACCGCGTCCTGCTGTCGGACAAGCCAAGCTACGCCACCCTGCAGCGGACACGATACAGTACCACCTCTCTGGGCAAGTATGGATCATCATGGTCCTGAGATCAGTTTTCACCATTCTGACACCATTTTTCCTTTTGAATACCAAATCCTATTTCTTAGTGTGTTTGTTATTATCACATGAAAATTAACCTGGAACATGTTATGGTTTGGGATCAATAGTGTATTTTTATCCATCCCTTAGCCTGCAAGTTTCGGCTAAACTAGTTTATTTGTTTTGATACAGAATGCTTTAGTTTCTTTTCCCAAACAGAGCCCCCATAATCTTGTTTAACTGTGCAGCAGCTGTCAGTAACCTCAAAGGTCGCTTTTTTATATCTGAGCTTTGCAAACTGAACAATAAAATCCTGTAGAGACTTCAGTAATGGTGGGTATAACACAACACTACACGGTGGTAAAGTTGTAAACATTCACAGAAAAAACAATAGCATTAGGCTGTTTAACCTCTAAAAGGGAGGATCAGCGGAGCAGCCAGCTGAGACAATGAAGGTGAAGGTGAGGTTCTACGATTCTTCTTCTACAATTTTTTGGATGCCGATTTAATTTAAATTGGGATTCTATGATATTGTCGATTTTCTCAATCTTGAGTCTGAATTTTTTACACCAGTGAAACAGTTGAATGATTATGATTGTGTACTGACTATTCCAGGAACCATATTGGTAACACTTCACAATAGCCATAACTTATTAATGGTAAACAACCATTTATAAATGGTAAGCAGATAGTGTAATAATGTCCTATCATCATTTTCAAATAGCATATAGACCATTAATGAATTGTAAATTTTACAATTTTAAAAACCTAACCCTAACCTTAACCCTAACTTTACAACAGCCATCTAAGTAATGTTTATAGGTGGTTTAAAAACCAAACATTAACCTCCAACCCCTACTTAATACGGGTTCTCAATCATGGTAAGATGATGGCCTCCCGGTCTAACCTCTCCAAGGATAAAGGTTATGTTATCCAGCAGTCATTGGTTCGATTCCTGGTTTGCTGCGTGTCTACCCTCCACTCTCTGCTCCTCACATTTCCCATGGCTCATCAGCTGTCCTATCTAATAAAGGCAAAAAATATTGCAAAATGTCATTTTAAAAATATAAAAAAATACAGAATTTCGTAGCTTAACAGCTCTGCATTGTCATTAAGCATCAGATGATTGAATGAACTCCAACAGACAGGCTGACATGTTGCTCTGCTAATGTCGTCTAATACAGTATATGTTTTCTTAGCCCACAAACAGATGAACCTTAGCCTGTAATCATGACTTATTTCCCATAAAATTACAACTTTTATCTTGTGAATTTAGGACCTTATTTTTGTAAATGTACAAGTCCTTTAAAAACTTTATTTTCATAAATTTATTAGTTATCAGTTGAGTTTGACAGGCATTATGAGGAGGCTGAACTCTCCGGTTCAGTCGTGTTTTTGTGCCTCAGAAGTTCAACACCTCCAGTTGGCTTTCTCTGGTTTCTGTTTAAAGGGAATATTTCATTTGAACTGCAAGTTATTTCTGTGCTTGATTTTTCTTCCATCCTGATCTTTGGCTCTTGTCCTCTTATTTGCTTTCTGCTTGAATTTGTTGTACATCTGTCATTTGGATAGACTTCGTGGGTGTCTGTGGAAAAGTTTTTCAGCTGACGTCTTTTAGAAAATACAAGGACTCAATTAGTTTTGGCTTTTTTTTGAAAGATACAGTCTTGGAAGTTTTCCAACCTGCGAGTTCTGTCCTTCAGGTTTCATTTTAGGGGGAATGTAACACCTGACTTATATGATCAGTTTTTGAGTAGGCAAAAAAATAATAAACTAAAACTCCAAATTCTACTTGTACCACTATGGCGTGAGCAGTAGAAACAAATGGTAACACTTGGGGCTCTATATTCGTACACGCCGGCGGCGCGACGGACAGTGGCAGACCCGTGCAGTGGTATTTTCGTCTGGCAGTGCCTGGAGTACAGCCAGTTTGGTATTTTCGTAGACTGAGGTGCACCGAGGTCCGCCAAGCTGGGCGAGGTGGCGCGGCAGGGGGAGGTGTCGACAGAATCAGCTGGCGCAGTGACATTTACGTGCTCGCCGCCGGCATGGAAAGTGCGCTGCAAGCTTGCCAATTCAAACCTGGTCAGCTTTTAGCACAGGCGGAGCGCAGCTGGTCTAGTGGTATTTGCCTCACTGGCAGGTTTCCACAGTGTCAGGAACATTTCAGTGCAATAAACAATCAACAACAACTAATAATCTGAGTCAGCACATACATTTAGATCTATTTAGATATATTCTGATCTATATCTGATCTGATGAGCACATTTGGCACGCGTTTAGACACACAAGCTGACCGAATCGACACAGCTGAAACCGCATCAAATTAAATTAAATATTTAGTCAACAGTCACACATGATGAAGTTAACAAGATATTTAATTTGTCCCCCTTTCTCTCTTCCTCCTTTTCTCAACATTTATGCTGGGCTGTGCCACTCACTTAAATACCAAAATGTGCCGGCACGCCGCCGGCAAGGCACGACAGTGAGGCACAACTCACTGACAGTGCCCACATAGATAATGCAATGCAACTGTTGTTAACAGTTAACAGTTTACAGACTATGGTGAACTGACAGAATGGCATCAAACCTGTTGATAGGTTACATCTGCATATCCTATAAAAGGGAAATACTCATGTTCAAATATTATTATACGCTGATGGTTTTCATTGTGCGTGGTTTTCACCCCCCTTAGCGCCCTACTTCCCGTGACCATGGCCTGTCATTAATGAGGTCCTTTTGGGGCTAAAATTTACCAACAAAGTTACAAGAGGCTTTTCCTGTTTGCTATTCACATCCACAGATTGGTAGTTGGTCTGCTGTTGTTGACAAAGGCGTGGTGTCAGGGCAGACAGGATTTGACTGCCTGCTATCATCAGTAACCACACAGCGGCTCAAGCTAAGCCTCAGAACAGAGTCACAAGGCTTTAAATTACTGACTTCTTATTTTTGTGTTTCTTATCAGTGCCTCTGTGAGAGCCCAAAGTGACTGCTGAATGAAAGGACCTCGAGACTGATTTTCCATCCAGAGAAGCTGCCAAGCGGATGCGACGCTGGACATCGAGTTTACCTTCTAGCTCCCCTTCATTGGACTGTAATCAGTTCTTACCTGTGTGTGTCTTAAACTAAATCTATGCAGAGCTGAACAGACTGAGGAGAAACACTGCTGTAAAATGATTCCGTTTTCTTCTTTTACAAAGAAAAAAAGTCTATGTTTGTGTACAAATTGTTTTTTTTATCTGAGTTTATGATTGAAAAAGGTGAAGATAGGAGAGATTTGATAAACCGATTGTGTTTTTAAGCCGTTATATTTTCAAAAAAAATCCAACAGATGGTAGAAAATGCTCAAAAAACATGGCTGGCCTCAATCATTTTTACAGATAATGGAATAAGACGATAAAATTCCAGCAAAAAGCAGGAACACTGCGCTGTAAATTGGCTGCTTTATTTTCATGCGTCATTTGCTTCATCTTAGACTGTGAGATTGTTTTAAGCAGTGTGACATTTAGTTACAATCACCTCTGCTTTCTGCAACCGAAAAGGCAAAAAAAAACAGACTATCATCTACTGTTTGGGATGAAGGGACGGGTAATCTTCTACGATTTGTAATCCACAGGGCCCGGTCGTTCAAGAGTGAATCTGAATGGTTAAAGCTACCAGGATGAACAGGATTTAAGAAAGTAATGAAGTCTGAAATTTGATGTGGATTAAATCCTTAGTTTGTGCTTCTTAAAACTTTCAATTTGGAGAAGATTAAACCGATCCCAACAGAGAGCTAGATTTTGTCTGGATTACAGAAACTTAACGGAGGAAAACTTTTACAAAACAAAACTTTTTTAAAGAAGTTAATATTGAAACCATATTTTTTATTTTGCACTAAATTACAGAATCCTATCAGTGACATAACACAGTTTCCCACTATGACCCCCTTCTTGTGATGAAGGAGGATCCATTTAAAAAGGTGACCAGATGTCTCTGATTTCCTGGCTAAGGCTGTCCCTGGAAATGTCCCAGATTTACGCGTTTCATGAATGAGGAAAAAAATGTTGCGTGTAGACTAGAACAACGGTTATTACAGTAGCCGAGTAGGTAGGTGGTGCGAGTAAGCATGTTGCACGTATTCCTGAACAACAGTTTTTATGGGGGGTTATTACAGGGGGGTTTGTCCCTGGATTTCATTATGGAAATCTGGTCACCTTAAATTAAAAGTACTTATAGACTTAAATCTGTATACACTATGTGTCATCTATGTAATCATTTTATCACTGGATTGGTTTGTATTGGTTTTAATTCCCCCCACAGAAAAAAAGCTTTTTCTTTTGGTTTGCTGATGGAAAGTTGTTACAGCAACACAAAGAAAGTGGGTAGGTTTGTTGGGACTCGAAAGAAAGACGTGTATCGAACATCCCGAAGAGCAATAAAAAAAAGGGACAAATGTAATTCCACCTCCTCTGCTCAGGCAAAACTATGAATCTACTGAAGGGTAATCGCTGAGAACACACTGACACTAACAGCAAAAGATGCAAAAAAGAAAACTCACTTTGAGGCGGTTTTCTCATTCTTGACTGAAAAAAGACACAAACACGTATTCTTCCTCTGCACACACACACACACACACGCATAGATGTGATGGGTCCTAATCACACAAGCTGTTATCTTAAAACTGTAGGAAGTTTAGCAGCGATCCATCCCGCTCCTGCTGCCTATTTAATGTGTCTTTAATTCACCGTCATGAGTCGCTCTGTAACTGCACACACTCTTTTGTTTACTTATGCAATGTAAATCTGTCACTGAGGATTATGAGGGAATGTAAACCAGAGTCTACACACTGTAACTGTGCTCACATGTCATGCTAACATTAACACTCTTTACCAAACTGAATAATGAAGGATGTTTCTGAGATGTTATCTGGTGAAAATGGCTAAATTCTATTTTATTATTAACTTTTTTAAAAGTCTACATTTTGTACCTGATGTGTAACCGTGTAATTTAAGTACCAGATTACAAACTGTATGTTTCAGGTTACTGTGTAAAGTCAGATTAATAGAAACTGGGAGTGGAGGTTGAATTGGACACACACTGAGTTCTGTACTGACCCGTCGATAACGTCTGCTTCATGTTCTGCGAGTTTGACAGAGTGAAAATTAAAGCAGCTTTTCTCACGAGTGGAATCAGCGGGGTGAAATGATGACTGTTTGGAGCCTGCGTGCACTTCATTCTTTTTTTATTCTTTACAGACGGTTCCGTTTCTTTGAGGATTCAAGACGTGTGTGTGTGTGTCTTCAAAAGACAAGCAGCTCATCAGCCGGGATAGCAGCTCTCCAGAGCTCTAACAAAGGCTTGTTCTGCATGAAACACACGCAGAATACTGACGGATTTTACGCCATTCAGACGTGCAGATTGAGCCGATTGATGCACAACCGGTGTGTTTGAATGACAAGAGTGATGAAATGATGTAAGAATGAATTTATTCCCTAATGAAGGAATGGCTGGTCCCTTTCATTAACAACCAAATTTAAATCCTCCCTCAAAATTTCCCCAAAGGAATTCATTAACAGCAAAGCAAAAGGCAGACAAAGTAACAAAGCTGCTGCAGAATTCCTCAAAAATGTTCATCTGAAAAGTCAATTTTGAAAGACATTGTTTTTTTTCTTGTGGGAATCAACCAGTCAGTCAACCTTTACTTAAACTTCACTCTATAATAAAAGCAGCTCCCATTTATTCTGGCAAGGAGACTTTATAAGAGTGATTGAAAAAGGACAGCAAAGTGCTTTCACATCTTAAATGTGCGACCAGGGCAGTGAAGGTAAACAGAAAAAACATTTACCATGATTATTTTATATTATATTATTATCATGATTATTTTGATTTGATTGATATTGATATATTTGACTTGTGCATCACATGAAATTAAATGACTAAAAAGCCTCTTATAAATCTTGAAAACTGAAGAATTTGAAGAACACAATAAGTGGAAAAATAACCCGATGAAGGTCATTTTGGACTGAAACGTTGAATTAAATACATCTGCTTTAGCAAGGCTGTGAGAGTTCCTCCTACAATAAGCTTTTGTACTCTTACATATTATCACAGGCATGTCATTCAGTCTTTTCAAGCTTTTATATTACATCCTCTAAAGTCAAGACTTGGGCTTATATCTGATTTGGCCCGAAGTGTGGGTATATGTGATTGCTCTAGCCTGTCACTTCCCTGTTTATCTGAACACGCTGTTGCATCTTAAATTGTTAGTTCGACTGTGTAGCTAACTTGTTGTTTTGGCCCTCTGGATGCACCAGAGTGCTCAGAAAGGTGTCCCAGAGGCTACAACATCGTTGGATACCGGATTAGTTTCAACACTAGATCCAACTTATTTTTCATAATAATAAGGAATAAGGAGAACAGGGCTTACCTATTACAACACTGCTATAATGAGGTAGTGAAGCTGGAAGAAACTCCTGTGAAACCTCTGCTCCTGCTGTGTCTGTGGTAGAATGATGCTGCAGATGTTGAAGTGGGGGGTGGCGGATAATGAGAGCAGGTAATATGACAACTTTAAAATCTCATAGCAGCAGGTTGAGCTTCATTATACACCCTTCCTTTACTTCTCTTATACCTGCCTGATGCAAACCTGTGGGAAGCATCATTATCAGGTTAGTTACCGCACTGTCCAGTAGCAATTTGTTAAAGTTTGGAAAACTGCTATTTACAGAATAACTCATTGTTGAAGAGATTATCTTCCCACTGAGTCAATTAACATCCCTCTTCACATTTTCTGGCAGGCATTTGTGTCCACACCAACAAAACACAGAGATAATGAAATGAGCTGTTCTGTATAAGCTGCCCTGAAATACTTCAGTTTTTGTATCTTGGTAATCCATTATTTAATGTGAGACAGCTATGTTTTAAAAAAAAATACACATAAAGATGATTGAAAATGCTTCAAAAGAGGAAAGTTACGGCATGCTAAATAATGAAAAGTTTTAACACTGTGAGCACTAGAAACAGGAAAATAAGTTTGAGCCGAACTAAATTGATCAAATTTAAAGTTGACCAAAGGGAAACAAAAGAAACCAGAAAAGCACTCGGAGAGCGCAGACCTCCACCAAGCAGCTCATGTCCCCCCTTATATTGTGATTCACACCAAAACTTTTACTGTTACGTGTGTTTTATTAACGTTTATTTGTGTTTAAACTGGTATGTTCACTGTTCATAATGTTCCTAAAACAACAAAGCTCATATTAGATACATAAATGCGTGATTTATTATGCAATATTTGTAAGCGTACACTTCCTTGTATCTTCATTGGTCATCTTTCAGCATTCAAAATTCCGACGACACCCTTATTTTTGTGTGCTCTGGATCACAGTATCTGGAATTTTGTCTGGATCCGGATCAGTCTTTGACACCTCATAAAACTCATTGAGATCCTTTTGTGTAGTTTTTTACTAAAGACTCTGGTCATTTTTATAGAGTTAAATGCAAAAATTCCAAAATTTGCCCTATCTCACAGTGATAAAGAATCCTTCAAAAAATTATTGGATCCAGAAGGCGATCCGGATCACCACCAAAATTGAATGGGATCCTCCTGGGGCTGAGATGCACCTCTGGTGAAAATTTCAGGTCAATCCGTCTGTAACTTTCTCCGTAAAGTTGCTAACAGACAAACAAACTAACAAACTGCTACCGAAAACATAACCTCCTTGGCGGAGGTAATAAGACTGAGGCAAAGAAAATGAGAAGAGAAACTTCAAATTTACTTTGTCTAGTTCTTATCAAAAGGTCATCAAAAGGTCAATTAAAGTGATGAAAGCAGGGCCGCTCTGAAACTTCAATCAGGCTCTACCAGCTGACATCTGATGGCCGTAATTGGTTTATGTCTCTCAGAGTTCAGGGAGGGGATCCTCGACTCCAATCTGACCGAGCACCTTGATATTTTAAAGGATTTAATGCAGAGGTTAAAACTGCCAGAGCCTTGTATTTTTCTGATTTGATTGAAAAGAACCGCCACAACTCAAGGACTTGCCCTCAAATGTTTTATTTCATTCACCATGCCAAAGAGGCCAACTCTTCACCTGAGAAATGTGAGGAATTCTGAAACTGTTTTATCACTAAGGTTTCAGGCATTAGAACACATATTACGCCTCCTACTTGAAACCAAACATCTTCTTTAAAAACCGCAGCTGTTTTAATTGACGCCCTCGCTAAAGTGATTAACAAAATGAAACTCTCCTCCTGTGCTCTTGACATCCTGCCAGTTAGATTTCTGAAAAAGGTTCATGAGCCAGTCAGTTCACATCTCCTCTACATAATAAACACATGACTGACAACTGGCAAAGGCAATGGTTCAGTCACTACTGAAAAAACCCTCAATCCACCCAAGTTCCACTCATACTTTGAGAGCCTTTTCAAAACTTCTGTTCCTATCCAATGTTCTTGAGAAATTGTGGCTGAACACGTGATTTTCTTTTTTGAACAGCAATGAGCTCTTTGAGGAGTTGCACTCTGGTAGAAAGGTGTCTGTACTCTGTGTCTGTAGGTGTTCAATGATTTGTGGGTTGCTACAGGACGGATCTTTTAGTATGGATATGTACAGTCACAATCATACTGTCTAATCTGTTTACATATCTCTTATGTTGTTAAATCAGCACTGTGTTGTTAATATTTAGTCATTTTTATGCGTCTCTTCTCTTTCTACTTTGGTTTAATTTTTAAATCTCTTTGTAACCCTGTTTTAAAAAGTTATAAATAAAGTTTATTATTTTCCAAAGGGCCCCCCTTGAAATGGCCACTCTAACAGCCTCCAACTATGATAGCTGTTTGCTTTGTAAGAAGCGGGCCTTAAGCTGTAATCGCTTTGTTGCAACAAGCAGTTTGGGAATTTCTTTGTGTTCTAAAGTAACACATTTCTTCCAAGTTGTACTTGAAATTGTTGCCTCAATTTGATGGAAAACTCTGTAACTTACAGTGATCGTCTCATCTTTAGGTAAACAGTTCTTTTGTGTGGTCGTTTTGATGGCTGAAGATCATTTAAAGCTGCTGTGAGGAATTGTTGGTTTGTGTTGGTTGTGGCACCCCTTGTGGACTAAGAGGTACCTCCTTTTCCTTGTTAGTACACATGAAAGTAGTTTGTCTGACTAAAAAAAACTCACCCTGTAGTGGAAAAACTGAAAAAGACAAATGAGGAATTTTCAGTTTTGTTGCTGATGGTCTTTTTTGCCCTCAAGGTCATAAAGAGGCGTAAGTGTCACTTTTACCCAACAAGTTAAAAACTCCTAACAGTGCCTTTCATTTCCATATGTGTGTGATATGCATCATCCTTTTCTTTTAGTATTTTTTCCAGACATGTATATGAGCTGAATGATAGTGGTCCCACTATTGTACCGAGGGGTACTCCGAAGGCCCTACCTTGCAAAGGCCCTGGTCCATTTGAAAGTACTTCCAGGGGCTTTTCAAAGGGAATATTTTGAGACTCTAGTTCCTATTGTTGAAATGAATTCTTCAAAAGATCCATAATTCCCAGGAGAAAGATGTTGTGGTCAAAAAGCACAGTCTGATTTGGGGTTGCACAGATTTCGACAGTCTTTGGATGGATGCGAAATATTTAATTGAGTTACTTCATAAGAAATTCAAGAGAACGTGGCAAAATGGTTGAGGAGCTGAGTTAGTGTTGTAACTTTGAATTTTTGACAATAAGAGCATGTACAAGGTGAAAAATAGTGGTTCAAGAATTGAACCCTGTGGGACACCATGTTATTGATATTTGCGGGGATTAAAGGTCATAGTGTTTTCATCATGCCTCTTTTATTTGAAGCCATTTCATAAAATAGTTATGTGAACCCTTTACCTTTTCTTTGTGTGTTTTCTTTGTTGCTGATATATCTCAGTTTAAGTCTTCACCTCAGAATATATAGTTAAAATAAAATAGAAAAACTTGCTTTCTTTGCACAAGCTAACTTATAACCACTGAGTCATTTCATCCAAAATGGACTGATTCTCAAACTTGTAGCATAATAATGAAGAAATGGCCAGTCTTCTTACTAATGGTTTTATTTTCTTGCAGGTCATTTGAGGCAACAGGATTATATTTATGCTGTTTCGAAGGCACTTTTAGTGATGAATGCAGATGTGTACTCAGTGTTTAATTGGATTCCCAGCTCTATATGGATAACATGCTGTGCAAGCAACACGT